GAATACCTCATCCAGGACTGGAAGGTCAAAGTTAAGATCGGTGGTTTAGGGGTCATGGCACAGCTAATGTCGGAGCATCTAAGGCACCAGAATCTCATCTGGGTGGTCCCTTGTGTTGGCGACATTGAGTATCCCGAAGATACACCAGCGGAGCCAATGGTGGTCACCATCCTTAATAAGCCCTATCTGGTGAATGTGCAATACCACGTTGTCGATAATATTACCTATGTTCTTCTGGATGCTCCAGTCTTTCGGCACCAGACGAAAGCTGAGCCTTACCCCCCACGGATGGATGACCTCGACAGCGCAGTTTACTATTCGGCATGGAACCAGTGTATTGCAGAGACAATCAAGCGATTTCCTTCGATTGATCTCTACCATATCAACGATTTCCACGGTTGCTTGGCTCCCCTTTATCTGCTGCCCACACGAACCGTTCCAGTCTGCCTATCACTGCACAACGCAGAGTTCCAGGGCCTGTGGCCGTTAAGGACCCAACAGGAGAAGCAGGAAGTCTGCTCAGTTTTCAATCTTCCTGTCGGAACCGCGACCAAATACTGCCAGTTTGGAAACGTATTTAATCTTCTGCATACAGGCGCAAGCTACCTTCGATTTCACCAGCGCGGTTTCGGTGCAGTTGGTGTATCCAAGAAGTACGGAAAGCGCTCATGGGCTCGCTACCCAATTTTCTGGAGTCTTGATAAAATCGGCAGTCTCCCGAACCCAGACCCCTCGGATACTGGTGCCGTCGGCGCTGAGGCCGAGACAAACGTTTCGATCCCGTCTCCTGAAGATCGGATTAGAGACAAACTGCAGGCGCAGAAATGGGCTGGTCTGGACGAAGATCCCAAGGCCGATCTTCTTGTGTTCGTTGGACGGTGGTCCAAGCAGAAGGGTGTCGATTTGATCGCTGATGTTATCCCAGCAGTACTGTCAGCTAGACCTCACGTCCAGCTCATCTGCGTTGGGCCCATCATTGACCTGTATGGAAAGCTGGCTGCTATCAAACTGGAGCGCATTATGGCCATGTTCCCAGGTCGCGTGTTCTCCAAGCCAGAGTTTACCATTTTGCCTCCGTATGTGTTTTCTGGCGCTGACTTTGCTCTGATTCCGTCTCGGGACGAGCCATTTGGGTTGGTAGCGGTCGAGTTTGGTCGTAAGGGTGCGCTGGGTATTGGCTCTCGCATTGGAGGTCTAGGCCAAATGCCTGGTTGGTGGTACACGGTGGAATCTGACGCGACCCGCCATCTGTTGCACCAGTTAAGGACTGCTATCAAGTCCGCTCTGGACTCTGACCAGGAGACTCGCGAAGAAATGCGCACGAACTCTGCCAAGCAACGATTCCCTGTGTTGGAATGGATCCAGAAATTGGAAACCTTGCAACAGACGGCCATCCAGATCCATCATACAAAGAACAAGAACACTGTCGCTGGTCCCATGCCAGAGTCGCAGATCTTCTGGGAGATGCAGAACATGCGGGACTCCACGGCGAGTCTGCCTGGATTGGCTCAGTCTGTCCCAGACGGTCTGGAGACGCCACCTTTAAGAGTGATGCTGAACGCCGAGTCGCGGCTTCAAGAATTGCAGACGGCCGACGGAAACAGGAGCAGTCTAGGTCGCAAGCTCTCCCTCGGCCGACGAGCTGGACCTGGCCAGGGCAGAAACCGTCTGGTCAAGAAGGCACTTCGCGACAGTCAGGTCGCTGAGAGCCAGCCGGATGAGGAAGCCACCGATGTCGAGGCAGAAGTCGATGAGGATGACTCCAACTCGCACCGGGTGGACTACATCTCCGCTGATGAAGCTATGAGGGCAGTCAGTCACGCACTTGGATTCCAAGACAATGACGAGTCCGCAAGAAACGGAAATGGAAACAGGAACAGCGCTACACCGCCGTACCATTCCATGCCAGGCTCACCGTACTTCGTCTCGCGGGCTTCGTCACCAGCGCCGAGGACGCCTTCTGATATGCCTCGATACCCATCCCAATTGGCACCTAATTCCGGCGAGAGCATGCCGTTCGCCCACTCACGCAATGTCTCCGTCCTGTCTCTGCCTTCAGTGATGGGTGACCACAATGAGCAAGTCTTCGAGTTGCAGAAGGTAGACCCGACCTTTACGGACAGCATGGGCCACTTCACCCGGCGATTCGAGCAGCTGCTCAACAACTTGGACAAGAAGAACTCGATGACAGACTGCTGCATCGAGACCTACTTGATGAAGAGCGAGCGTAAGTTCTATAACATGTACAACTACGCACAGCTCAAGAAACGCCACGGCAAGGAGTCTATTTCTTCTTCGGTCAGTCCGGACCAGCTCGACCATGAGACGCAGTATGACCGCCTCTCAACCGCCACGCCCGGTTCGGACCCGAGCGACTCCGATGAAATCGATCGCTGGCTTTCCCGGCTGGGGTACAAGCGCCCTATGGCCGTTGAGCGATTCATGCGACAACGGATCGGAAACTGGCCCGTCTACGCTCTGTTTCTAGGCCTTGGACAGATCATCGCGACCAATTCTGCTCAAATTACCTTGCTGGTCGGCCAGGTAGGCGAGACGGCGACCAAGCTGTATGTGATCGCATCGATCTACTGCGTCTCCTCGATCGTCTGGTGGTTCATGTACGCCCGTCTCCCAGCGGTGATCGTCCTCAGTCTCCCATGGTTCATATACAGCTTGGCTTTTATTGTCATTGGCGTGTCTCCCTTTGGACTGTCGGAAGTCGGGCGAGGATGGGCTCAAAATGTCGCTGCAGGCGTGTACGCCATAGCATCGTCCAGTGGTTCGTTGTTCTTCGCTCTCAACTTCGGTGATCAGGGCGCCGTCCCCGTCAAGGATTGGATGTTCCGCGCCAGTCTCATCCAGGGTATTTCGCAGCTGTACACTGTTGCACTATGGTACTGGAGCTCCAAGGTTACCGCCACTGAAATTGGAGGCGTGTCCACCCTCGCATTGAGTACCTGGAGGCTCACGGCCGTGGTGATGCCGATTGCTGCAGTATGCTTCGTCATCGGCGTCATCCTCGCCCTGGGTCTGCCTAAATACTACCGCCAAGCTCCCAGTCGGATCCTCTTCTTCTACAGGTCGCTCTTCCGCCGCCGCATCGTCCTCTGGTTCTGTTTCATGGTTATCGTGCAGAATTGGTTCCTCGCCGCCGCGTTCGGGCGCAACTGGTCGTTCCTCTGGTCCTCCAAGCACGCCAAGACATGGGAGGTCGTCATCCTCGTCGTCGGCTTCTTCATCGTCCTCTGGGTCCTCATTCTCTTTGCCTTCCGTGCGCTGTCCAAGGAGCACAGCTGGATCCTCCCCGTCTTCGGTCTCAGCCTGGGCTCCCCGCGCTGGGCACAAACATGGTGGGGAACGTCCAATATCGGCTACTTTCTCCCTTGGGCTGGGAGCCTGACGTCTGGCGCTATCGTCTCCAGATGTCTGTGGCTCTGGCTCGGCGTCCTCGATGAGATCCAGCAGGTTGGTGTGGGTATGATCCTCCTGCAGACCCTGACAAGAGTGCACGTCTGCTTTGTCCTCCTGGCTGCGCAGGCCATGGGATCGATCGCTACCATCTGCGCGCGCGGATTTGCACCAAATCGACTCGGTCCGGACGGTATTTCGCCGAATGTCGGGACGTCGGTGGATACGATTGCTAATGCATGGTTCTGGATTGCCTTGTTTTTCCAGCTTTTGGCCAGGTAAGACCTATATAGCCCTTAGGTACGAACGGATTATATACTAACTGCATACAGCTTTGGATTCCTCCTGTTCTACCGTAAAGAACAGCTTAATCGGCCATAAGACAACTGAATGTTTTAGGTAACTGGTTTTATGATTTTGGTTTATAGACGGCGGTTAGATATCTGTATAGAGTTGTGCTATAGAGATGATTTAGGTACCTAATGAGTAATATGACCAACGAGTCCTGGTTTTGTCCGCATACTCCCTAGATAAACCATTGCGCGGCATTTGCCGGTCGATTGCAGAAGCGCATTCGGATTTTGTCGCGCAATTTCTACCGTAAGAAGATTCGACCATCTGAATAGGCTGGACCCAAGTCCATTCCGGGTCAGCCAAACAAGTGATGTGCCGTTGATCACTGAAGATGTTGTTCTGATGGACTGGAACCAACGGCACAAGGAAGGTAGGTGTCCAATGCGGGTGAACTGCAGAAAGGTTTAGTCGACAGATACCGATCAAGCATATGGTCTCGTATAGGTTTCCCAGTTGACATGGCAAAGCCGTACAGTCGTGGAATGGGAACATCCGGACAGTTCCGTTGAAGCCATGCATAAGCACGAACCTCGCATGGATCTTTTCATCCGTTTCCCGGCAGAAAGCCCTTATTGACGCAATACAGGAGAGGATACCTATTGGAGGATGACCGGTGTTAAGGCTGCTCTTGTCCTTCTAGTTGTCGATTGTCGCTGGAACACAGGCGTTGAACCTGCCCCAGAACCAGTCCTCTATATTAGCAACACGGCACATCCCGGTCGATCCGAGCTTTAGATGATGAGCAATCACAGTTTTCATCCATTCTCGCTGATCATTGGGATGGGAGAAGAAGCGGCACTGCCGATCGAAATATCCCAGCTGGTGAAGGGCGTTTACCTCTGTTCCTTGGCGAGGCAGTATGTGATTTCTTCGAGCTGACGCGTTCTCGTCGTGATAATGAGTTATGCCAAAGTGCTGCGAGTTAATGACTGATAGTATGGAGTACAAGTGTTGGCATGTCTTCTCACGTGTTTTTCAGGGCCTTAACAGAGAGTTATAAGCGTGTGATACTGCGAAATACCCTCTACTAGTACACAAGGGCCCTATTATTGCAATACGGACATCATCCTGCCTATACAGCCCGCTTGTCGTTCATGGGTCTAGACATATTTGTGATAGGTCTGGCTTACTCTTGATATTCTGTGGACGTTCTAGACCTATAGCGATCAATCGAATACGAAGTTATGCTTCGTACAGCCACAGCCACATCCACATCCACATCAGATCAGGCAACACGATTATGGAGTAGACGACGGCGTCGTATCCCCCTCCGCATGCTCTTCCGCATTCCCCTTGGGATTCTCTTTGCTGCTAGACAGCTCCTCGGTCTTCTTCCGCCCTCGCACAGCCACCGCCAAGCTGACGATCACATAGACCACTCCCATGACACCCGCGATCACCGCATACGCAATCATCGCGCCTCGGGGCGCCCCCGGGCTCCCCACGCCCGCTAACGCAAACCCCAGACCGCCGTTGATAATGCCCAGGGTGAGCAGACCCCGACCCATCCAGCGGTGCACGTACGCCGCGACATGCTTGCCCCCCGTGCGCCGGAAGTGCATATGCTGCAGCAGGCCCATCGCCGGCTGCATCAGGATGAGCAGACTGACCACCACGATGCCGATAATGGGGTGCGCCTTCTTCATCAAGCTCCCGTCCACCGCCAACTTGATCCCCAGACCCATCCCGGCGACCGCCATGGCCAGCGTGAAGACCTGCAGCGGCGCGTGCACCTTGGCCACGGACACGCGGATGGGCAGCGGCACCAGCAGCGCGAACAGCGGGAAGAACACCACAAACGCAAAGGACATGAGGAAGCCGTGCGCGATCAGCATGGCCTGGGAGTTGCCGCCGCCACCGCTGCTGGCGGTGCTTGCGCCTGTCGCCGACGCTGCTGGGTTGTAGTTCACGAACAGGTCGGCGTTGGTGGTGTTGACCTTGGCCCGGGTCAAGTCCACGTACCGTCCACCGTACCCGTCGTGGAAGGAGATCTCTTCCGTCACGCTGTCCGAGTTCAGACCCGCCCCGTTCTTGTACGCATACAGCCATGGTGCCGACGCGCTGGTCGGGTCCATGGACCCGCCTGACCACTGGAGACAGTTGTCGCAGCGCACGTTGGCAGTCATTGTGCCGTTGCGGATGCCGCTGCCTGGCAGCAGGGTGACCTGCGCGTCGCGGTTGAACTGCGGCTCCACGTGGCCCTTGCCCGAGCGCGGCGAGAGCGTCACGTTCTGTGCGGAGGAAGAGGCGTACACGACGAACATATTGGCGCCGGCCATTTGATCGCCCTGGCCGAAGCCGACCCATTGCACCGAGGTAGGTGCTTGGATCTGGAAGAGCACGGGGCCCGAGCTGGAGGTGGTTGAGTCGGGAATGGCGATGCTGAAGAAGACGTCGTTTCGGCCTTCAGCTGAGAAGGAGGTGATCTCGCCTAGGGCTAAGGGGGCTGTCACGTCAGTATAGGGGGTGGAAGGTAGGCATAAGAGGGCATACCAACGCCCACCATGAGTGGGAGGAGATTCTGGAACTTCATGTCGGAGATGACAGGAATGACAGGAAGACGGAATATTCAAGATGCCAATGGTGTCACAACAACGAAGGAGCGTGTCAGCCCTTTTATATACGCCAGAGTATACATTGCAGCATTATTATATTGCAGCATCCTAATTCCACCCGGCAGGGTCTTATACACGGAAGCCTGGAGTTTCATCTGCACGCTGCGCATTCTCATTTAACTCTAATGCTGGCTGCTGGGCCCTGATCCCTGGTTCTGCACGACCAGACCCTTTCCGTAGAATGCACGCACTGATCGAATGGCGTCGTGGCGCAGCACGACAAGACAGACGGCCATTCAGAAGGTCTTGATTAGGAAGCATTCGTCATCACGGCTTGGAAACTCTCGGGCAGTTGATCCCCAGTTGGCGTCTCTAGGCCATTCGACGATCAGGGTCTCAGACGCGGGAAGACATTAGGTTTATGCCACGCTCCGTCGAGTTAGTCGGGTTATATGAGCTTAGAATTAAGGTCTAGCCGTTGCATGATCGACAGAGCCCCTTACTCGTGCTTCTGCAGCCGGGTTCATGGAAAGGATGGAGGTACCGATACCTGGATGGCGGTGGCTGGACAGTGCCGACCGTGGTACCGGTACGTCCGGCCATTGTCACTCTGTGAGTATCTCAATTGACCCGGTTGGCTGGGATTGTCTTTGACTTTGCTATTATAGTGAGTTGTAGCCTAATTCCGGGACTCCGCAAGAAGCAATAGAAAGTCAATTGCCCTTGCGTGGCTGACCAGGTGTTTAGGGTTGGCACATAAGACCCTCGCGTGAAGCATGATATATCAATCACCTGCGTCTAGTTCCAGGTGTGTACTCGTGCTGTAGTGAGGGCTCTATCACTCTGGGTTATATATTGTCCACATCGATGGGATACTACTGTTAACGTTATTAACTAGTAGCATGAGCTAATCTGGTAGGATTCGTTTAAAGAGTCTTCTAAATCCGATTGGGGTAGATCGATCAATGATTAACTGTGATGTTGGATCTGTAGATGTACTCTCCAGCATCCACCCTAGTACCATCTTCAATCTCTTAATTCTCTCCCCGGCTACTACTACTATCTCAAACAAGTAGTAAGAACTGAGAACTACCTTAATTCTCATTAGTGAACGGGTGACATAAGTGCAGGCTCCTTCTGCACATTCGGGATCCGCGGACGCCGAATGGCGGTGGCGCGTAAAATTCTGTGAATCCGGTCGGAGTAATTAAGGACTTCTTTGAAGATTGCACTGCAGTATTGCAGGAGGTATTGAACAGAGATGAATATAACAGAATGTATTCTATCAGATAGATGCACCTATACTCATATAGAGAGACATCTGATCTCTCGTCCCTCAAGAACTCATAGTATACTCCGTACTAACTCTGAACATATAGTGGAGTCTCTGCTTGGCTTCCTAGTTGGGCAGTCCCATAGCAGTCTTATTCATCATGATTCGATCACCTCCATCTTAGTGGAGTGATCATTCTCTGGCGAGCTGCCAGAATCGGGCAAAAAACCGCCTTCAGCATCACTCAACCAGAGAAGGACTTTCTAGAACTCTTGCAACCGCCAATGACATTGCCATATCCTGTAGTTCTGGAGAGATGCACTGATTCAAGCACCCCATCTCGAAGCTTGGCTGCCTTTTTGATTTAGTTCCCTGTATCGGTTCCAGGTATCCATCCAGATGTCGGATTTGTATATAACCAGCTCTCTCCCTTCTTCCGGCATGATCTTCATAGCATCTATCAGATTAGATATCCACTTCATCCACTACTGCCCTCGTCCGCCTAGCGGAGGCTCACCATGCCGGCTCCTCTTCCACACCATAGACACACGGGAAACCCCCTCGTGTCTGCAGGATCAGAAGACCGCGCGGATATCATCTCCTCCCCGCGCGTCCAGCTCTCCCACGGCGATGAGGACGCCATTGCTTCCATCCACCGCACCCTGACTGAGGCGCCCGAACATGCCGCCTATGCAGAACCTCACTCCTCCTTTGACAAGTTCCTCGTAGACGAGCTCCGCGCGGGGAAGAAGCGCTCCAACCTGGGCGTATGCTTCCGCTCACTTTCTACCTGGGGCGAAGGCAACGACCATGCAGACGTCAAGACGCTGGGAACCGCCCTCTGGCGCACGCTCACCTTCCAGGACATCTACGAATGGACCATCAAGCCCTGGGCGTCCAAGAAGGAACCGCAGAGCGGGCGGCCGCTCATTCGCGATTTTTCCGGCGTCGTACGAAGCGGCGAGATCATGCTGTAAGCCATCCATCCATCCATCCTTCAAGCAAACTTCTATATATGTAGTACTGACGAACAGTGTGCTCGGCCGCCCCGGCGCCGGCTGCTCGACCTTCCTGCGCACCATCGCAGGCCACCACTCGTCCTTCCTCGGCGTGACCGGCTCCATCGACTACTCCGGGCTGAGCCTGGACGAAGTCAAGAAGCACTACCGCGGGCAGGTGGCCTACGTGCCCGAGGACGACGTGCACTTCCCCACGCTCAACGTGCGCCAGACGCTCGAGTTCGCCCTGCAGAGCAAAACCCCCAAGCGCTACCAGGAGCGCATCCCGCGCTACCTCGAGATCTACGGCCGCGTGTTCGGCATGTCGCACACCATGGACACGCTCGTCGGCAACGAGTACATCCGCGGCGTGTCCGGCGGCGAGCGCAAGCGCATCTCCATCATCGAGTCGCTCGCCACCGACTCGTCCGTCATGTGCTGGGACAATTCGACCCGCGGGCTCGACGCCTCGTCCGCCGTCGACTACGCCCGCAGTCTGCGCATCATGACCGACACCTGCGGCAAGGCTACTCTCATGACGCTGTACCAGGCGTCAGATGCGATCTACGACCTTGTCGACAAGGTCCTTCTCATTGACGAGGGGCGCATGCTCTACCAGGGCCCGGCGAGCGCGGCCAAGGCGTACTTCGAGGATCTGGGATACGAATGCGCCGACATGCAGACTGTCTCGGACTTCCTGACTAGCATCACTGTCCCTGAGCGCCGCCGGTTCAAGCCCGGCTGGGAACACCGCGCCCCTAAAGGCCCCGTCGAGCTGGAGCAGGCCTTCCGCCAGAGCATCGCCTACGAGAACATCACGCGCAGCATGGACGATTACGAAAACCAGCAGCTGGGCAGCCGGCCCGGCACGCTGGGGACCGGCTCGGTAAATTCTAGCTTGGAGAACTTCAAACAAGCTATCAAAGAAGACAAGTCGCGCTTTGCGCGCGCCAGCTCGCCATACACTATCTCCCTCTTCCGCCAGGTCGTGCTGGCCACGCAGCGGCAGGTGTGGCAGATCCGCGGCCACATGAGCCCGCTATACATCAAGCTCATCTCGTGCGTGATCTACGGCCTGCTGATCGGGTCCATGTTCTACAACCAGCCGCAGACGACCGACGGGATGTACTCGCGCGGTGGTGTGTTGTTCTACTCGTCTATTTTGCTGGCCTGGCTGCAGATGTCTGAGCTCGAGGATACCATGCAGGGCCGCGACATTCTCAGCCGGCAGAAGAAGTACGCCTTTGTGAGTCCGACTGCGGTGTGTCTGAGTCGGGTGCTGGTTGATCTCGTGTTGGCGGCAGTGTTGACTGCGTTGTATCTGGTGGTGGTGTACTTCCTGGCTGGGTTGAAGTTGGATGTAAGTCTCGTGCTTGGTTACGGCTGCTGCTGCTGCTGCTAACGTCTCTAGGCCGGCGCGTTCTGGATCAACTTCCTGTTCATCTACCTCTGCACCATCTGTCTGACTGCGCTGTTCCGCCTGTTTGCCGCGTTCTCGCCCAACTTTGAGGTCGCGCTACGATACTGCGGTGTGTCGGTGCTGTTCTGCATTGTTCTCGGTGGTTACGTCTTGTCGATTGACCGGCTCATCAACGATGTCCCGTGGGTTGGGTGGATAGCCGTACGTTTCCCCTTCTATACCTATACTCACAGCATACTGACATGTCTAGTATCTCACCCCCGCGCTCTACACGTTCGAATCAATGATGGCCGCCGAATTCCACAACGTCGACTTCGCCTGTGCTCCATCCTCCATCGTCCCCTCTGGCCCCAACTACACCGACCTGGCATACCAGACGTGCAACTACGCCGGCAGCCGGCTCGGCAGTGCCGTCGTCAACGGCGACGACTACCTGGCCGTGCAATATGGGTTCTCATTCAGCCACGTGTGGCGCAACTTTGGCATCCTGATTCTGTTCACCGTCGTCTACGTCGCGGCGACATGCTGGCTCAACGAGATCATGGAGTGGGAGGCCGACGGCGCCGGCGCGATCCAGTACAAGAAGACGCGGCGGAGTCGTAAGCCCGCTCGCGATGAAGAGAGCGGTCGTGTGCAGGCTGTCGCGGAGAGCACTACCGAGAAGGCGTCGGGGCTGACGGGCACCAAGTCTACGTTTACCTGGGACAACCTCGAGCTTGTCGTGCAGGTCGGCAAGGAGGAGCGCAAGCTGCTGAACGGTGTCTGCGGACACTGCCGGCCGGGCACGCTGACGGCGCTGGTGGGCGCGTCTGGCGCTGGGAAATCGACCTGTAAGCACCTCGTTCTTATAATCTGTGCATCGACTGACAGCTCCAGTATTGACGGCGCTCACGCAACGCCCGTCGTCCGGTAAACTCACCGGCACGATGTACGTTGACGGGCAACCCATCGACGCATCCTTCAACCGCCGCATCGGCTACTGCCAGCAGATGGACATCCACGACGACAGCAGCACGGTCCGCGAGGCGTTCGAGTTCTCCGCGCGCCTGCGCCAGAGCGCCAGCGTGCCGGACGCCGACAAGCTCGCATACGTCGACACAGTCCTCGCCACCCTCGGCCTGGGTGACCTGCAGCACGCCATCATCGGCTCGCTCGACATCGAGAAGAAGAAGCGCGTCACCATCGGCGTCGAGCTCTGCGCGAAACCCGAGATGCTGCTCTTTCTGGACGAGCCGACCAGCGGGCTAGACAGCCAGGGCGCGTCCAACATCGTCGCGCTGCTGCGCCGGCTCGCCGACCAGGGCCTCGCCGTCCTCTGCACCATCCACCAAGCCAACCAGGAGCAGTTCGAGGAGTTCGACCGCGTGCTGGCACTGAGCCCTGGCGGCAGCACGTACTACTTCGGCGAGGTCGGCCCGTCCGGCGCGGCCATCTTCGACTACTTCCGGAAGTACGGGGCCGCCGCGGAGGACGTGACCAACGCCGCGGACTACCTGATCGAGGTTGTGGTTGGGGGAATGAAGAGCGAGAAGACGGTCGACTGGGCGGGCGTCTGGCGGGGGTCTGAGGAAGCAGCGCGAGTCAACGCGGAGATTGCAGGAATCCGCCAGACGCCTAGCGCCAACGCATCGAGCACGGTGGCCATGGCGCCCCTGCACCAGCAGATCATCCTCCTGACGCAGCGCACCCTGCGCCAGTACTGGCGCAACCCAGAGTACCCGTACTCGCGGCTCTACGGCGCGTTCCTGCACTCGCTGGTCAACGGCCTGATGTACCTGCAGATCGGCAACAGCGCGACAGACCTGCAGTCCAAGGCGTTCTCGTGCTTCCTGGTGCTGATGCTGGTGCCGGAGTTTATCAACGCGATCTCCATGCGGTTCATCATGAACCGCGACATCTGGACGGCGCGCGAGGGGCCCAGCGGCGTGTACGGGTGGGTTGCGTTCTGCACCGCACAGATCGTGGCCGAGATCCCGTATGCGGTCGTCGGCGCGGTCATCTTCTACGTGATCTACTATTTTATCGTCGGGCTGCCGCTGGGCTTTGCAGCGGGGTACAGTTTCCTGATGTTCTTTCTGTTCTTTCTCTTCGCGACGTCGTGGGGACAGTGGATCGCCGCTTTGAGGTGCGTATCTCCCCGAAGCTCTATAGGACCACGCTAATGTATGATATGATAGTGCCGACTCCCTCGTCGCGGCAACCCTCATGCCATTCTTCATCATCATGTGCGAGCTCTTCAACGGCATCCTGCAGCCGCACCAGAACATGCCCGTCTTCTGGAAATACACCATGTACTACATGACGCCGTTCACGTACTGGATCGGCGGCGTGCTGACCGCCGTGCTGCGCGGCATGCCCGTCGTTTGCGACCCCGACGAGCTGACTGTCTTCGAGGCCCCGGAAAACACCACCTGCGGCGCGTACGCAGGCGCCTGGCTGCGCGCCAAGGGGGTGGGATATCTGGCGAACCCGGACGAGACGGGGACGTGCGGATACTGCAAGTACAGCTTTGGGGATGATTATCTGGCTGGGCTGGGATTGGATGGGTCGAAGATTTGGCCGTATTTTGGGATTTTTGTGGGCTTTGTGGTGTCGAATTATCTTATGGTGTATGGGCTGGTGTATGTGCGGATGAAGTTTTTGTCGTGATTTTATGTGTTTGATCGGTGCATTGCATTGCATTGCGTGGGTATGGAGCGAGACATTGTGTTTGTAATGACAAATCTAACTATTCCTTAGTGCCTTCCCAAGCCTTTGTAGCTTGCACTCATACTGCTTTGTATAGTGCCACACCAGCCACCGCTACATCTGATATAGTCACGTGCTGTGATATGCTATCCATTGATGAGTCACTATCCCGACTATGCCGCTGACGACTTGCGTGTTTTCGCCTGCCGATGAATCTTATACACAATCAATCTCGTCGTCTTTAAACTCGCAAGCCATTAAAATGTCGAGTCAACCTACCCTGGTCTTCATCCCAGGCGCCTGGCATCGTCCAACATGCTACGGGCCGATCATTAAGCTCCTAGAGCCCAAGCTGAAATGCGTCGCCGTGTCTCTACCCTCGACAGCAAATAACCCCGAGGCGACCTTCAAAGACGACCTCGACGCAGCCCGGGAGGCGATTTCCGCTGAGACCAGTAACGGGCGCAATGTCGTGGTCATCGCACACTCCTACGGCGGCATGGTGGGCAACAGCGCGATCAAAGGCTTCGCAAAGCCCAAGGACGCCAAGAACAGCAAGCAGCAATCCGGATATGTGATCGGCCTCATTCTCATCGCCTCCGGCTTCACCTTGACCGGGCTGACCTTTATGGACCCCTTCTTCGGGCGTCCGCCGCCGGCCTGGCGGGTGAATACGGAGACCGGCTACGCGGAGATTGTCGCTTCCCCGCGGGAACTCTTCTACCACGACGTACCGGAGGAAGAGGCCGAGTACTGGGTCTCGCAGCTGACGAACCAGAGTCTGAAGGCACTGTTCGAAGGCGCTGAGTACACGTACGCAGGGTGGAAGGACGTGCCGTCGTGGTATATCGGGACTGTGGAGGATCGGGGACTGCCGGTGCTGGCGCAGCGACTGTCCGTTGGGATGGCTAGAGGAGTCGGTGCGAGTGTGGAGCATCGAGAGCTGCAGACAAGTCATTCACCTTTTCTGAGTAAACCGGAATTGACGGTGGAGCTCATTTTGGAAGCGGTTGATGCTTTTACCCGTTCTTCCAGCGACAAGTCCAAGTCAGCCGTTGGGACGAACAATGCGGTACTCGTCCCGGGTGCGAGACTGTTGAGCCCGCTCACTTGGTTCAGGTTTGGATTGCCACTGGCCTTTGGGCGTGTATTGGGCAAATGCGTTCTTCTATTTGGCTGGGGAAGGGGGCTGTGGAGATCCTTGTTCCGTAGCACGTAGTAGATGGCGTGCTGACGTGAGTGATGGTTAGATGATAGAAAGCTCTCTACTCTTTGTACATTAATGAATTCACGTTGATACCCATGGGAGGTTGTAACTATTGATTTTTCTTTATAGACTCGTACCTATACCTACCTATTAGCTTCAAGTCTATAAGACCCTGAGCGGACTCGCCCCGGCCTAAGGATGGACGACTCCTCCTCGACTGGTGGCCACTGCGACAGCGTTGCGTGATATTCCCAATCCGAGAGCTGGTGGGTACCGAGGTGAAAGGCCCATGCAGCAGCAACCCGATCATCAGACTTGTATGCACCGCAATGTTCTACCTCCCACTCAAGCGTGATCGAGCCCGCTCGCTTCAAGAACTTGTAATAGAAAAAGTAATAGTGGTTGAGGTCAAAGCTGATGGTTCTCAAGCGAGGAATATGCCTTGCAGCATACCCCAAGGACATAAACAGCCGATGAAACTGCTCTTGCTGAAGAATGGGTCGCTCCACGACCCTTCGTTCGTAGCTGCAGATCTCAGCTTCCCAGTCCTCAATCTCGGCGATCATGGCTTCCTCGTCTGTATCAGGGCGGACGATCCATTCCCCTGTATACGGTTATAACATTTAGGGCCATTTGTGTATTGCATTGACAGGAAGATCTCTTACCTGAGGGAAGCCAGGGCTGAAATTGTTCCAAAGTCAAGATTTCCAACCGCGGCCAGTGCAAAAAGGCATTGCCCGGTAGAGAATGATCTTTCTCGTCCAGAGGCCATAGAAATTCCAGAGAGATAGGAGTTTGGACTTATTTCAGCTCGCGAAGGGAAAGACTCAGATCTCGGATTCGAAGGGATAGAAGATCAATGCTTGAGAAGAGAACATTCAAAGCAGGCATGGTATCCTTCCAATTCCTCTCATCTTGATTCTGAAAGCGAAAAACCCTCAATGAGGGGGGAATATCTTTCAGACCTTCAGACACCGCTACCATGACATTCAGCGAGGCTGAAACGATGCTGTGATGGTTTTGATGAATAGGAAATTCTCGTACCTTGACGGCGTTCCTTCAGGTACTCCAGATGATCTGGTCGAATGTGATCATCCAGGTTCAACCATATTTCTGCCAGTGCCGGACAATGGTGAGCAATCTGCATAGCGGCTCCAGCCCATATCTGATGATCCCGTGTCGAGTCTGTGCCGTCGAGAAACGAGAGTTTGTCAATGCATGAAACATAGGGCAGCGCTAAAGCACCATCCTGATGGAAGCACGCGCGATAGACAGGAACAGCTTGCGTGCGCCCCTCCGTGAAGAACCAAGTATACAATCCCCCTTCATTATCCTCTTTTGTATGCGGCTCCTGGCCTGGGTTACGCCCGAGGAGTGCCAGAATGAGAGTGAGGCGATGGAACTTCTCCCATCCTAGCGTTTTGAATAGATCGATGAGTGCCGATTGAAACGCAGTGTCATTCACCTGTCGAACAGCATTATCGGAGCTGTAACCATCCCTTTTACGCATGGTCCAATCCGGCAGGTCAAAGGGGACAACGATATGGTACCACAGTCGACAAATATATCCTCGTCGCGCGATTCCAGGCCCAGAAGTGAGTGCATGGAATCGATGGAGGGAAATTCCGCGGGGCTGGCCTTCCTTGTTGATGAAATCCTCACTGTAAACATGCAGATCGGAGTAGATGATCGGCTCAAACGCTGCCTGCCAGCGACGACAGACAGCTGTACATGCGACTAGACAAGCGCCTGCATTTTTCAGATGGCCGGCGATCTCGTCTAGGAGTTCACGTGGGAGTGAGGCGGCCATAGTGATCAGACTGGGGGCAATTCATAGCAAGCTAGTTAGCACTTAACGCCCGGACAACAATTAGGGCTCAGGGTCTAAACCTGAGGGAAAACTGGTTAGAGGCAATGTACCGCAAGAGTCTAGCGCCAGGCTTGCATTTCTTAGCGCAGTTCCTATACACCTAAGCACGTACTGTGGATATGGTAATTATGGTCCGCAGTATTCTCCAACCCCACAGCATTCATGAATAGTAATCCAAATGGGCTCACACAGGCCCAGCCAGAATGGGGCATCTCTGAATTTCTCTGTCACATCTGTCAAGTCCTCGACAGCCAGAAAGACCCGAAATTCACGCATCCTCGGCATAGTACGCAGAGGCTCCAACGCTTGACACGTCTCGGACGGAGTTAAGGGTCTAGCAGGGTGTCCTCCAACGAGCCAGATCCGACAGTACTCCAATTTTGACAGATGTTGGAGAGACTCGCAAAATGGGCCCCAGCGCCAACTGGAAAATTCGCATGAGACTTCGAGGCGTCGGAGAGACCGAAAACGCGGTGGCGGGAGAACAGCTTCTAACACAGGTAAAGTTCCTACATCCTGACGGATGTGCATGATATTTGAGTATAGTATATCAATACTCTCGCAGTATCTGGTTTACGGTCAGTCGTTATTCGCAGAGTTCACAATAGATGCATCGGAATCATACATTCGGCGACAGGTCCTCAACAGAGCGGGCGACGGAGCATGTTTATAGGGCGGCTCCCCAAACTCGCAATACTCGTCCATGGTTAAGTCGCCTATAAACCGAGTAGGATGGTTCTGCACCCCCTTCGTCTTACACCAGTAGGGCTGAAGGACTACTCTTTCGGGTGCGGCCCGGAGGCACGAGCGCCTGAAATGAACCGTACGGCCCCCCAGCGCATATTCGTAAATGTGTAATCGGATCTCCAATGGAAGCACGGTGAATAGCGCACTCTGAGATTGGATGTTCTGACCTTGGGAGAAGTCGACCGTGAGGGATCGGCTGCGGCACGTTTGAGAAAGCCTCGGGCGGGAGGCCTCTGCTTTGCGCCGCTTCCTTTCCTTTCTTCGTCTAGACCATGACCGGATGGCCTCAATGTTCCACCCGATAAGGACCCAGAGCCAGAAACGACGTCTCACTCTCGTCATAGCGGATTGGAGAGAAGGAGATATGTAAAGCAAGGGTGTAAGATAATGAACGGATCCTGCGTGGGATGTCTGGTCCTAAATAGCTTCGGATCTTGGCCAGAGGGATCAACGTGACAAGGAAACAGTGTGGGCCCAATGTGTGACTCTCTTTGTCTTACATGCAGGAGCTCATACCGTAGAATTGTAACTACACCAAAGGTCTAACATAGATGGCAGCAGGGAAGTTCGCCCCCTAGATCCGTTCATTCCTATTGAAGACTACCAGAGTATTCTGTAGTGTAGGAGGCAGGAATTAGCGGGCGGTAACTCACTCAATAGTTCGACTCGCCCGTTAGTGAAATACGTTAGAGTATGAGGAGCAGTAGAATTAAATTATCCACGCAGACAGTTACTATACTAACTACTATCTGTCTCTCCTTTTTACGGGGTTTTCAACATAATAGTAGGCGAGAAGAGCGAGCAGGGGCACAGTCGAGTATCTCCTCGAGTTGAGGGCACATTTCCGTACCATATACGACCGCCGTAAACCTGACAATGGCTAGACCGTACGCATTCCCCCAAGGACTTCGATATTTGCGTCTAATCTCTCACCGTTGGACTCGGTGGGCTCAGTGGAGATGTAAGAATATCGTTGCGTACGGCTGCCCGTGAGTTGGTTCTCCCAAATATTCACAGACATTTTCAACTCCCTGGCGCTTTGAATCCGCTCCTCTGTACGGATTCCGGAGAGCAATGGTTTATTCGGTATCCGTTGGTCAGGCGTTAGGACAATATGCGTAGTCACATCCAGCGTGTTGCTGCAGTTGGCGCAGCTAGCGACTTGCCACCTGCTGAAGACGGGCTCGACGCCTATCAGCTTCTTTCCATGGCCTGTTCCATCGTCTGCGTACAGGCCAACCACGAAAGACCCTGGTCGTCTTGCACGACTGATGCCAGACAGGCGGACAATAGGCATCGCCGAACTGTCGGCTGCCGCTAGACGTAAAGTGGGGCGCTTTTCGGCTGGCTCGTAATCGTAGTGGCAGAATTCGCTCTCCTTAATATTGACTATGTCCTAAGAAACAAGTTAGATACGTCCATGGTTACCGTGCCGTTTGCACAAGGAAGGGATCAGAGACTCACTTTGGATTTCAAGTATTCCCTGCCGCCGTTCTTGCCAGGGATCATGAACGGCACTAATGGAGTTTCCATATTCAACTGGGAGTCAGCACCCATGAATGCTGTAGGGCCCTGCGCATCAATGGGACTCGTTCCAGGATAGCCCTCAAAGACTGCCAGCTCCGTCTCGGCTCCGTGTTTTTGCTGCCAGAGCCAAAAAATGTAGTCGACGAAGCAGTGATGAAAGTAGAAAATGGGGTCAAAGGAAGCGGTATCATTCTCGCCCATGTCCCCATTAGACCCTTCGAAGGTTGGCCGACTCGTATCTCTGTCGGGCATGCTATATCCCCCAACCGCCAGATGGACGCCATTGTGAGGCTTCTCCAAGGACACAGCGAACAGAGGATTCCACTTTTCCTGGCGGCCATAATTGTCGTCGTTCCATTTCGCCGCTGATGTAGTGTTGGAAAAGACGGTATAGTTCGGTGCCTTCTCAGCCGCTTCCAGATACAAGGCACTCATGCCGGGCACGTGAGTGTTGCTTTCCTTGGCCAACCAATCACTTATATTCCGATTCAGTTTCCCGATGGGGTTGTCGGATTTCTCCCTTTCGTTGTGTTGTTCGGTCTTATCCCGATCGGACGGACCGACGAGGCCAGAGTAAGGGCAGCGGACCGTTTCATATTCCTTATACTTGCTATAGTCGACGCGTTTGGTTGATTCATCTTTGCCCTCCACGAGCCGCGCGAGATTGTCAAAGAAGCCCTGTTGTAGTTTATAAGAGAAGAGTGGGTTGTGCTTGAGGGTAATTTTGCCGTCGTTGACAATGATGTCGTCCTTGTCTTCGAAGGAGTCTTCGCTTATTATACTGTCTTGGAAGGTGTATGACTCGGTGGTGAAAATGTCAGGTAGTTTTTCGGTTTTGTATTCGTTCCAGTACGGAAGAGCCACATCAGAGAAGCCTGAAACACCCTGGAGAGCTTGCTCGAGGCGACACAGGTACGCTCTGTGCCAGGTAGGAAAGAGGACGTTGCCGTGATGGCAGTACCCTCCCCACCATTCCTTGTTTCCGTATCCTGCTCCACGGAAGGGCTGGCCATGGTATCCCGCAATGACATAGAACGAGTCCTCGTTAATGCTTGGGGGCATACCTGGGTCCGCCTTCTGGAGCTTATAGAAGGCATAGATTAACTTGTCCAACGACGCTGGGTCCAACGTCTCTATGTCCTTGCGCACGACAACGGATTGGTCTTTCTTGCTTCGCAACATAGTGGATCTGAGCGACAAGTGATCATTTGTTTCATGAGGATAGTATAGTAGTACCTGGAACAGAAATCTGAGCAATTGGGAGAACGTTTTTGCATTGCCTTTATATTCCTTTTAGCAGAGCAATCAATATGGTTGTATGCTACTCTAAGAGCCGTCGTTGACGTACCTCGTGTAACAGAGGTGCGGTTGCGGCAAATGTACTAGGTATGATAGAAGTGTATGATGTAGCCCAGAAGTCAGCTGGATGCTAAGCTCGTCACCTGTAGAGGTTTGGGTTTCTGATTTCGGCGATTAATAGCTGGATAATAGTTGTGGCTGCGTTACAAGCCGATCAACCGCTGGCTTCCTCCCTGTCCAAAAGAACTCATTGACACTACCAAGGAGCGACAGGTAGCTGTTTGCAGCAATATTGAAGCGAATGAATGCGGAGTAAGGTCTAGACCATGGCGGACTGGGGGTTTAGTTGTGTTTAGCGCCATGTATATTGGACAAAAGTACCTAAGCTCTAGAAGATGATCTCATTTTGAACCGATGTTATTGTAACCGCTTCTTTAGCTAGCCTGTTGCATCCCCCAAATCAGAAGTACTATAGGTGGCAGATTAGCCTGTTGTAGGTTATCTATTGAAGCGATTAGCTGGCTACCTATGCAGGCGCTTCGCCAAATGACGCAGAAATCTAGTATCCGAACGCCTAAGCCTACAAATACAGAACAGGCATAAGAAATACTGAAATGAGCAAATACACCACTAGGTTAGAGCCTGCTACATAGCTATCTGTGTCTTCCGCGATATCTATGTATTGAACAACTATCCTGCTCCATTCTATATGGTCGTTTTATTAAAATTTAATGCGTTTCTGTATTTAGATGACCCATCTGGGCAGCTATTAGTCCATCTAACTATCGTGTTCTATATCTATTCTACAATCTTATAAAACGCTTCTATATCTCTAGTCCTGCTTTCTAACTTCTGTATAATAGAAAGTAATATAGTATATGTAAATAATATAATTTTAAGTTAGGAGGCCCAATAGGATGATTGGAGATTATATACAAAATCAACACTACTCATAGTAGAAACTACTATTCATATATTTATACAGTGGAACCATATAGATATAGGTATCTATGTGTTAGTGACACAAATTGTATATATGCCCCCATATATCCAAAACTGGAACAGACGCAATCGCCTCCGGCATCATGCTATACCGTATAAACCACGGACACGTCCAATACGCCCATTCCATCAGCACAATCGCATCACAGCACCACCGCACCATACCCCCTACACACCCCCAACCACCCAGCGCCCGCTGCACACCCAAAGCAAGCACCTCCTGAAGCACAATACACCCGGCCATCACAATAAAAAACACGACCATCACCCCAGCCCCGTACGCATCCCCCGAGACAGCATACGCCCCAGCCGCATGCACGCATCCACTCACTGCAAATGACACTAACAGCACCAGCAGCCGCTTGACGGTGCCGCTGATACCCCCAGGGACAAGAAGCAGTGAAGTTGCGAGCAGCGGGCGCCGACAGAGATCGTGCCACATTCTGCCCCATATATCTGCCACACATATCGTCAGTACTCTGCACGTTCACTACGAATTAGAATGTTGAATGTTGGGGAATACCTCGCAATCGACAGGTGAGCATGGCCCGCGGCGACCGAAAAAGCGGCGGATACATCCACGTCCATGGTTCTGACGCGGGCGCACTGGCCCGCAGGACGCCGTGCACGGCAGCCACCAGTGCGTGGCACCCATCGATAAAGGCGTAGGCGGCGAGCCAGCAGGCCGGGCCGAGGAGGTAGTGTCGTGCGAGGTCTGCGGTGGTCGCCGGCGTGAGCTGTATACCGACCCGGCTGGCGGCGGTCTGGATAGCGACGGCGACGGAAGGAAAGTTGCGGCCAAAGGTTGCCTGGTGGAGATTAAAGAGGAGATAGGTGGTGAAGAGTTTGAGGAGGTGCTTGAGGACGAAGGCGCGGGTGCTGGCATTGTTGCTGTCGGCTTGGGGAGGGCTGTAGGCTGGCGCGTAGGACCAGCCGATTCCCCGCGGGTTGAGAAGGAGATCGGTGGTGTAGCGGAGGCGGGCGAGGCTGAGGGGTGGTGGGATGGGGTGCCAGACGTAGGTGGAGGGAGATGATGTCTCGGCGCGCTTCAGCTGGCGCAAGTCATAGACGAGCAACAACTCGACGGCGCGGATCACGTAGGCGACTGACAGAAAAGCGTTGGCGTATTTGATGAACGGGGAGGCGTCTGGTGGGGAGAGAGTGGCATGCAGGGCGCTGGAAGGGATGGCGATGTACACAATGTGTTTGAGCGGAGGGTGCTGCATGAGGTGCTCGTGGAAGAAGAGAGCGGCGGCTACGAGGAGGATTGTAATCATCTCGCATCTAGAGGAATATAGATCGGAGTATAGAGCCGAGTACGTCTAGATCGGGATAGATGAGGGATGAGGATGGAGGAGAACGTGACTGCTCGGAATGAATAATCCGACGCATGTGAACTCGTATAGATCGACTACATAAAATGAATCAACTCAACGCAATCCCGCCAAATCCCGCGGATCGCCATTCTTGCGTATCTCATCTCGCCACTGCATCAACAGCTTCTGCGGGCCGGTCTGCTCTATCCGTCCTGCATCCCACATCACATATCCCCATCGCCGCAGCGGCTGCCACGTCCAGCCGCCAAACATGTTGCTGTACGTTTCGCCCCAGAGCAGGACCCAGCCGAGCGACGGCGCATTTTCAGCTTCTTGGTCACCACGGAAGGGCATTGGCGCGCGTTGCCGCACGAGGACGTTGCGCGGCGACTGCGGTTGAAGGCCCCAGAGCCGACTTTGCGTGACTTGGCTGAGCGCTTCCATGAGCCCGTCGCCGATGAATATGTCCAGAGACACCATCTCGCTATCCATAACGGAGACCAGCGTGTCGTGGTCATGGATTTGGGAGACGATGTGGAGGAGCTTGAGGCCACGAGAGATGGTCCCTTTGAGGAGACGTGTTCGTTCCACTGTATCGTCAGCGAGCAATACCACAGAAAGGGGAAAGAGACCTACATGTATGCTCATCCAGATCCAGGCCCTCGGGAGTGGACCAGCCATTGCCGTTGCGCTGATTATCCCGGTCAAGGTCATCGCGGATTTCGTCAAACACCTGGTTGTATTTGTCCTGTGCGAAGATATGGACACAGGAGATTTCTTCCAGCTCCCACGGTTCGAAGATGGCCGTAAGGTGCTGGAGCACGTACTCGTTCATGGATTCTGGTCTCCCCACGAAGGGGTGGCTCAAGTGCCCTAGGCCGAACACGTTACAGCACAGCTCGAAGCGATACAGCGCGCGCATGAGCCGTGTTTCCTCTGTTCGAGAGGGGGTTTGTGGATCAGCACTCCGGGGGATGTTCGTCTGGACAGCGAGGTGGTCCATTGCGCAGCGCGTGTACTGGGATAGCAAAGGCATCACGACGTGAACATGAAATTTCAGCATTTTGGTCAGAGATTCAACATCCGCCTCGCGTAAGATGGAGGCGGGAGACGCAGAGCGACGGTCACGGTAGGAAGCGAGGAACCGATCCACCTTCTGCTGCGTGCGCCTGGATAGAAAGTCTCTGGAGCTGGACAGCTGCACGACATGTGCGTCAACAGCCACTTTTCCCAGTGCGAGCTCGAGACAGCTTCGAAGGATGAACCTCTTATCCAGCTGGAACTGTTGATAGTAGGTGGGAGATGCATGGATCAGCGCAAGGAGACTTGCGGGATCTAGAGTCGAGAGGAGCAGACGACGGATCTCGGAGGGGAGAGCTTCAATGTCGAGGGCCCCTTTCCGACGTTGCCGGGTCTTATGCATAAGTTGTTTGAGGCGCTGGAGAGGGTTTGGCATTGTGTGCAGTACTTTGAGTAGGTAGGTTGCTATGGGGTGGTGAGGTGATAGATTCATCTTATAATGATGTCCTCATTGTTTAAATATAATGTTGTATCATTATCATGAAAAAAGACGGGAGTGAGGACGATGAAACATGTACAATAAAGAAGATTAAAATAGCATTCCCGAGAAAAGAAAGTTCTGCAGAAAGAATCCTTTTAAGATAATGTAACAAGTTGTGGTATTGTGCCTTTTAGAAGAAATGTATGCATTATCTTGGAGCTGTACGTATATTGATTTCCTTGATCCGCCTTTCGCCCTTTCAGTACATCCTGATATCAACTGTATCGAATACACAAAGTCACTGTTGATATTGGAAAAGCCATGAGTGCGCATGGCTTTGGCCGTGCAAGCATGTCCTTTCCATGCTGCGCAGTTGTGTTCAGGGTTGAGCTGACAAGGAAAGGCTCAGGCTCACAGTCATATGTAGATCTATTCAGTTTTTTGGACCTGAACACAACGCCTATATACAGTATGATTTACGGATATATAGAGATAGCACTGGTGTGCGAGGGTCCTCTATAAAACCAACCTAAGAGGAAGGTATACCTCTGCGGTAGAAACAAACGCTGGTAGTGCACCTGGCAGCCACCTGCTACAACGCTTCTATCACATCCATGTCGGGATTTGGGCACCAACGCATCCGGTGGTTTATCTATATACCCCGCTTCTCGACGATATATTGTAGATACCTTCTAGTAGGTGCTACCGTGCATGCCTTTCCTGTAGTGAACGTTTCTCCCCCAGCTAATCATACTCCTTACAAAACAGCAACTCTACAATGAATTCAAATTTATCAAATCATTTAATGAGCCAAGTTACCTCGACGGTTCCTTTAGAGGTTCGGCCGTCATCTATCGTAGGGGTGAAAAACGGCCTGTTCACGACGGCCGCCATACAAGCGGGCGACGAAGTCTTCCTATCCAATCCTTTGATTGCTTGTGTGAATGACGGCCTTCAAGATGTTGTTTGCGACTACTGCTTCTTATACACTAAGAGTGTGATACTGCCTAGCGGACATTTTCGACAGACGCTGGAAGACAGCAGACCTTTGAAGAGGTGCGCTGCCTGCAGAGTTAGTCACTATTGCTCTAAAGTAGGTGTTTTCTCTTCCTCTTGGAATCTGACGGCAGGGTGGTATCACCACTGACGGGTCGAAAGGACTGCCAGTTGAATGCTTGGAGAAGCTACCATCGCTATGAGTGCCCCGCGCTCAGCGAGAACAAGGGCATATATGCCAGGACACGAGCCCTATACAGGCTTCTTACCATGAAAAACGGCAATAAAATAAGCCCTGAGCAACGGGATCTTATCGATCATCTGGAGCATCACCTTGAAAAGCACCTACAGAGTTCCAATTCCGAAATGCTAATCGGTGCTTCTGTATCTGCAAGCACGAAGACGAATACGGGTATATCAGAAACCCAGAGACTATTTTGTGTTGTATGCCATACAATAAACCCTAACGCTGTTGCAGCACTGATTGATCTGGTTATAGATACTCACCAATGCCATGTGCATTAAAATGGCAGACGGGTCTGCACCAGTACTTGGTACGACACTTGATCTGGCTGCCTCCTTCATGAACCATTCATGCAACCCTGGGGCTTTTGTGTTTTTTGAGGGAAGGCAGATGCGAGTTCGAGCTTTGCTTTCACTACCTGCTGGCGAAGAGATCACCCAGGCGTATGTGGATCTATCTGGGTCTGTCTTCTCCCGACAAGCAACTACCGAGGCAGAATATTTCTTCCAGTGTCACTGTAGGTGAGCCTAGGTCTCATGCATGTCTACTGGGGTATTGATCAAATTGTCAGGCGTTAGGTGCGAGGATGATTTGGAAGATCTTCAACAAATAGCGAGGGGAGGAGTTGACTTGGTGCAGCTTCGAAGTGCACAGGAACGCTTATTGGACCTTGCGAATCACGCCAGACACCAATACAATACAACTGGTGTTTTTCCAGAGCTCGCCGATCTCGATGTAGAAGCCAGAACAATTATTCGTGACACATTCGTCAACGGTGCGTGGCCGGCTGGCATGTCGCCAATGCCTCTAGTCCTCAGTACATTTGCTCAGATTTGCAAAGATAAGGGTGACAGTCCCGGAGGGCTGCGCTATTCTCTGGAGGCCACACTGTCCTTACGGGAACGCATAGGCAGCGTCTGGGTTCATATGTTGTTTGATACAGTTCAAAGCCTGGTTTTTTTCATCCAGTCCAACGCATACGACATACACGGGGACGACACCAACCTCTCACAAGATGTCTGCTGGAACGTTCTCCATGGCTCTTTGGGCATGTTGAAGCGAGCAGCGACCCACGTCTATGGAGCTGACTCCGCTTATACGCAGTCAATTAGTAACTGGTATTCGAGAGCCATCGGTTCTGCCCAGCCACCTCTTCCGGGAGCTAGGAGATTTCTGCTTGTCTATGAGAGGTCCCAAGCAAAGATGCTCAGATGGGCAGGTATCGAGGATAGTAGAGGCGTCAGTCTCTCAACGTGATGTGATATTTGAGATTGTCTTCAATTTTGCATCTTCTACACGGCCACATGAAGTGGAGTCATAGCCGATGCTCATTTAAACCGATGGTTCCTCTTGCGAATAGACCAGATTGTCTGGCTGCTAGCTCTTCCTAATCAGCCACCTGGCGGGCCCCGGAACCGTTTATATGGACTGCCATTTCCTAGCTAACGGGCCCAGGACCGTATTGAAGATGATCTGATGGGCTTTACCAATAGCATTCAGGAAGCTATCAGCCACAGATGCGTATGGACAGACTGGACCGCCTCCACAGGACTATCCGACATAACTGTTTATTGTCATTTTGAATACTGTCGTCTTATGACATAGATCGCTTGGCATTCTCCTAATTTCCAAGTGAAGCTATAGACGCAAGTCCTGAAATGCGGTTTCCAAATCACGGGCATGGGTCACACCAGTGGCTGTTCGGTGGTCTTGACCACCCACAGCAGCACCGCACTCAGGGCACCGAGACAGCTCCATAGCACCACCACATTCTCCGATTGTGAACGGATGTCCATTTTCGCAATAATACCAGTGGCCTGTTCCGCGGAACTCCCGTGACATGGCAGCCACCACGGCCATGCGCTCCTCGTTGGTTACCGGGGTATAAAATTCCGAGCCGCCGAGCATTGCCCTTGTGCCCTCGATCTCTTCCTGGAGGCCGCGTGTCTGGACGGTGTGGAGGTTACAAAGCCTTTCCGCTTCCTCAATTGCGGCAGTCCCTTCTTGCAGTAGAGTCTCTGCTCTAGCCGGCTCTGACGAATTTTGGCGCTCGAGTGCGCAGAACTGGGCGAGGAAGATATTCCCCTCGGCTTGTTGTAAGATCCGGCGGGAGCTTTCTGCGGTAGTAATGAGACGTTGGCTTTCCCTCTTGTATTCTGTTAGGTTGACGTGTAGCTCGACTAGATGGGTGATGGGTCGCACTAGTCTGTGCAGGGAAAGGAAGTCGGCAAGCAGAGCCGTGTCTAGGCGCAACAAGAGAGCCGTAGCTTGGAGGTGGCCTTTTGTTTGGAGGACACCTGAGTCGAAGTCGAACTGTCCGGCCGTCTTTTTTCGTCTGCGCGCATCTTCGACCAAGGCGCGGACTCGGTTGAAAGGTTGCTCATTCACCTCCACGCTGCTCCTATAGTTGCGTATCTTCTCCCGGAGAGCTATGATCTCCTTCCATCGTGTTTTATCATGTTTGCTGACATGGGCGCTCATCAATTGCACTTAATGGTCTGGAGGGCCTTCGAGTCGGATCTTGACACCCGCTTGCAACACTCGTCTGGCGGTGTCCTCCGCCCTTGCTCGTGGTCCATGGTCTTGTAATTGCGAAATACGCTTCGGCAGGTCCTGGGCCAATGGAACGTACACCTGATTCAGGTACAAGATGAATCTCTTCGTTGCCTCATCTAGCAACGCGCGTCTCACAAGTCTTCCGTAACGTGACACATTGCGCAGGGAACCTCGACAGATAGCACATGTGCGAATGTCGTCAATTAAGAAGGGCTGCGAGGATGAAGCGATTAAAACTGGCCTTCCTTTGTCATCCAAAACATAATGGTTTCCGATGCCCATTTGACCATCCATACTCTCGATGGTCAAAAAGTGCCCACACTCGGGGAAAATACATGGGTTCTCTGTCAAGTCCACCGTGCGGTACTGTTCACCCAGGATGAAGTCCACCACACTGTCCTTGATGCTTTCCGATGCGCAATGCTGGCAGTATTCGCTTGAAGGGCACGGTTCGCCACATACAGACGGGCACTGGTGGCCACACGATAGCACTTTATCACAGCGCAGAGAGCATGGGATATGGTCGCAAGGCGCAGCACATGGCATCGAACATAAGCTGTGAGGGCATGATGACAAACACTTGGCCACCGCGCATGGAGCACACGGTTCGGAGCACTTCTTCGGACACTAGGAATGGCCGCACCGCACATCACAAGGTGAGGGACATGGTAGACATGGAACATCCCCATGGCATTCCGCAGCACAAGCGTGCGCGCACGTTAAATACAATCGTCCACATCTCTGCGTGCACTTTCCGTGTTCAATCTGGGGGCCCTCAGCGGTGCGTTTGATACACGACGCGCATTGCCGTCTGCAAGGGTGACCACATGATAACAAACTCCCACATTGGTGGGTGCATCGATAATCTACACTATTAACGTCAACATGGCAAGCCACCCTCGTTCGGTGACCGCAGTGCGGTATCTCTCTGTCAACCAAAGTCGGGCATTTGACAAGGCTTAGATCTTGTGCCTGCCAACATGGGAGATAAGCCATTGAATGCCCACATGGGAGAATACGATCAGCATCAAAGACAGATACGGCGCATTTCGTAGGACATGGGTCCCCGCATGGCTTTGGACAAGGATGCGAACACCAATTCCGGGGGCGTTAGCACTGCTCAGGGCAATAAGCAGCGGAATGAAGCATCTCCGAATAACACTTCTGCTTGCAAGGATGGCCGCACTGAAGCCGTTTCCCGCACTGTAGACTGCAGCCTCCCTCGGGTAAGTATTGGGTAAAATAATCTGGCTCCGATACTGTAATGGGGACCTCCGGGTGTCGAGGACATGTTAGCTCCAGGGCATAACCAATATTTCCCTCCCTCTCCAGCATATCGAGCACCTTTCCCCACATATCAACATTTCGGGAGGTTGCTGAGTTCCCGATGAGATACATGCCGTGTTGTGCACGGGACAGTAACACATTAATCCTGTTAGGCGTACGCAGGAAGCCACACCGATTCTGGCTGTTACTTCGGACCAGCGAAATCACCACCACTTTGGCCTCCTCGCCCTGAAAGTTGTCGACTATTGCTACCCTTAGCGCATGGAGAAGGGTTGATTTAGAGAGCGCCGGCCTTTCCATGCGCGGCTCATCGACAAAGCCAGCGTTAGCCAGGTCTTCCTGGTCTCTTTCTCCAACGGTGATGATGAAGGACTCGCTCAGTTTGCGTCGGATCCGATGAAGTTAGCCCAGATAAGGCGTCAGAACAGCAATATCGCCGCTTTGGTAAGTTCCCTGGCGAAGAAGATAATTAACCAGAGCAACTGTCAGTTGTATCTCGTAATCATTCCAGTGGGACGCTGCCATAGCTTCCTCATCCGAAGCATTGCCCTCTGGTGCACGGTGGTCAAGCCAGAAAAGCCTCTTTCGCATTCCTGTTACCTCGGGATATCCGAGCACGGATGGTGCATCTTGTAGGCGCGGGTACAATGTATCACGGATGAGCTAGGATATTGATGGGTGCATTCGTCGCTGCGTTTCCAAGGTGCAGAACGGGATCTGGACGCCGACGCCATCATCAGGTTCTACAAGCCGTTCAAATAGCGACGTGTCCAACGAGTACTGTCGTCCCGCTGTGCTCTCCCGGGAAAGGCCATAGTTTTGAATCTGAGGCCGGAGCTGTTGGTGATCGCCGATGAGGACTACCTGCTCCAGAGATGGCAACAGCGAAGTGAGCATATGCGCCTCCAACACCTCCCCGGCTTCCTCGCATACAAGGACCTTGGACGGCAGTCTGCGGAGCATCTTGAGATTGCGGGCGAGGCCTATTGTAGTCACTCCGATAACGTCCGCCGCCCTAAGACACCGCAAATCCGTTTGATCCCTGATTCTGTCCCAGGAAGCCTTGGTATCCATGTGGTCAGAGAGAACCGCCTGCGCCCGGAGATGGGTGTCCGTTCTGTGTTGCTCCACCCAGTAATTATAGAGTGCTTTGCGTTCAGGGGCTGTCATCATATCGACATGGACGCTTGCAAGCTCTTCCACAGAACGGGACGGGGCTCTACTCTGCTCGCCGCCCCTTAGCCACGACTGTATCGTGTTGACGGGACCTCCATGTGTTTTCCTCTGGAACCCTTCTTTATTTTTTCCAAAGAGCTGACTATAGTGCACCCGTTGGTGTCGTTCGATGTAGTACTTCACACTGTGGGGTGAGCCGGTTGAGTTCAACCTGAGCTTGTGGAATTGACGCTCATGCTCGTCCAGCGTTTCGTGCAGTCGACATTGTGATTGCTTCTCCGGACGCGTCTTCTCAACTCCTCGAGCGACAGTGCGGAGATTCAACGGTTGCAAGCGCTCCGACTTAGATTGCGACCCGATACGAATGATTTGCGATGTGATCTTATGATCCAGCAGGTCCTCCAGGAGCTGGTCAAGGGCATGGTTCGTATAGCAGACACATATAATTGGACCGAGTCCTTTTCTGACGATGGCCTTATTAGCCAGCAAGACCTTGATCAAAGCGACTCCGGTGTAACTTTTCCCAGTCCCTGGCGGGCCTTAAATCAGTCCAATCTTCCGCTGTAGAGAGTGGACCAGAGCTAAAGCCTAGGCATCATCGAGTGTGGAACCTTGCTAAAATCTTTCCAGATCAACAGGTCGAGAGCTATCCACTTTTAGGCTGGACCCATCCTCCATAAGGCATTTTAAGTCGAAGCTAAATCCTTGGGCGGTCGCGTAGATAGGGGGCGGCACGTCGGCCAACATAGAAGTCGTCTCCTCATCCCTGGGAACAAGGAATTCCGACATGGGAACATCTGCAGCTCTCTTCATCCCCTGGAGAGCAAGTAGGGTCGGTTAAAATGACGGCAAGAGAACACCAGGGAATTCCACAAGCGAGATGGGTGACGTATTGCCTTGGGATGCATAGCAGTCGAGGATGTACTGCCAGCTAGCCTCGCTAGGCTCAACCAACTACAAAACAACTGAGGCCACATTTGGCTAAGCCGAAAGGGAGCCGGCTACCTTCTCATGCTGCTTCTCGTCCGCACCAGGTCTTAGGCTCCGGCGATCGGGTGAAACCACCGTGCAAAAGGTTGCAGACCCTCGCGGATCCACAAGACATACGAAGGCGTCTGACTGTAAACGTTTCGACAGTTGCCACCATTCTTGTCGTTTTTTGCTCGTCATATTGCGGATACTCTTTGGCTGAGCAAAGCGGACGAGAAACTGCAGCCCTTCAAAACGATGGAAGTCCAGGCTCTGCACGACTACCCCCCGGTACACGTAAGTCCTTGTTTGGCCTTTTGCAGACCGGTTCCCCTTGTCCTCAACCGGCCGGAGCTCGGCATGGATGGCATCTCTGAGTTGACCAATGGTGTCTTCTCGTAGGAGTCGAAAGTTCCTGTCCAAGAGCCCAGCAAGTCCATTGACATGCCACTGGCGCGGGTCTTTCACGGGGAGATACTCTGAACGCGGCGACAAGATCTCCTGAAATGTCGGCATGATTTGGATCCGGCAAATATCCGCGTGGTCATTATCATGACGCCCGCCAGGAGACGCTTGTTGTGTCACAAATGCAACGGGTGTTTGGGTAGATGGCTGCTTTGGCGTCTTCGTTGCGTTTGGCAAAGAAAGACCGATGTCAAGTCGGTGCTGCAGCTTGTTTAGGTAATCGTGGGACTGATGAAGAGAGTCAGAGCTTCCCAGGGCATGGAGGGTGAGGAACAGATCTGCGAAAAGCTGGGCGACTGGCTGTAGCTGTTCTTGGATGAAGGCGGTAGAGTTCAACTCGACTATCTTCCAGAAGACGAGGAGACTCTGCTCAAGGTATGCGGATGCTGCGTTACCCTCACTATCGATTTCCAGCCGCACAGCACTTGCCAAAAACCTCAGAAAGGGCTCAGCCCGACGACCACCCACGCCATACAGGCAGTTGTATATAGTGGCCACGGCTTGTTCCATCACCAGCGAGGCAAGGACGTCGGGGTATGTGATGGCCTCCATGAAGGGGAGCATCTGATGGACAAACAGCTTGCGTTTCGCAGATGTCGAGAGAGAATCGAAGTCACGCTGAACCAGCTGCTGGATCCGTTTCAGCCCGTGCTCTGTGGAGAGACACTGGATCACGTCCTGGAGTGTGCCTTCGTCCGTCTCGATGAGCGCTCTAGCCTTTGCGAAGAGTGGTCCTAGGTCCCCTCTCTGAGTGTTGACTTGTTTCTTCCAGAGAGCTAGCTCGCCGAACCTGCCGAAATTCTCGTGCCTGTCGGCCAGGCCACGGGCGTCGTTCTTGTTCTGGCGGACATGAGCAAATCGGCAGGGGTTGTAGCGACAAAAACCACGCTTCGCGAAGTGAGAACAGATCTTTTGGTTGTTATTCGCAATACTGCCCATTTTGTAAATAGACTTTCAGTGTGTTCGTGTGTGATTCCTGGTGGTGGTATAGTTTGTTGAAGAGTATGGGACGGCCGAGGAAGTAACAGCGGTTAAGCTGATAGATATAGGTCGGTTGTGTACACCATCAGCCATCTGTCAGCCTTGCCAGGCGACAGGTAGTTTGAAAAACCAAGGCGAGATGAGGCGGCTTTAGCCTTGATAAAACAGTGTCTTCCTCTCCAACCATCTAAGCGCTGCGGTGGTTGTGATGTTTGGTGATTGGATCATGCTTCACGGAGACGTTCGGAGATGTTGGCGGCGCAGTGCATTGCAGTTACTAGACACTTGCGTAAGCAGGCATGGCGCGTTTTGGTCGTACTTTTGGCTCCCATTTCAGCAGCCTTGTCCTGGAACGGACCACTTCCAGACTAGATAGCAATACATCATGTGGCCATTGTGCGCTCTTGCTAGGCTGAGTATGGCGATAATGTGTCAATGGGACGCCTGCGGTGCTGCTTTCCGGCCCATTCAGATGGCTCATTCTTTCTGAATCCTAATCTGAAGGATGCACACTCATCACCTGTCCTGACATCTGTTGCCTGTACATTCTTGAAAGCTTTGGTGGTAGCAGAACCAATGCAAGTCGTCGTTGTGTTCTAAACCGTTCCTATTGTTGAGAATATTATTGGCTATATATTCTCATACTTTATCATTGCTTGGTCCGTCCGAAGAAGCACGACATACTCGTCAGTCACCACGTTTGCTGCTTGTTTTCCCCCTTGGTAGCTTTGAAAGATATGGAACATCAGCACAGTGAAACGTCGGGAGCCCGGGAACTAGATGGCCGTGTCGACTGGGCCGTATCTCGTGAATCTCGCCCCAGGAAACCGACCGGGGGAGCAGGTTCTCCACGGGTTCAAAAGCTGGTTCAAAGTAAGATCGCATATGCATTTCGGTTTGTAGCTTCCACTATTCTGTAGCGATGTAGACTTCTGTAGGGTGGCTTCATCAGACACCATTCAAACTGGAACACGTAGGATTTAGGTGAAATATGCATGGCAGAGTGGTAAGTCTACACACCCCGGTAGCTATCAGCCAATGAACAGTCCTGCGACTATCGTTCTACGTATGCTCATGCATTGGCATGATCACAGAGTCGTCTTGAGATATACCCATGGCTGGAATGCTAGCTTAATGTGTGCTGAATGATAGATAGGCATAGCTTAATATGTCTAAGGCCTCTGCTCGTGTGATGGGGGAGCGTACACAGAGTGCCAAAAAGTCCTCCTTGCTAGAAGATAGCTCAGATCTATCACTCTCCACTGGATTTTTGAACTAACAGAGTGTCTTAGTATTAGCAGAAGGTTGGATTGTAACCACGTGGGCTAGTATGGGCTCTGTTACGTCAGTAATGAAATTCCCTGCAATATAGAATGGTGGGATTTGGGCGAGAACTTACCATCATCTGCGTCTATCAATCGTCAAAAAGCGCAGTACGCCAAAGCCTGGTCGTATCTTGTTTGTTTTATTCGTGTGTCCTGCTCCTTCTTTGATCACTGTAACCCAGTCTTCTTATCTCTCGCGTGTCCTGAAACCGATGACGACTGCCTCCAGCCAAAACCGACTAGGCAAGTCTACCAAGGGGAGTTGTAGCTGTAGATGCTGACGACTGATAGCGCGGGTTCTCATACACAACACGCTCATTATAATTCGCAAGAAACGGCGTGGTGGCATCGAAACCATTCAGATCGTGCAGTTCGGCTATTTTGGCAGCGAGAGGCTCATCTTCCTGAGGCCATCGTACAAGAAACCACCCCCTTCGCTTATGCTGCCAGACGACGTGGACAGGGAGAATGATTTTCACCTCGTGTGCTGTATCAAAGTCGTACTCTGAGTTGTCGATATCGATGGCCATAAAGGTGCGATCTTCCCTGATTTCTATGGCCAGGAAATGAATTCGACCATCATTCTCCCAGTCGGGGAAGATGTCGTTGATGAATTGGCTGGCTGACACACGATAATCATGAGAATCGAGTCGATCTGTATGTACTTTGACCACAAGCCGCCTTGCCTCGGTCGTTTCGAAGATCTTTTCGCGAAGTTCCGTGATAGTAGATATGTGGATGCGTAGTAACGGAGGGTGAAGTAGATCAAGGGAGGCTCAATGGGCGGTCACATTCCATGAATGTTTGCTTCCAGTCACGTGGATCGCTACATGGCATTCGCTCCGAAGCAGAAACAGTCTTCACTTTCCATCCAAGGGCAGATTGGAGTTATCAAAACTTCACAACCGGTCTCGCGAAGCGGTTGCACGATCTTCATGTATTGCCATACGCGTCGGGACCAGAGACATACTACCTACTGATGAACAAAATGACTATACACCTAGGCACAATTTCAATTGTGTGGTAACCCCGATGACGGATGGGGGAGTTGCGGACGTGTGCTGGGGTTGTGAGGGAGCATATTGCAAAGGCCGATTGTGACGAGAGCTGTTATGGTAACTACCAGGTATACTGCCCCCGACATATGGGGAAATCAGTGATGGCACAATGAATTGCTAACGAACAGCGCCATTCCAAGAGTGCGAGAAATATATGCAATTCAACAGATAACCGACGAAGTACATCGATAATCAGCATTTATCTACATGTTTGTGACACATTAGTAGATAACCACTGCACAGGACAAAGGCCAGGCCAAAGACCACATCAGTATCATCAGATGAAATATACACAAGTAAACTTCGATAGCTCTCCCTCTATGCTTGAACGCTCAATAAGTACACCCGGATAATTCCCGGATCGTCTGAGATGATCACTAGGTATTGAATAGGCAGAGAAGAAACACCACGAATGACTCTGATATATTGGAATTGACCATGGCTACCACAGGCGCACGGCTTATCCTCCGTCACGAATTCCTGTCGGCACATGAAGAGGTTGACTGGGCATCCATTGCCCTCGACGTCGAGACCGACCCTGCATGGACAACCGAAGAGGCTGCATTTGTCCTTCCCCACCCAGTACGCTTCTTGGACTCCAACTAACGACGAGTATTCTCAGAACGGTAACCGAATCACCGTCCGATAATTTTCTAGCCAGCCTCTGGATGCAGGAAAAAAAGCCTTGTGCGTAGTGTGGATCTATCGCGTCCAGCTGCACGATCATGTATACAACCCGCAATGAACGAAGGAGTCCAGCCAGGACGTCCAGGAAATGCTCGTCGGTACTTGCGTGGTTGAATTGATCCAGATATTGTAGGATCCTTTCCTTCGCTCCCATTGCATCGATCCAGGTTACCGTCTGATATATGAGGCTTTTGAGTGTGGCGATAACAGGGTAACAATCTCTCTGGGGGACCAGGACCCAGATATTGGCTATTTTGCTCCTGAGAAGCTGCTCGACAATGTTGGTACAAAAGTCTTGGGCAATCGTTCTATCCGCAATTCGCACTTTGACTGGAAGGAGTGAGGACGTAGCTGATTGATTCCATAATTGTAGTCGAGGTGTCTTCCAAAAGGGCGTTATCTTGGTCCTCTGTCTGAAGCGACGGTGATTGCGAAGTCCAATGGAAATTTGTAGGCAGCTCTGGTGATCAATTTTGCACTGGGATTGTATCACCTGGAGTGCTTGAGTTGATTGAATACTGAACACAGAGCGCGATATCTGTACTTGCTCTGCGCGCGTGGCGGCGAGAAGATTTTTCAGGTCTTGGAGCTCCTGTAGGATCCTCGTGAGGCCGTCCGTGCTCGATGACGCATTCTGTTCCATCATTTTTTGGATGGCAAGAAACTTTCGATGTATATCACGCTGCTCCGCATGACTGCCCGCCGTCGCATGGGCCGTGATTTTATCCGTGGTTTGGTGGATATTGTTGATGATGTCCGTGTATCGCAGGGCTGCAGGCTTGGTGACAGCATGCATCGCTCGTTTCCACGGGCGTTCTTCGTACCATTCTAGCGCCCGTAGCAGAAACTGAATGATGTGTGCATAGAGGGTGGCAAACATCCGTTTGATTGATGAAGTTGGATATAAGGACACAGCGAGTTTGGCTCGAGATAGAGCATCCCCAACGTCTATGAGGCCGTTTGCGATGGTCAACTCGGTGTTTTTATGCTCGACAATTGCCTAGAATATCAACATTACTCTCGCACACTGCACAGGCTGGAAGAATGACATACCCCAACCAATAACTTCATGGCACCCCAGGCCAGGGCCGTGAACTCGGGATGATGCTGCGAGAGAACGTCCATGATGTTTCCGTAGTAGTGAATCCTTTCTGCTAGTTGAACCATGCATCGTCCAACAGCTGAGTCCGTCCGTCGCCCATGACATTCTTCCTGTGCTTTTTTCACCGCCTTCAGGAGGTCTTCCATGGTCGTTGTTTTCAAGGCATGAAGTCGGCCCTTTTTGCGGGAATCCTGAGTGCCTTGTGATTCAAACAGGGCTCGCGCTTTCTCGAAAGCAACCTCGGCGTCCTCGAAGTCTCTGGAGCTTGGGAAGTGTCAGCGCACAAAGACATAGTAGGTCGATGTGAAACAGCTCAACACTTACCGCTCTCCGGAATACCAATGGGAGAGAGCTGTTGTTGGCAGGTCACCTTCCATCATGTTCAATATAGGGACCCGGGGGTGATTCTATCGTGCTATTCGGTGTACTCGAAATGAAACAGTCAGTACCCACGGCATCATCTTGTTTGAATCAGCTAGACGCCCAGCCCCATTCACGTGATGTTATAGGCATGGATGCAGCTGGGCGCTAAGACTCAGCCTCATCGCCAGGCTGCTCAATCTTGCCCTTTCAACTCCTTTCACGTCGTGGACTGTGCGTTCTTGGTTGTCCCTGTCATCTTCCCAGCCCTAAAAGATGCCTAATTCCGAGAAGAAGCGCACTGGCTCAACGGTCGGTGACAATAGTCTTCGTGTTCCCCCGCCCACGCAAGTCGGTCAGGCCAGGCCGATGCCTACACCTTCACCCCGATGGCCACATATCTGCTCTCCTCTTTCAATGTCCACGGGTCCAAGCTCTCAGGGAGGGCGAGTAGCATACCCCCATATGACCATCACAGATGACCATAGCGAAGGGAGCGACATCAAGAGGCGCAAGCTCATGGCTGTTGCCGGTCCAGAGAACCCAGTCGACCCGCCTGGCTTCCTAGCACAGGATGTAACCTCGGGCAACGACGACTCACACGAGAAAGACAAGTTATATAGGGCACCACCTTCGCCTGATGACCCCTCCGCGTGGGCCAGTCTAAATATGCCCGATCTCTCTGCGTTTAATCTCGCAAAGTCATCTGAAATTTTCCCAGAAGGGATGGAGAATAGGGGCTTGCGAGTTCCAGCCCCATTTGACCGTCGGGCCCCCAAGGGTGCCAGAAAGTCAACAGAAAACCGGTATCTTCCGTCGAAATTGGCATTAGATGAGGACTCTAGCTCCAATTTTCAGGCAACTTATAATCCAGCTACTGGGAGCTCATCGTTCAGAGCTGCTGACGATACTGCACGATCGGGACATCATAGCAACGCAAATGACGTTACCGACGAAGTACGTCGATTACACAATCGGGTCGTTGAATTGGAATCAGAGCTCCAATCCTCTGTGGTGGCGAAGCAGAGATGCAAGCCTCCGCGAATTCAAGTTCTTTATCGCCTCCAGGACGACAATTCCGAGGAGTCTTCAAATGACAACATCCCGTTTGAAGACGTACCAGAGATAATCAGGAACAAGGGAGATACTGCTCATTTGCGATGCCGGAACCGAGTCAGCAATCTCGAGCTTTACCTAATAAGACACCCCGACATATCATTTGTGGTCTTTCGAACTTATCCTAAGACCATTCTTCTTGACGGCAAAAAGGCACAATCTTGCTCCCAGCCGGTTGACCAACTCCATCTCCCACCCCCACTTGCTGAAAGCATTTTTCCGGTCGAAAAAAAGCTAAAGCAGGCTCTAGAAATGGTTCTAGAGCGAAAACCCGAATTCTGGAAGATCCTTGACGAGTATCTGGACACGGGCGAGCTTGACGCGCCGTACCTTTTCATCTACCATAGCCGGAACGATCTAGAGGATATCCGGTCCCTTCTGGCCCTCGATGTTTTAAAGCAGCTGGATCTTCTCTTGGGGTACGTGAAGTATGCATTTGGGCATGAGTATCATGAGGCAGATGACCTGTTGAAGAAAGACAACATGGCGCCAGCCTATATCCCATACTTGACTAAACCCGGTGATGTGCTAATCGTAAGGGAGGGAAAGTATCACACGGGTTTTATCGCAGAATCTTGGTCGTCCTCAATGCGAGAAACACCCTCCATTTCCACCTCTTCGGACAGGAAAACTATCATTGACTGTTCTCATTCCCGCGAGGGATTTGGACATGAATTTGGCGCTGCAGGAGGACTGATTGATGAGCCAGCCATATTGAACCATGCGAGTGGTTCCTGGACGCGGCAGTCTAATCTGGTCTATACCTGCACATTGATGGGTAAGACCCTGGAATTCGACGGCTGCTTTTACTGGAAACAAAAGCTGTTGACAATTGAGATGTCTGCCGACTCTCTTCACCAAGCCAGCGCAATTGCCAACTTAAATGTCTTTCCTCTTCGGCATGCGCCGAAGGAACTCTCCGATCTCCTTCAACGGCGAGGATCAAATTTCTGGAAATGTCGGGCGAAAAACCTCATTTCTTACCAGCCTGGAGATGATGACGAATTTAGCAGAATGGTAGGCCATTTCCTACTCTTATATAGTCGATTGGAAATATCAAACGCTGAAATCAACAGACAGATGACCGATACATGATTGATATGCGCACGTTCCGCACGCTTCACCCTCATAATGCCATTTCGAGAGGACGAACGTCCGACGACCTCAGCTTGGACGTGATCAGGGACGATGAACGCTTTCAATATCTCCTCCCGCCCCTCATCAAGGGATACAACCTCCGTCGAAAAGCCTGGCATGATCTTGCCGTCGACCGTATCTTTGACGTGAAATGGAACCGCGAAGCGTTCCATTCCCTCGTCATCGAAAACAAAGCCAAAAGCCTTATCGAGGCCCTTGTCGTCAGTCAGTTAGAGGAAGAGAAATCAACGGACCTGATCAGCGGCAAGGGGAACGGCTTGGTCTTATTATTCCATGGCGGACCGGGGACCGGAAAGACTCTGACGGCCGAGGGAGTCGCAGAAATAGCCAAGAAGCCCCTTTACCGTGTAACTTGTGGCGATGTCGGCACTAAGGCGGAGGACGTCGAAAAATACCTGGATTCTGTCCTGCACCTCGGACGGATCTGGGACTGTGTTGTTCTACTCGACGAAGCAGACGTCTTCCTCGAGCAGCGAAGCCTGGAAGACCTCAAGCGCAATGCGCTTGTCTCTGTTTTCCTACGCGTGCTAGAGTACTACGAAGGAATCCTTATTTTGACGAGCAATCGGGTTGGGACCTTCGACGAAGCCTTCATCTCGCGCATTCAGCTGGCCCTGCATTATCCCGACCTGGGCCCCCGCCAAAGGCATCAGATCTGGCAAACCTTCATCGACCGACTCGAGAATCTTGATGAAGATATTGACTTTGCGAATCTGCGTGAGAATCTGGATGTGTTGAAAAAGGAAAAACTGAATGGGCGCCAAATCAGGAACGTTATTACCACGGCTAGACAATACGCCAAATGGAAGAAGACGACCCTCACCTTTGAGCATCTGAAGGACGTGATTGAAATCTCCGGGCGTTTCGGAACGTATCTCCATGACCTCCGGGGTTTCTCGGAAAATGAACTCGCAAAGGATGGTGGAATACGGTGAACTGATCCCACCTGGTGGATGACAGACATGGTTTCCTGTACATGCAAGAACTAGTTGCATTATCCAGCCAATTCTCATTAACTTGGATGTTAGCTACGAACAGGATACTAGTCACTGCTTTCTGCTAATGCGATGTCATTGGGAGCTCGTTGTACGCACATATTATTCAGTGTTCATTCTCCAGCGCCTGTCAGCTAGTAATACAACATACTATCCTGCAACTGTTCCATGAACGGTAAACGGTAGCTTGCGGTAGGTATTATCAGTATCCGCATTTTCACTAGCTAGTTGTTATACAACATACGATAGTATCGGAAATCGCCACGTCAATTGGAGCCTTCGATATAGCAAAGTACCTCAGACTAAGATTAAGAGGCACCCCTTGAGGTACCCTCGCACTTGAGAACTGCATTCTTCTCTATTGGCTGGAGATTGAGCTGTGGCTGGCTGAATGCCTACTAGCGTCTACTCATATAATAACAGAATAAGCAGCACCTCCGGTTGATGAATCTTCTCAAGGGTACTCCCTTGCTTTTACACAAAGTCATGATGCCGTTGTTTCCCTATCGAAGATGTTTGACAGGCGGGCTCTCGCAACGTAGCCTCTATTCCACTGGGTTGCACAGAGGGAAACCTCGGCAGAAAATGCAGAATATGACAACGGACCGTCCGTCGAACAGAGGCAGCGGCCGGCTTACCAAGATTTTGCTGGCGTTAATGATCTCATCCACCGCTATCGGGGCGGGAGTCATGATATGGGGATCTTACAAGCTATACACAAATAAAAAAGAAGTGTTTGGTTATATTCAGTCGGTTTATCATCGGGGGGATGAAGGGCGCCTGCAGCCGTTATACTCGCCGCTACAACGCGCAGACGAAATCCGCCTCTTGGTACTTGGGGTTGGCAAAGATTCTGATCCTATCCATGTCCGCTTGCAGCATGTCTCGTTAAAACAAGGTCCATCGTACGAAGCGCTTTCCTACGTCTGGGGTGACCCAACTCCGGAGAAATACATATACTGTGAAGGGAAGCAAGTGCGCGTTCGTGAGAGCCTGTACGAAGCCCTACACGCCCTACGGCGACCAGACACGGAGCGATGTTTATGGGCCGATGCAATTTGCATTAATCAGAGAGATGCAGTGGAAAAGGGGAAACAGATTCGGATCATGGGCGACATCTACAGTTGCACTCGCCAAGTACTGGTGTGGCTCGGAAGCCCTAGCCCAGCGACCGAGAACGCCTTTAACGCTCTTCAAGAGATTGACAGTTATCTCAAGAGGTCATCCTGGGTCTATAGAAGCAACCCGCTTCAAAAACAGCTTCTACGGGCAGTGAACTGGCCATATCTCGCAGACCTAAATCGAAAGGATGTGCGAGAGCTGCGGAAATATGACTGGAAATCGATTATGGCCTTGCTACGCCATCCGTGGCCTCGCCGCGTGTGGACATATCAAGAGTTTATCAGAGCCCGGAAAGTTACGATAGTTCATGGCCATGCGAGCATATCTGCGGACTCTTTTCTCAACCCGCTTATGGAAGTCCTGGGCTCACCTTTTGGCCAGGAACTCCTCTCATCCACGCAAGACGTATTTGAACCTCACAGTTACGCCAGGTTAGGTATCCAAAGCAGCTCTCAAGCCCATATTGAGAGTTTGTTCGATGCTGTCGTCAATGTTCTGAGTTACAGGGCCGCGACAGACCCGCGCGACCACATTTATGGTCTCCTAGGTGTGACGTCGGACCACGACGCCAGTGACTGGGAGCTCACACCAGATTACAACGCATCGGTGGAGGAGGTGTATACTAGATATGCCCGCTGGTGTCTACTGAGAAAGAACAATATTCGGTACCTCTCATTTGCTGGTCTTCCGGATCTTACCCAGAAAGGAGCATTACCGTCATGGGTAGCCGACTGGACACGCACCATGATGGTGAACGAATACCATGTTCTCTCCATGGTCCCATGTGCTTATCAAGCATCACATCCCACATCATCGCCTTCCTTGCTCTGGATTCCGAGCGAGCCCCGCGTGTTACATATCAAAGGCCGAATCGTTGACAAGTTGGCCGACCTTGCGGTCACACGCTTCGATCTGCTCACATACTGCGAGAAGAACGTCGAATCGAGAGGGCGCGTCCGTCAAATCCTACGATGGTTAGCATACAGACAGCGGATATTACATACTCGTCTCATTGTAGATGATCTCCTCGAAGCGCAGCAAGCAATCGATCGCTTCTGTCCCAGTAATCTGCCTCCTCATGCGGTGACAGACGTGGTGTGGATGGAAAACTGCAAGCACATCGCATCTGGGGCGACGGGGGTGATGGAACCAGAACGTTTTAAGGAGTTCTATAGAACAATGATCCGCAATCGAGACTTCAGAGGCTTCAGCTTGCCGGATGATACGATCTATAGGGCCTTCTCCCTGTACTTCCACTTGCTCGACAAAGTACGAGACGGGAAGCAAGCATGGCCACCGCTGCCTGGATCCTCGGCGGATCGATTGACCCAAGCACAGTTGCCAAACCGTTTACCTTTCGATTCTGGAATGACCCTGTCTCGGCGACAAAGACGCATAGAGCAGGAAACGCATATAGAAATCAGAACCCTGATGGCGAGATATTGGGGCGGTGTGATGTGCAAGAGATTCTGTTCCACCACCCATGGCCGCTTAGGGTGGGCTCCCAGACGCGCTCAGCCAGGCGATCTGGTCTGTATTTTCGACGGTGCTACCGTTCCGTATGTGCTTCGGCTACATGAAAACAAGGAAGTGTCCAAGTGGTCACTTGCATACTGGTCGTCACAGATGCAACGACTTCTTCTTCTTCCGGGACGAGATCCACAACGGGATGTGCGTTACACACTTGTGGGTGAATGTTATGTGCACGGGTTGATGGAAGCAGAAGAGGCTATGGATGAGGCTTGCGATACGGTTTTCTTCGCGATATCATAGAACTGTAACTCATACAGAGGGAAAATACTGTAAGGCTTCGACGATCACTTAGATATGCTCTATGATTCAGAGAAAGACTGGTTGTTATAAATAACGTCCGAAAAATATGTGTGGGTCAACATAAGATGAGCAGCAGATTGATTTCCAATGACTCTGATCCATACGGAATGAACTGCATACAAAACCCACATCTATTTCATCGAGCCCTGATTCACAGTACATATTGGGAAATACCTGGGCATGACCACATAAAACTAGACCGGCTCCATATGGTCACTGTGATCACTGGTTATCTCGTCGAATCACAGCCACGGTGGAATAGTCACAGTCTGGGGCCAATCATCGCTCTTTCTCGCAATGAACAAGATGATTGAATTGCCTTTCAATCAAATCACGAAGTTCCAAAGACTCACAGCTGTCGGTGACGTTCTCCAGACTCTCATCCGTCCACCCACATTCCTCAATGGCAACGGTCTTCAAAATATCCTTTTCCTCCCATGTATTATCCCTAATCTGGTGCTCCGTTTTTTCCAAGCTGCTCAAAGAACCGAGTTCCGTTGAATTGTTTTAAGAACCTTAGTTCTGGATTGTTCCAAATAGTGGAGGGGATGAGTGCTGCAGCGATATGGTTTCGAAAATCGGACAAGCCAAGGAGGCCAGGCCGTAACTGCCGCATATTGAGACCTGTTTCATCCCACTGGTGGGCCAGAAGGATGTCGACAGGTCGTGAGACGTTCGGAAGATCAGTACGAGAGGCCACGAGGAGGAGCTGGTATTTCGCTGATTTTCCTGGTCTAGTATAGTTTAGAGTACTGAAATGCAATCGTGGCGACTGTATTCTTCCAACCTTTTCTTTCTGACCATTTTGTTTGGAGATTGAGAGACAGATCAGAGGAAGCGCCTGCATCCGAAGTCGTAGGTGGTAAGGAGTTGCAGACGGAGTGGAGTCTTGAGTGTACCCCCGTAAGCACCTAGGTACCAGGTATTTAGTATCACGGGACGTGACAGGCTTGTATAAGGCATTCGCCACTGAAAGGAACGGAACTGGGTCACGTAGAGCAAGATATTATGCAAGTGCTAGTCATTATAAAGGTTGTGTAAGGTCCGGAGCTGCGCGGCTAGTACAAATGTTTGTGCCTTAGAATCACTGCTCTCAACCACTATATTGCGTCTGATCTGCATTTCAGGACCCGAAGTCCACAATGTCATTGGCATACTCATGGTACAAGTCTGTGGTATCTCCTTAACCTTAGATCCGACAGATCGAAGAGCGCTGGCATATCTCGGCTATTTACAGCTTCTTCCCCGCCAACACAGCGGCCGTGATGCAGCTCGCATTCGCCGACCACCACGCAACCGACCGCAGGAAACTCCACGCCCGCGACTCGGTATAGATATAAGCCACGGCATGAGCCAGCCGCGAAGCCGTGTACCAGACCCCGATCTTGTTGATCGTCTCGTTCGGCACGCCTGCATACATAGCGAGGAGCACTACACACATCAGCCTCACCTCTCAACCAACCCAACAAGTGTGCACATACCTCCCGCAACAAAAAACGGATACCCCTCCATGGCGTTGAGATGCGCCGCTTCCTGCCGCTTCAGCCGGTCGAGGGTCTTGCGGCTGATCCGGCCCGAGGCCACGGCCGCCTCGCCGGCTTTGGTGAGGTCTTCGCGCGGGGCGACGTTGTTGTCCAGGCCCAGACGCATCTTCGGGCCCCGAGGGCTGAAGGCGAGGTTGGCGAGGAACCAGTTGGCGATGATATAGGCGGCCCCGTAGTTGGGAATTGCGTGGCCAGGGGCGGCCCGGAGGCCGAGGGTGGTCAGGACGGAGCTGTCCATCAGTTAGTCTGGATATGTACATGCTAGAGGTTACTTACGACATGGTATGAGTATATTGAGATAGGGGTTTGAAAGGACCTGCAGGATACACCGTACAAACGCAGGCGTCCGGGGTCCTAAATAAGGGAAGGGGGATCGACAGCTATTACATCATAGTCGGGAACCAAGGACCGCGGTACGTTTCCTATTGAGGAAATGATAAATATCCGTGAGCTTCAAAGCCCGGCTAGAAAGTCGGCGTCCCAAAGATCCGGAAGTCCATAATCGGGTGCATCCATTAGATTTCCAAAGTCGAGAGGCTGTACGCATTAGTTACTGCACAAGCGTATTAAAGCGAGGATCCTACCGATATGTTGGCAATGTCGACAGAAGACAGAGACCCGGCATCGAACCCTAAAGAGGGAGTACCGATTGAGGTCGCCAAAGCAGAAGACTGAAGAGTCAGTGATTTCTAGTACAAAAGGAAGATACCAAACTCACCATTGAGTTATGCTCTTGGGTGTCCGCCCAAGTCCCTCCCCGGATCAACTTCTCGCAAGCCCGGATGGCCTTCGTCCCAGCCTCCTCAATTTTTGGGCCAGGATCCTCGCCGTTGAATCGCGCCTTAACGGCGGCAAAGATAATACTGAGGAAAAGGAATGACTTGAACCCGGCTCCCTTGGGGGTCATTCGACTGCCAAGGGTGTCAATAGTCCGCTCAACGGTGCGGACGAGAACCTCCCGCTGCGACAGGACCAGGTCATTCAGCGCATTGAGTGGGTACAACTGATCAGAGGCGGACCGCGACGGGGTGAACTCGGTTGTTTGGAGCGAGAGTTCCACACAAACAGTGATGGCTGCATGGAAGAACTCGTCCCGGAACATTCCACCTCCCATCTGTCCCAGATGAGGACAGGGTTGAGCCTCTGGTAGGCTGACGACAGGAGATTCTAGCTGGGAGAGCATCTCCAGCGAGGACTCCAGACACACTTTTCGTGAATAGGAGAACTTAGGCGACTGGAGGACGCTGAGAGCGAACGGCCTATGCAGCGCCAGCAGGAATCGCCGCATCAGAAACACAAAGAAGGACCTCGCAAAAGTCATATGTCCGGGTGGTGTGGCCTGAATCCCCCCGCGGTCAGGAAACACAGCCAGGCCTTCATTCAAGTACTGCACTAGTTGTTCACTGGAGCGCAATGCATCATCGTACGGGATGGAGAATCGCAGGCTGTTGACTTTTTTTGCGATGCGCGCTCTCAGTGGCAGTGATCGAGCCAGAAGGGCCTGGAACGTGCTTCGTGTCGCCTGCCCCGGGTTCTTAGGGATAGGATACTCGGTCATGTCCTCAGTCAAGTCCGCATCGTCATAGCCAGACGGTGGCTCGCAATCAAACTCGTCCAGGTCCAGACAGGACGGCATCCCTCCATCCATCGAGGATTGCAATTCCAACTCGAGGATGGTGGCCCACAGTCGCCGGCGCATTTCGGCCCAGAACTTTGTCACCTTGGTAAATCGAGATGGACTGCGATGCAGACCTAAGGTCAGGGCCGAGCGAAACACCGAGCCGCAGGATATCCAGACGAGGTCGCCATCAGCTGCATCTGACTGTCGTGCGATCATTAGGATGCACTGAATCTGCAATAGGTCAAAGTTGATAGCGGAGCTGACAAAGGTCGACGCGATCCACGACTGAACAGCCAGGATCCATCCCGTCGCAGCACTGTGTAGCGTTTCCTTCTCATTGAGCCTGGTGGTGGGACCGAAAAAGCAGCTACTGGCTGCCATGAGCGCGAGGAGTTTGGCGATAAAGACCATATCAGGGGTTCCCGGATCAGACCAGTAGGCTTGGTACTGTTCGAGAAATGTTGGCACATGCAGGATCCGGTAAGTGGTTTCGAATGTAGATAGATACAAATCCACCAGTTCGTCAGCAACCCTCCGATGCGGGATCATATCTTGGAGCTGGAACGCCTTTTCGCGGTAGGCAATTTGATGGTCCTGCTTTTGAAAAGACCACATCTCCCGTTTGAGCCTCTTCAAGTTATGATATTCTGAGTCCTTGCGTTTGAGTTTGCGCCGACCGTTCAGGAAACCCAGGATGTCCTTAAACTAGGTACCTGCGTTAGTAGTTACACCATGAGAGACCAGAACGAAGACGACTCACGAAGGCCACCGACAATCCATAGTATGTACGGCCACAGAAACGGGTTTTTCCATTCTTACCCCGAAAACACGCTCTGCCTGGGAGGTCCTTCACGTCGTCAGTCAGACACTGCTGTTCGGCCATTCCCAGGCCCGTTGTCGATAGGGCATCATAAGCCGAGCTGTCGGGGGTATGAATCGGGTTCTTTTTGGAGAGGGCACTTTCGAGGAGCTGCACGCGATGGCGCAGTTCCTGCAACTCGTCTGGCTGGGAGCGCGGTTTTGTGATTTTGTTGGCCGGCTGGTGCTTTGAGTCGAAGACGTAGAGGCCGCCTCGAGCGGGACTCTGGCGACTGCTAGATGCACGGTGGATATCTGGAGGTGTACTTGCAAGGCGACTCGGACCGGAGGCCGGATTTCCTGGAGGACCGGTGTATACGCATGAATCTGTGGTCCTCGACTTCACGCATTGTCCGCAGGGTAAGGCGCGGTCGCATTTGAGCTTGCGACGTCTGCAGATGGTACAGGAGAGCGCGGGCCTGCGACGACGAGGCGGCGATTTGGGAGGATCTGGCCCTGGGCCATTGGATATTATCTCATCGTCATCCATTGAACCGTCTCGTGGGTCTATGCCGCGATGCGCATGTCCTGACTGTCGTTGTCCAAGACGAATGGGCCAAGGATCAAAGATTGAGGTGCTTTTGGTATACAGACAGGTAGCAGTGAGGTTTATAGCGAGATTGCTGGTGCCTGGAGATTCACAAAGGTTGAAGATGAGATGAGCTGAGCTGAGCTGATGGAGGATCTGATAAGAAAAGTCGCGGGAGACGATGACGTTGTCTCCGAGCGGAGTTACCGCTTTAGGGGATCTCGGTATCTCCGCCTCGGAGATATCTTAGATCCATCTCCGAATGTCAATGCCACAGACAGCATGATTCATTCTGACTGACTTGCACTGTTCAAGTAAAGACACTCTCTTCTATACAGACTAGAACGGCTTCTCCGTGTGTATCTAAGGATTGCTATGCGGATCGAATCTGGGCATTGACTGACGACCTCCGCATATATATCTGACTGTGCGCTAATTGCCAAGCATGCTTACATGGAGAGATGTCCCATATATCCGCGTTACAACTGAGTGGTATATATCAACTACTCACACCGGCAGATGATTTCCCTTAGAATATATCCTTTGAGCTACGAAGCCGTTTGTGAAGAGACATGACCAACATTATTGGTGGAATATTGCCTACTAGGGCAACGGGGAATAATTCCTCCATGAAGCTTACCCCGACTTCTCCATCTCTCCACACTCAGAATGTGGAGAGCTATACGAAATTGCACAAATCTTTACTTGAGACGGCCCAATTCCGAGCGGTGGGTCGACAATCGCACCCCAGTCGCAATTGAGCCCTCTGACAGGCGGAGAAACTATCCTCATGGTGCGGATGAATACGGCGCATTGAAGGGGATCATGCACGGAGCATTCGACATTCATAAAAGGGGTCAATTCCAAGTCTGAAGCCATGGTTGAGATTGTCAAGAATCCACCATGAAGTTTTTTACTGCCGCTCTCTTTGCGAGCGCTGTCAGCGCCTTCGCTGTCGATAGCATCATTCCTGGTGCGCGAGTCATCCCAGCCACGGACACTCTCGAGCTGCAACATGTCGGGGCGCACCATCATAAGCACCCGAACCGTCGCACAGTGACCATTCGGTCGTCGCGCAATGACACCGATGATGTCTCCAAGGACTTCCTTTGGGGTATCTCCCGGGCGAACCACGGCGGACGGCTGCTCCTGCAGAAGGGCAAGAAGTACGTCATTGGGAAGAAGCTCGACCTGAGCTTTTTGAACAACATCGAGGTGCAATTGGATGGGGAGCTGAAGGTACTAGGTCGTCGTGGTGGTAGCGTTTCATGACTAACGAATATAGTTCACCGACGACGTGCCATACTGGCAAAAGAACAACTTCTACTACAGCTTCCAAAAGTCCATCTCATTCTGGAGATGGGGAGGCCAGGATATCAAGATCTTTGGATCGGGCGTTCTGAATGGTAACGGACAGCGGTGGTACAACGAGTTCGCCGGACAGGAGATCCTGGTATGTTCGGAGCCTGACACATTGGTATTGACTTCAGCTCATACGACTAGGACCCGGACAACACCTTCTACCGGCCGATCCTCTTCGTGACCGAGAATGCGACTCGTGTGTCTGTGGAGGGCATCACACAGTTGAACTCTCCTTGCTGGACGAACTTCTTCGTGGGGTCAAACGACGTCTCGTTTGACAACGTTTATATCGAAGCCTTCTCCACCAACGCATCGGTGAGCCTCCCCTCCAACGCCGAAGAATAAGACTGATGGTATAGGCCCTTCCCAAAAACACGGACGGCTTCGATTCGTACAACGTCAAAGGTCTGAGTGTCACCAACACGCGGGTGAACGTGGGCGACGACTGCTTTTCCCCGAAGCCGAACACCACCGATATCTTCGTGCAGAACCTGTGGTGCAACGGCACCCACGGCGTCAGCATGGGAAGCATCGGACAGTACCCCGGGGTGATGGACATTATCGAGCACGCCTACATTGAGAACGTCACCCTGCTCAACGGACAGGTAATCGCCTTCACTCCTTCGAAGTGATCATTGCTAACCTTGTCCTCAGAATGGAGCCCGTCTCAAGGCGTGGGCGGGCGAAAATGTCGGCTACGGTCGCATCAACAACATCACGTACAAAAACATCCGCATTGAGAATACGGACAAGCCGGTGGTTCTGGACCAGTGCTACTTCAACGTCGACACCGCGACCTGCGCCGAGTACCCGTCCAGCGTGAACATCACCAACATCACGTTTGAAAACGTCTACGGCACTTCGTCGGGCAAGGAGGGCAAGGTGGTGGCTGATCTGGTGTGTTCGCCTAATGCTGTGTGCTCGGATATCCATCTGGCGGATATTGATCTGACGAGTCCGGCTGGGAGTCCGCCTGTGATTATCTGCGAGGGAATCCAGGGGGATATTGGAGTTGAATGTCAGTCATCGACCAGCTAGAAGCGGTCATGGGATGGGCTGTACGAGGTGTAATCTTAGTGAAGCGAGCGGGTGAATGCCAGCATATTGTTTTGATCGCAAAAAGATAAATATATATATTGTATATACAAATATGACTCTACTGGGACTCGAACCGGCGACAAAAAAGGGAGTGGCAGCTCGGTCTAACTTGATTTGGTCTGGTAGCTTCTCTTATTGGGTGTCATCCTGCGACCGGGGAAGCTGTGGCCCACTCGGTTCCCCATCCCTCAATGTGATAGGGTAGCACGTCTCCACTATACCCACCTGCTTGATCCGGAATGATCACGTGGTACTGTAGATGGAATATCTTGGGAATGACGAATAGCTTCACTTCATCTCATCCACATTCGTCTCATAGACTCGGAGATATCGAAGACCCCTTCAAGTTTACTAATACATTATCTTCCATTCGCTCGTGGGGACCTTGGCTACCTCTCGAGTACCCGGGTGACATCTTCAAAGTACCTTGGAGTCCAGAGATCATCCAGGCACCAGGCCAATCAAGCACGCGATTATCAATGTACCGGATACGTGTAGCCAACCTTGGGGGAAAGGAGTATCTGTTGTATACAACATGAGGAGTATATAAGGACTCAAGGTACTCACCTTCTTCTCCCAGACACGTTCGTCCGCACAAAATGACCATCAACTCAGGCCCTGAATCTATATCCTTCCCGGTGAGCACGCAGGCTAAAAAGCCTCGCCAGCTGCCGGTGACTCTTCTCTCGGGTTTCTTAGGAAGCGGAAAGACAACTCTCCTCGAGCACATCCTGCAGTCTGATCATGGGTTCCGCATCGCCGTCATTGTCAATGACATGAGCAGGTAGCCTTCCCTGGATCCTCGGGTCTGGTTACAGATGCTGACAACTGGTGACAGCCTCAACATCGACGCAACCCTCATAAAACACCACCATGTCTCCCAGACAAAAGAAACCCTCATCCAGCTGCAAAACGGCTGCATCTGCTGCACCCTGCGAGGCGACCTCCTCTCCGAGCTGGCGCACCTCACCCACCAGGAAGACGTGCAGTACGTGGTGATCGAGAGCACGGGCATCAGCGAGCCGATGCAGGTAGCCGAGACGTTCACGGCCGAGTTCAGCTCTGCCCTTCTCGAAGCCGACGTCGCCAGCGACGATGACCGGAAGATCCTCAACCAGATGTACCTCCCCATTCCCAACCTATCTGCTCTCCCCGCCTTGCTAACTGCAGCTGGTAGTGTGGAACTCGGCGGCCTCCACACCCTGGCCCGCCTCGACACAACCGTAACCGTCATCGACGCCTTCAACTTGCTCTCCAACTTCGACACCGCCGAGTTCCTCTCGGACAGGTACGGCAGCCAGACCATTCCGGAAGACGAGCGCACCATCTCCGACCTGATGGTCGACCAGATCGAGTTCGCGGATGTGATCATCGTGAACAAGATCGAGACGGTGCGCGAGGATGTGCGCGCGCGCATTCGCAGCATCCTGCAGCTGCTCAATCCGGCCGCCAAGGTGCTCGAGACGAGCTACTCCCGCGTCGATGTGAAGGAGATCCTTGACACGGGCCGGTTTGATTTCCTCAAGGCGGCGTCTGGCGCGGGCTGGCTGCGCAGTCTGCATGAGATGACCAAGCGGGAGACGGGGAATGGGGAGCGACTGGCGCCTGTGCCGGAGACTGTTGAGTATGTTGACTCTTTGAAGTGGACAAGGTTGGTGCTAACGTGGGGTAGGTATGGGATTAACAACTTTGTGTACAGGGCGCGGCGGCCGTTTCATCCGCGCCGGCTGTTTGCGCTGCTGCATGACAAGTTTATCATTCTGCAGAATGGGGCTGAGGAAGAGGATGATGAAAATGAAGATGACGATGAAGACGAAGACGAAGACGAAGACGAAGATATGGAGGATGCGGACGGGGAAGAAGATGATGAAGTGTCCGACTTTGCGCAACAAGACCCCGACACCATCCTCGCCAACCGCCGCGCAAATCCCACCCTCCGCCCCATCCTCCGCTCCAAAGGCTTCTTCTGGCTCGCAACACGCCCCTACCAGTTCGGCGAATGGAGCCAGGCCGGCGGCATGCTGACGGTTGGCTGCGGTGGGCCGTGGTTTGTTGAAGTGCCGGACGAGGCGTGGCCGGAAGATGCCGACGTGCGCAAGTCGATTGAAGACGACTTTGATGGGCGGTGGGGCGATCGACGCCAGGAGATTGTGTTTATTGGAGAGGGTATCGACCCGGCTGCTATCACTGGGCTGCTGGATGAGTGTCTACTTACGGACAAGGAGATGGCCGAGTGGGAGGGGCTTATGGAGCGCAATGCGTCCAAGACGGAGAAGCAGGAGGCTATGATGGGTATCTGGGAGGACGGATGGGAGGGATGGGTGTCGCCCGAGTATGCGGACGAGGACGAGGACGAGATGCAGACTGAGACTGAGACGAAGGGCAAGCACCGCATCAGCGAGCATCTGGGACACAACCATAACCATGGCCCTGGACACAGCCACAGCCATTCGCATACGCATCCGCGAAAGAAGGCCCAAAAGTGATTACTACCTATATACCTGTCATAAAAGCATTACAAAAGCATTATCATCAATCATGCCAACCAAACTACCATTCATCCACCCTAGCCATGCGCAAATGCATCCCCTCAACCGGCTTCGTCGTCACCGCACCGGCAATATGAATCTCCTGCTTGGGATCCTGCATCTCAAACCGGAACCGGCCCACCACGCCCGCCAGCGCACAGCGCAGCTCCGCCCTGGCAAAATCCTTCCCAATACACGACCGCTGGCCATGCAGGAAGGTAATCTGCGCGAAATTTGTCGACGCCCCGCCCGTATGATTCACCACGGGCTGCCCGTTCTTGTCCGTGTCGATCCACCGCTCAGGCCGGAACGCCTCGCCGTCGGCGCCCCAGAACTCCGGGCTGCGGTTGATCGCGTACGGACACAGGATGATGCGCGTGCCCTTGGGGATGTGCGTGCCGGCCACTGTCGTATCGCGGATCGCCTCGCGCAGCGTCACCGGCACCGTCGGATACAGCCGCAGCACCTCCTGGCACACGCCGTTGAGCAGCGGGAGGGTCTCCAGGTCCGACCAGGTGATGGGGTGGTTGCCGGACGGGATGCGCGCGCGGATCTCGGCGCGCAGGCGGTCTTGGATGTCTGGGTGCTGTGTGAGGAGGTAGCAGGCCCAGGTGAAGGCGCTAGCGGTGGTTTCGTGCTGCACTGATTAGCATATACAGATGATCAAAGGGGGTAAAGGAGGGTGGACATACTCCAGCTGCGAGGAAAGTCAACATCTGATCGACCAGCTCGTCGTCGGAAAAGTCGCCGCCCAGCATCATCGTGCCGAGGATGTCGGCCTCGAGCTGCTCGGCCGTGGCCTTGGTGGAGGCGATGGTGGCGCGCTTCTCCTGCACGATGTCCTTGCAGAGGTTGCGCAGGAAAGTCGTCTCGTTCTCAATGACCCGGTTGAGCCGCCACGGCAGCCGCTGCGCCAGCCACTGCGGCAGCACAAAGTTGACCGCCAGGAAGGCCATCTTCTCCTTGGTCGGCTCGAGGATCGCCAGGAAGCTGTCGGCGACCTTGTTCTCGGTGTTCTGCAGCGAGCGGAAATCCCGTCCCATGGCGACGGGCCCGATGACATCGAGCGTGAGCCGGCTTGCCCACACGCTCATTTCGACCTTGCCCTCGCGGTCTTCCGGCCGCGTGCCGTCCATCGGATGCAGGGCGATCTCGCGCTCCAGCTCGTCCATCAGCAGCCCGGTCTTCTCCCACATGAGCGCGTACATGGCGCGGATGTTCTTGAAGTTGAACGAGGGCAGCAGCGCCTTGCGCTGGCGCTTGTGCGCGGCGCCCTCGGAGAGGATCAGGCCGTAGCCGATGATGCGGGCGAGGAACTCGCGCGCGCGCGGCGGCTTCTCAAAGTCGTAGGTGTTGGTGCTCATGATGTCGAGGAGGGCCTTGTGGTTGGTGGCGAGCAGGAAGCTGGTATTGAGGAGGTTGCGGAAGTGGATGAGGCCGTCGTTGGGGATGGTCTTCATCCAGTGCAGGGGGGTACGACCGCGGGGGTCGTCGAAGATGATGCGAGCATTATTGAGGTTGCCCTGTTCGTTTGTTAGTATTTGGAATGTATGGGATTGATGTGTATAGATACGGACGTACCGGTACAGTAGGGAGATGGCGGAGAGGCGTGATGAAATACGGGTAGATGAGGAGGTTCCAGATAGCTAGTAAGAGTAGATTGACGCCGAATGCACCCAGCGTGACTGTACGAAAGGTATATTCACCCAAGTACGTGCGCTGGAGGAAGAAGCCCTCGAGGAGGGAGAGCAGTATAGCGGCCAGCAGGGAGTCCATGGTTGGTGAACATGGAGTAGATACCGTAGAATGCGGGATCCGGGGTATGGGGAATAAGTATGAATTAAATTATTCTTATTATATTAACTATGTACTACGCATTACTAACTAGTATATTATGATTATTCCATGATATCCACCTCGTATGAATCCAACTTGTGCACTAAGGCTCCACGGATCGACGTAGACCTCGGTTAGCCGGTGGCGGATTAAGACACGATGTTATCATGGCCATGGCATGACACATAGTAGTACAGAGTATTATGACTAGGCAGCCAGATGAACTCGATCAGAAGACAGAGATCAATGTGCAGTCTTGCCAATGAACGTCACGATGCTGATCGCCATGTGCCTCCATGTGAACCCACTGAACCCACAATCCACGATGGAGCCATGGACCGCGTCACTGGCCAACGGCGATCCTCCACCGGTTGCAGTAAGCAGCGCGATGGATCCAGGGGGAGGAATGGAAGGAATGGAATGGAATGTCCCAGAGCCAGTGTGCCGGAGTAAGCAGTTAGTCGGTACGGAGTCCTCTGTCTGAAGGCTCTCCACCTCGGCTTCGCACTCCTTGCCCAAAAGGGTAATCCTGCCCTAACTCTCCTCACCCCTCCGCAAACCTCCCATGGAGCTCAAGCTTCACCTCAAGTCATTGCAGGCACACCATGTGAAGCGCCTCGGTCGCATAAAGCTGCCAGTATATAGTATCTTGTTGTCGCTTCATCGTTTTATTCTTGTATCGCCTTCCTTGACTTTTACTGATATCCCCTCGCCACCCCGCCACTACCGTACACCCCCATCATGTCGCTCGAACAGTCCTTGCAGCTCTGCACCCAGTGGTTCCAAACAGCCCTGTCGCATCTCCCTCCCAATGTCCAGAGCGCCGTGCTGCACCCGCTCGTCCCGAAAGCCCTGACGGCTCTGCTGGCCCTGGGCATCGCGCGCCACACCAACCGCGCGCTGTCGCGATGGAGCGCCAACGCCTGGCAAGGCGCCGGCGCCTGGGACAATGCGCGCGAGCTGGTGCTGATCACCGGCGGGTGCAGTGGCATCGGCAAGCAGATCATGGAGGATCTGGCACAGGCCGGCGTGCGCGTTGTGATTCTGGACATTAATGAGCCGAGCTTCCCCTTGCGTACGTCCCTCCCTACACCCCGTTCGTAACGCCTGAACAGCACCCTAACTAACGACTCCGCTGCAGCTGCAAAGGTCGCCTTCTACCGCGCCGACATCACCTCGTCCGACAACATCCGCGCCGTGGCCGCGCAGATCCGCGCCGACCACGGCGACCCCACGGTGCTGGTCAACAACGCGGGCGTCGGCCACGACGGCACGATCCTCGAAGAGCCCGAGGCCAAGATCCGCCAGACCTTCGAGGTCAACATCATGTCGCATTTCTGGATGGTGCGCGAGTTCCTGCCCAGCATGGTCAAGAACAACCACGGACATGTCATCACGGTCGCCAGCATGGCCAGTTTTGTCGCGCTGGGCGAGATGGCCGACTACTGCACGTCCAAGGCGGGTGCGCTCGCTTTTCACGAGTCGCTGACGCAGGAGTTGCGGTTGTGGTATAATGCGCCCAAGGTGCGGACCAGGTATGTGTCTTGGAGATTGAGCTGCATTGTAGGGGAATAGGCTAATATGTCGGATAGTGTCATTCACCCCCTCTGGGTGCGCACCCCCATGATCCAGCAGTTGACCGACGCCGGCAAGCACTTCAAGCAGCCCGTGTTGACGCCGCAGAAGGTGTCGGCCGGCGTGGTCAAGCAGATCCTCACGCAGAGCAGCGGCCAGGTCATCCTGCCCGAGTACTACCATGCCGCCAGTCTGCTGCGCGCGTTCCCGACGTGGATCCAGGAGCATGTGCGCAAGGTGGCGTCGATGGATTTGCGGAGATTGCGCGAGTGGCAGAAGGCGCAGTGAAGGATTTCATGTATTGTATGCTAGACTATACCATTGTGAATAGTTATGATTATGAGTGTTTGATTGTATACTATAAATCTATATCTTATCTTATATACATAAGCATGTATCAAGCATGATCTGGTATCTTCCAATATACTGCAGTATCTCATAAACGAATACTATAACGTCTCCCGCAGCCAGCTCTTCACCCGCTTCCCCTGCTGCGTCTCCGTCCGATCCCCAATATACAAGTTATAGATCGGCGCCACATGCCCCTCGCGCTCGCCCACGCACAGCTCCACATCCGGAAATCCCTCCTGGAACTTGGCAACCAAGTCCTGCACCAGCGGCAGCAGGATCTCCGCCCCGCCCGCCGTCACCAGCACGCGTTTCACAGGGAACGTCGTGAACCAGTCCGTCGGCGCAGTCGACAAGTCCGTATAGTAGTCGCGCTTAGCCGTCCCCAGATACGCGCGCGCCCAGGGCCCTGCCACCGCCGGCGTGATGAGATCACCGCGCGAGTCGATCTCCTGCCCGACGTACTCGGTCTCCATGGAGGTCCAGGGGGCGATCATGACGGCGCCGGCCAGCAGATCAGACACGGGCACCGGGTCGATGGCGGGATGCGGATGCGCCAGATGCGAGAGCACGCCGCCGACGAGGTTGCCGCCGGCCGAGTCGCCGCCCAGGAGCACGCGGTGCGCGGGCCGGCCGGTCTGCTCGAGCACGTAGCGCAGCGCGGCGACGGCCTGCCGCAGTTGCGTCGGGTACGTGCCGTGCGGCGCCAGCGTGTAGGTCAGACTGAAGACGGCGAGGGATTTGCCCGCCGCCGCGCTGTCCGCGATGAGCTGGGTGAAGAAGTCAAAGTAGCCCAGGTTTGCGGGGAGGGCGAAGCCGCCGCCTGTTGCCTCGTTAGTATTGTCTTTGGAGATGTGGATGGTAAGGAGGAGCATAGACGCTTACCGTGATACCACACGAGGACGTTTTCGGCCTTGCGATCCCCGATCCAGTGTCCCAGTGCGCCGTGCCCCAAGTCCACGGTGTCGGCTATCTTCTTGGCCTTGCGCACATACAGATCGTAGACCTTGTTGCTCGGCGCCATGATGTACTGCATCTGCGCAATGGTCATGCGCGTGGTCGCCTTGCGAAACACAGCATATCCCACATGCAACAACCACGACTTGGGGTATCGGTTGGAGCGCCAGAGCCCGGACAACATGGCCCACACGACAGTGAGGGCGATGGAGACCAGGGCGGGCAGGAAATCGAGTTTCTCCCGCAGGGAGAGGGGGATGGCAGTGTTGAGCATGAGGATGTCTGTGTGTGTGTCAATGTGTATGAATCACCGGCATGGCATGATGGGTGTATTATAGAGTATATTGTAGAGAGATTGTACTCGTAGGAGTATAGAATTCATGTGTTTCGCAAGCATTACCCAAAACGGCAATTTGCGCCTCCCGACGACGATCAGATTAAAAACCCCATATTCCACTACGAACTAATGGCCACCGACCCACGGACTCAACCTCGGCTATCTGCTTCTAACTTTTAACGCGTTCATCTTCCCCGTCATGCTGAGCTCTCCAGATTCCCGACTCTCGCGACGCTTGCTCTGTTGGGAATGCTCGACGCCGTCGCCTCCGAGGCATGTGAACCCATCACCATCGAGATATAAAACATATCACTCTACTCTGCTGCTTAATCTGTCCAGCATCTTGTCGTCTTCTCCGTCTCTGTCTCTATCATGTCCGACTACGATGTCTTGATCGTCGGCGCCGGCATCTCCGGTATCAACGCCGCCTACCGGCTGCAGTCGCAATTCCCCAACCTGCGATATGCCATCGTCGAAGCCCGCAACAACCTGGGTGGCACCTGGGATCTCTTTCGCTATCCGGGCATTCGCTCCGATTCGGATCTCTTCACCTTTGGCTTTGAATGGCATCCCTGGGACCAGGGGAACCCCATCGCCGACGGCGGCGCCATCGTCAAGTATCTCAACAACGCCGCCGAAAAGTACGGCATCAAGAAGAACATCCTCTTTGAGCACCGCGTCATCGGCGCCGACTGGACCTCCGCCGACCACTCCTGGTCGCTGACCGTCGAGCACGCCGGCGCCACCCAGTCGCTGACCGCGCGCTTCGTCGTCTTCGGCACCGGCTACTACGACTACCACACGCCGCTGCAGGCGGAGATCCCCGGACTCGACCAGTTCGAGGGCACCATCATCCACCCGCAGTTCTGGCCCGAGGACCTCGACTACACCGACAAGAAGGTCGTCATCATCGGCTCCGGCGCCACCGCCATCACCCTCCTCCCCAAGATGGCCGAGTCCGCCGCCCACGTCACCATGCTCCAGCGCAGTCCCACCTACATCCTGTCCCTCCCCAACCGCCGCCGCACCCTGCTCAGCTACATCCTCCCTACCGCCGTCCACCGCAAGCTGCAGCGTCTCTCCTGGCTGCTCACCTCGCGCTTCTTCTTCCTCTTCTGCCAGACCTTCCCCGCCATCGCCCGCTTCATCCTCCGCCTCTCCGTCAAGCGCCAGCTACCCCGCCACATCCCTTACGACCCGCACTTCCGCCCCCGCTACAATCCCTGGGACCAGCGGCTGTGCGTCTGCCCCGACGGCGACTTCTTCAAGAGCCTGCACTCCGGCCGCGCCGACGTCAAAACCGACACCATCCGCTCCGTCACCGCGTCCGGCATCGAGCTGGACTCGGGCGACGTCCTCGACGCCGACATCATCGTCACGGCGACAGGCCTGCGTCTGCAGATCGCCGGCGGCACCTCGCTCTCCGTCGATGGCATGCCGCTGCACCTCCACGAGAAGTTCCTCTGGCATGGCGTCATGCTGCAGGACCTGCCCAACGCCGCCTTCGTCATCGGGTACACCAACGCGTCGTGGACGCTGGGCGCCGATGCGACGGCGCAGTTCATCTGTCGGTTGCTGCGCGAGCTCGACCAGCGCGGGGTGTATGCCGCTGTGCCACGACTGACGCCGGCGCAGGCGCAGTCCCTGCAGCCGCGGCGGTTGCTGAACCTCAACTCGACGTATGTCACCAAGGCCGAGGGCCATCTGCCCAAGGCGGCGGATAAGGGCCCGTGGTTGCCACGGGATAATTATTTGGATGATATCAGGTTTGCGAAGAAGGGGCGCATTGACGAGGATATGGAGTTTATGGGCGCGAAGAAGCTGCAGTAGTGTATATACCTACCTGTATTTGGGTTATGATATATGGAGTTATGATTTAGAATATGATGCACATATTTCTGTTTTCTTGTGAGGTGAGGTATGTAGGGTATTCTTTGGAAGAGTATGTTGCAGCTTAACTCCAAACGTCCTAGTAGGAGAGTTTATACAATACATGTATTATTGAAGCCTCCTGAATATATCTGCTATTGATGTAAAGAGTAGCTGCTGTTTCAAAGTAGTCTCTTATAAAGGACACTCACTATCTGGACGGCGAGTCTAGGTATAAGACCGAGGATTATGACATCACGGTCGGAGGACGACATCGGTGAGAGACGCCTGAGTTAGAACGAGATTCTTGATATAGAGAGACGCGACGGGATAGAATATCCTGACTATCTTCAGAGGACGCAATGGGTCCACTTGTATGATTATGATGGGTTGTTCTGCTGGATGGCCATCAATCGGAATGGTTATATATATCATCCATATCAGCATCGTCCCTGTACTTGGTCACGCTTATCGACACTTTCTTACACAAAAACCCAGTACAATGCCATAAGCACCCATATACTCCGTAAGTGTCGACCTCGGTCTGTCTATACTATAGAACAGCGAACGCACTCGGTACTCGCTCGTCGGGAGGATCGTTCTCCACATCGGCAATTCAACATGGATCCCCGCAATGCGGAGGCAGATATAACTGAACTGACTCAATTAGTCCTGACGACACTCAACCATTCAATCATCATTCGAGAACTCACAATGTACTACGAACCGGGAGTGACTGACCATAACCTCCCCCATGATCCATTCAAGGTAGCCATCCCATCCACAAGGTTGTGACCCGTCTAAAAACATAGGCCTGTGTCGTCCCCCGACCGATCGGGTGGATTTCAACTCAAAACAAGCACGGCCAAGCGAACTTGGCTCCGTATTCACAGTTCAACAATCTAACTTTCGACCCGCCGTACGTGATGTTCTCGTCGAACCAGACGGTCGAGGGCGGTCGCAAAGACACCGTGATCAACGCCGAGACCACCGGCCAGTTTGTCTGGAACCTGGCGACGTGGGATCTGCGCAAGGCTGTCAACGTCTCTGCGCAGCAGTTCCCCTACGGCGTGGACGAGTTTGCGCACGCCGGCGTCACTAAGGAGCTGGCCACCACCATGGACGTGCCCATGGTGGCCGAGTCGCCCGTCAAGTTCGAGTGTCGCTACCACTCGACTGTGCGGCTGCCCGGCAATCCGCCCATGGGGTCGGTGGACGTGGTGATCGGGCGGGTGGTTGCGGTGCACATCAAGGACGAGGTGCTGACCGACGGGAAGCTAGACATACGCAAGACGCTGCCAATTGCGCGCTGCGGGTATTATGAGTATGCGGTGATTCGGGAAACGTTTGACATGGTGATCCCGGGCATGTCGGCGGACGTGCTGTATGGACTGGAGGGGGATGCAAAGAAGAACCAGGAGCGGGGAAAGACTACCGAATCGAGCCAGAATTAAGAGCCGTGTCACCTCGGAATAATTTGAGACCACGTTAGATCGTCTGGGGTAGCACCGTGCGACGACCACGGCTGACCGCGACTCGACACGTCTCAGATCCCCACCGTGGAATCGAAATCTTCTTAGACAGTAACAAAGAAACCCACGTTCAATGCTCGCGCCATCCACGCCGTCGTTCGGTTATCCAAGGAGATCGTCTGATTATACTGTCACATCGAGTCTCAGTGGCGCGATCCTTCGTGCCCGGTCCGGGGTACGCCCCCCCTGTCATCCCAGCGCCATCAGAGGCCCAAGATATCAGGAGGATGCGGGATGGATTTCTCGAACCTCGCGGGAACCAGACAAAAGCCTCCGGAAGTGCGTGCCACGGGGGAGGGTTGCACCGCGAAGTGCCAGCCAAGTCCCCCGCCAAGGGTCTAACGCTATCCGCCACCAATCCGCCGGGCGAGAGACCATCGCCAAGTTGGTCTAACCCTCCCGTTTGGGCCTCTTCATTTGCTCGAGGGCTCGGCTTATCTCTTCTTTTTCATCGGTCTTGCCTGCACAGGGAGGGTGGTGGTTGGTCCACTGATAGAGCAAGTCTGGTCGGAAATGGCCGACCCATGAATGCCCAGGCACAGAGAAGGATGGATGCTTCTGGACCCCAAGCAATTAGCAAGTTTTCCCTGCGAATTGAAGCCAAGCAGCGCGCCAGACAAACCATCGGAGTCCGGTTACTAGCGGTGCCAACAGGACGAGATGGACCGATTCAGATAAACCTCCGTCGCTTAGACGGAGTCTAGGATAGTGTCGACCAGACTAGACAAGAGACAGGCGAAGCAGGCGCAGATATCGGAGGGGCGAATGAAATAAATTAATGGGATAATGGGAATGTGATTGGGGGGGAAGAAGAGCAATCGATGAGCGAAGGTGCAAGTCAGAGTGAAGTATTTATTGCCCTCGTCTATCACGCGACTTTTCCCTCACTTCCTCTCTTCTCCTCCTCTCCTCTCCTCTTCTCTTCTCCCTCCACCCTTCTCCCTCTCTTCTCCTCTCTCCCATCCCTCCAATTCCTACCCTTCCCATCATGAACCCCTCAGACCCCCAGGAGGTGGTCGAGATGGCCAAATCCTCCGTCGCACAGCATGACATGCACTCGGAGAAGAAAGACCTCGCCATCGAGAAGGAAATCTCCATCGCGCCCAGCATTCAGGCCGCCAGTGCGTCCAAGGAAGTCGTCGCGCAGTCGTCTCACGAGGCGCTCGGCAAGGTTCAGCCGACTCTGGAGGAGATGAGCACTCTGCGCCGTGTCGCGGACGAAATTCCCTGGACCGCATACACTGTCGCGTTTGTCGAACTGTGCGAGCGTTTCTCTTACTATGGAACCACCGCGGTTTGTACGTCATTCATACGGTACAATGATCGCGAATCCCGCTGATCTCGTTATAGTCGTCAACTTCATCCAGCGCCCTCTCCCAGAAGGCTCTACCACTGGCGCCCTCACCCCCGGACATGATGTCCCCGGTGCGCTCGGCATGGGCCAGCAGGCATCCACCGGTTTGACCTTGTGTAGGTTCTTTTCACCCATTTGAGCTCCTTCAGACGCTGACTGCGCAGTCAACGCCTTCTGGTCCTACATCATGCCCTTGGCCGGTGCCTTCATGGCCGATCAGTACTGGGGTCGTTACCGCACCATCATGTTCTCCATTGGAGCGGCGCTGCTGGGCCATATCGTCCTCATCATTTCTGCAATCCCTCAAGTCATTGCTCATCCCCAGGGTGCCATTGCGTGCTTTTCTATCGGTCTAGTCATCATGGGTGTGGGTACCGGTGGTTTCAAGTGAGTTGCCCCAGGCTGTCTCACCGATGAGTTCTAACAAGTTAGATCCAACATCTCTCCCCTCATCGCCGAGCAGTATCGCGAGGAGCGCCCTTACATCAAGACCCTCTCGTCGGGAGAGCGCATCATTGTGGATCCCGTTGCGACCATCTCCCGCATTTACCTGTACTTCTACATGATGATCAACATTGGTTCCATCCTGGGCCAGGTCAGCATGGTTTATGCCGAGCGCTACGTGGGCTTCTGGCTGTCCTACCTTCTCCCCACCATCATGTACATGTGCTGCCCCACGGTCCTGTACTTCTGCCGCAACAAATACTACCTCGTGCCCCCCACTGGCTCCGTCTATCTGCAGGCTGGCCGGCTCTGGAAGCTGGCCATGAAGGGTCGCTGGTCGTTGAACCCCGCCAGGCTGTAAGTTGGAGGTCGTCATGGTTTCCAAAGAAGTTCGCTGACAATGCAGGTTCACCAAAAACCCCAAGCCTTTCTGGGATAGTGTCAAGCCCTCGGCGCTGGGGGCGCAGAGACCGGCCTGGATGACCTTTGACGACGAGTGGGTCGACGAAGTGGCCCGTGGACTCAAGGCTTGCACCGTCTTCCTGTGGTATCCTCTTTACTGTGTGTCCAGCATCCCCCGCTCCCTGATACAGGCTAATTAGACATAGGGCTCGCCTACAACCAGATGTTGAACAACCTTACCTCGCAGGCAGCCACCATGGACCTGGGTGGCGTTCCCAACGACATCATCAACAACCTGAACTCCCTGTCGCTGATCATCTTCATCCCGATCATGGACTGGATCGTCTATCCCTTCTTCCGCCGCATCGGGTTCAAGTTCACGCCCATCAAGCGTATCGCCGCTGGATTCTTCGTGGCCGGCCTGTCGATGATCGCTGCCACCGTCACGCAGTACTACATCTACAAGAAGGGCCGCTGCGGCAAGAACGCCAACTTCTGTCTGGATGAGTACGGCTATCACTCGCCCATCTCCGTCTGGGTGCAGGCCCTGACCTACGTGCTGGGCGGTATCTCCGAGATTTTCGCCTCGATCACTTCCCTGGAGTACGCCTTCACCAAGGCCCCCAAGAACATGCGCTCGCTGGTCCAGGCCGTGGCCCTGTTCATGAACGCCTTCTCATCGGCCATCGGCCAGGCCCTCGTCGGTCTCAGCAACGATCCCCTGCTTGTGTGGAACTATGCAGTGGTGGCGATCCTTGCGTTTGTCGGCGGTGCCGGCTTCTGGCTGACCAACTACAAGCTCGACGGCCGCGAGGACGAACTCAACCAGCTGCCGGAGAGTCGCTACGACATGGGCGGCGAGACCAAGGTGGACGAGGAGACTGCTGCGCGGTGATGTGTGGCCATTTACGTCTATGACTCATTTTGTATGAGAGACGAGATATGATAATCCGTGTGTTCATTCAATTCCTGTAACTCGAGGTCTAATACGAGTTGTAATATCTGCATGTCTTGTACCTAGTAGTTGTCCAGTGGTCTGCAGTCAGTCGACTGTTGAGGCCGGCCTCGATGTACTTGTAAATGCAAGTCCTGAATAACAGGAGTAATGAATAGGCAAATGCATGTTGCAAGTGCAGGATAGAGATGCACACATGAGGCAAAGCATCCCTAGTTTCACTGGCTGTACAGCGGCTTAGCGGAATGATGCATGGTATATGCGAAGTCCCTGCATAAATCTAGACCCAAGATCTATTATTGCGCGTGAACAAACAGGGATCCGATATATGAAGCCCTTGCATGATTAAATATTGGTTTCGTATGGCCTCTTCCAGGCCATCAGCTTGACAAACTTGTGGATTTTGAACATCGACGGCATAACTAAAGATAGAGCAGAGAAGGTGCTCTTAGAAATCAAGTCTCTTTCACTGAGAAGACTATTTACATGGCTTGTCTGCTCCATGAAATCAATTTAGAAGTAGCTGCAAGATTGAATGAGAAACCTGGAACGCGTTTGTCCGTTCAGCTGCTGTAGGAACACTCCGATCCTCCGCCTGCATATGACACCGAAGGCCTATCAGGGATTTGCGCAAGATAGTCCAACGTCGCATCGGCCAAGTCCTGCGCGAAGTCGGGAAGCTCCCTGAAAATAGAGGACGGGATCGGCTCACACTTGTACACACTCTCGGCTTTGTTGATGATCGTCGCAAACATGACGCCCTTCAGAGTATCCCAAACAGGGCGCGACCGATAGGCCTGATAGATAACTGCAACAAGTGGCTCCTGTACAGGTTCTCCAGCCAGAAAGCTTCGGCGGAAATGGTCCCGCGCTTTCCGGCGGAGGCCTTGGATCTGAAAGTAATGCCCTTGTTCGTGCATGAGGACGTGAAAACAGGGCTCGAATCGCGCCATATCGTCTGTACCCTTTGGGTCTTCTGCCTTTTCAGCTTCTGGGGCTTTATCATTGGGTGTGTCCTCTTCGGCCGGGTCGTCGTTTGCGGGATCGTGGTTGGCTGGCTCGGTTTCTACGAGCTCGACTTCCGACGCTTCGGGCTCGAATGCTTCCTCTTCCGGCGATTGGTCCTTTTCCCTGCCAGGCGATGGGCTAGCCAACCTGAACGGGACATAGTTGGTCAGGTCTGGGGTGTAGTCGCCCGTGTAGAGGAATTCGAGTGTTTTTTCGACCAGAACTGAATCAGTGTCGTGGATCTCGATCCGTCCAGAGGATTCCTTCGCAAGAGATTAGCCAGGCTGCTCGCCCATACAAGCGGTGCCGCTCCTCTACCGTGATACATCTCGGAATACCCACCTTGAATTTTCCATCACAAGCGCGAGCAAAGTACTCGGACTGCGGACATACGACAAGGCGATGAGCAGGGAACTCTCTGTCGCCGCATACGATTGTCAGATCGCTGTATCTGTCTTGAAGGTGGAAGCCCCTGGAAGATCAACCGGTGTTAGTCAGGGAAATTCTGGCCAGTTGAAGGGAATTCACCTCGCGATGCGACCTATCTTTGCTGCAGGGCAATTAGAAGGTGACTTCGCCGCCTTCCTCTTGGTTCTTTTTTTGGGAGTTTGAGCCATTGAAAGACTGAATGCGAATGCCTTGCGTCAAAGAGAATGGGGAGCGGTGGAGGACGAGTCTACGAGAGGGCCGTACGTGAGGTGTTTGTACCTCAGACAACCTTAGGCCCTTTTTCTGTGTGACACGTTAGATTCATATCATGCAGAGTATGTACTTTGTGCTCCGCCAGTAAGGTCGTTGAACCGAGAGTACTATCAACTCTGATAGCGAACAATCGCCAGTCGCTCGCAAGCCATGCGAAGTTAGAATATAGTCTACCAGACTATAATGGCTTTCATACTATTCTATATCCGAGTCCTGTTCTTGTAGTGAGAGATCTATAAAGTAAGAGCTAGTTAAAACAGTATATTTCCAGAAATTTCCTGTTTATAGTTGATATACCATGGATGATAGCCTGTACCCGCTTCATGTCCATGGAGTAGGTACCTCCTTTTCTAAAAAGTGATCATTTTACCAAGCAGAAGGAATTTACCAAGAGACAAGACTTGAAGTCATAACCTCTTAGCATAGTCTTCTGGAATCTGGATCCGACCTGATATCAAGTTTACTCACTAAATCGTCAAGAACCAGTACTATGATCATAAGATAGTCATGTTGGGACAAGTGTGAGTTTCTTCGTTGATATCTGACTTCTTCCTGGTGACCAGAATCTGCCGGTGACAGCTGATACATTGTCAATGCCAACTACCCTCTGTTTAGGGCTTGTGTTTCTCTTCAGATACAGCCCACGTGATATCTCTCTTCTGTTTCTACTTCATCCTCACCTCGACTCTCACTTCACTTCTCCATCCTCCTCTCACTCCTCTTACTCCACTCCTCATTACAACACCTCCTTCTACTCTCCCCACAGACGATTCAGAAATACCCTGCACTATACCTTGTCTCCACTGTCCACTCAGTGACTGATAAGATGGACAACGCCGCGAAACCTCAGACCAAGAGAAAGGCGACCGACCCTCTACCTGAGAGTCCAGCAGAGAAATTCGCCCGCATCACAGAGTATGCCCAGTCCGATTCACATTCAGCCAACATTCTCACTGACAGGTCATCTACGCCCAGGAGCTTTCATTTGAACAACCGATTCAGCGACCTCACCATCGTTTGCAGAGACAAGGTCTTCCCTGCCCATCGAGTGGTCGTATGCCCCCAATCAGACTACTTTGCTCGCGCTTGCGAAGGGGAGTTTAAGGTACAGTGCTTCGTCCACCCTGCTCCCAGAAGTGCCATCAGACTTCTAGCCTTTGGAGAGGCTTTGACCGTCTTTGGAACACTTCGACTAACCTTATGCAGGAATCATCCGGCAGAATCGAGATTAGCGACACTGACCCAATCCTAATCGAGAAAACCTTGCAATACCTGTACACTGGAGATTACACAACGGACCTCAGCAACTACATTCCTCTTTCCCTGGAGTCTCCCGCGAAACCTGAAGACGCAAAAGGTACCACGTCCAGCCCGGCCCCATCCAATCTTGTGGAGCAGGAAGTGGATGTGACGTCCTTCGAACCCTGCTTCCATGTTCTCATGTATGAGCAAGGTACCTATTTCCATATCCAGGGATTGAAGGACAAAGCCAAAGAACGGTTTCGTCAGACCTTCCTTGCAAAGATCGAGAAGAGGTCCCTCGTTGCCACCATAATGCAAGTCTATAGGTCAACTGGCGGTACTAAGAACGATGGACTACGGTTTGCTATGTTGCAGATGCTGGTCGAGAATGCAAAGACCGTTTACAAGAATAAAGCACGTGCCCTCCCCTTCCCCGCCATTGCAGGTATCCCAGGCTTTGCAGAGGAACTGGCTCACTGGTGTTTCCACTACCTGGGAAATGTGACTAGGGTCTCGGGCCAGAGTTGATGGGAGGGTTGGTTTCTACCTGTATGTTCTCGTGTTTGCCACATTACGGCTCCTGTGTCTGACGAAAGGGTTAAAAGACGCTCGAATATCTGTTTTTATGATACATGTGGGACCACTTTCTGTTGCTGAACTTGTTAACTTTGTGGATGTACCGAGACGGCCGAGTTCCGATCCCGATCCCGAGTATACATCCAAGCTCTCCAGGAGTCCAGAATGACAGCAAGCTGATGATGCAAAGGCATTCCGATCTATCCGATGAGTCTATAAAGCCATCGACAGTGGCAGTCAGTAGCCATATCAACCAGAACCTCACATTACAACCAACAGCCTTATTCCATCGAACCCAACCATGTCTGCAAAGCCTGACCTCTGCTTCCGCGACTTTGTCGATGCCCTCAAACAGGACAACGACCTCGTGGAGATTGACACTCCAGTCGACCCCAATCTCGAGGCAGCCGCTATCACGCGGAGAGTCTGCGAGACCAACAACAAGGCCCCTCTGTTCAACAACCTCATTGGCATGCAACACGGGCTCTTTCGCATCTTGGGTGCTCCAGGGTCTTTGAGAACGTCTCCGTCCGATCGATATGGCCGCCTGGCACGTCACCTTGCGCTTCCTCCTACGGCATCGATGCGCGATATCATGGACAAAATGCTATCTGCTAGCACCATACCTCCAATTGAACCGACCATCGTCCCGACCGGTCCCTGCAAGGAAAACCACCTGGAAGGGTCCCAAATCGACCTCACCAAGCTCCCAGCTCCCTTGGTCCACCAGTCGGACGGGGGCAAATACATCCAAACCTACGGCATGCATGTGGTCCGATCTCCTGATGGAAAGTGGACAAACTGGTCCATCGCACGCGCGATGGTGCTCGACAAGACCCATCTAACCGGGCCGGCTGTAAAGCCTCAACATATCTGGCAGATCCAACAGATGTGGAAGAAGGAAGGTCGCGACGTCCCATGGGCCCTGGCCTTTGGTGTCCCTCCTGCCGCCATCATGGCGTCCAGCATGCCTATCCCTGACGGTGTCTCCGAGGGCGGGTACGTGGGAGCCATGACTGGGTCGTCCTTGGAGCTCGTCAAATGCGACACCAATGATCTGTATGTCCCTGCAACGTCGGAGATTGTCTTCGAGGGGACACTCTCAATCACTGAAACTGGACCCGAAGGTCCATTCGGTGAGATGCATGGCTACGTATTCCCTGGGGATGTTCACGTCGGAGCCAAGTACACGGTGAACCGCATCACCTATCGGAACAACCCGATCCTGCCCATGTCAGCGTGTGGTCGGCTAACGGACGAGACGGTGAGTGCATACACAGATAGGGAGCTGAAATAGTGGACTAACTCCTCTAGCAAACTATGGTCGGAGCCTTGGCTGCAGCAGAGATCCGCAAGATCAGCCAGCAGCACGGTCTGCCCGTCACCGACGTCTTTTCCCCCTTCGAATCCCAGGTCATCTGGCTTGCATTGCGCATCGACACAGCAGCACTGCGGAAGATGAAAACTACCTCCCAGGAATTCCGCAAGAGAGTAGGTGACATTGTCTTCAGCCAGAAACCCGGCTGGGGCTTCCACAGATTGATCCTGGTGGGCGACGATATCGATGTATATGATAGCAAAGATGTGATGTGGGCATTCTCTACTCGTTGCCGGCCCGGTACGGATGAGACGTTCTACGAAGATGTGCCCGGGTTTCCATTGATCCCCTTCATGTCGCGTGGAAACGGGTCGCCGACGACCGGTGGTAAAGTGGTTTCGGATGCCCTGATGCCCAAGGAGTATACTACTGGGAAGGATTGGGAGGCGGCCGATTTCAAGAACTCCTTCCCGGAAGATGTGCAGCGGAAGGTGGAAGAAAATTGGACTGCGATGGGATTCAGTACAGTGTAGAGGTGTGTGAGATACCGTCTAGGTGTCAATGTCACTCGTGTAAACTCCAAATTGCACCACATTAGATTCTTAGCTACACAAGACATTCCTCTCCAAAGACTTTATTTTGTACAGTTGGATACATTCAGTACCACCCGCATCTCTAGACCACTTCTCAAGCTCAGCTTATAGTAACAAGAACTGAAATGCTGACTCATCACATTCCGAGCGTGCCGGGGCCCGAGATGGATGCGCGTCCAGACATTCTCCTTTTCCAGGTACCTCGACTTCATAGACATTCATGTCCATTGAGTCAATTCATAATGGCAGCCAATCTCGACAAACAAGAAATTGATCGCGTCCTTCAATCACGACGTAAGCAGCGAGAAGCGAAAGCATGCTATCCATGCCGCGAGCGCAAAGTCAAATGTGATGGGAATCAACCATGCAGGACCTGTCGTCGCCGAGATCACCCGCAAATCTGTGTTTACGATATTGAACAATCGGGACCTCGGCGAAGGCCTCATTATAGATCGGGACAGCCAGCTACTCGCTCTAATCCCAACAGGGAATCTACAGCTGACCGACGGGAGCCTGATTCATCTTCCCAGCCAAGCCAACCACTGTCAGAGAGCCCGGGAAGCTCGTACATATATTCTGGTGATAACTCGATCGTGTCATTCCTCCGTCATCGTGCCCATGGCAGCGGGTCTATGGAACAGGAAGTGAGGTCTGTTCTGGGGTTGCAGAACACGTTCAACACCTACCCGTTCATGGATGCGGGAACTGCGGACGATAGATGGAAGGAGCTGGTACAGATTGTACCACAACGTACAGAGGTTCTGAGGTGAGAATTCTATCGTGTCTGGGGTCTGCTTTTCTTCTAAATGGTTCCAGGTTCTTCCAATTCTACCGTCAATTGGCGTACCCCTTCAACCCAATCCTGGTGGATATAGATCGATTCGAACTGGACCTATGTACATACCTCAATGCCTACGCGGCTGGCGTGTTTGAGGCGCACTCCAGGTCGGAAAAATGGGCGACCGATCAGTCCATTGCGCACATTAGCTTACTGCTTGCCACACTCTCTGCTGGTGCCCACTTCTCCGATCTGGATCTTCCACAACGATCAAACATAAGCCACGACCTCGGTAGGTACACTGATACGGTCGATCATGCAACATCACTCACGACTGCAGCACTCAGGTCATTCAAGGCTCTCCGCTTGGCCAACTTCTTGTTCCGCCCATCATTAGACATCATCCAGACGTTGCTGATCTTAGGCAATACGCTTCAGAATCATGGTCAATCTGATGCTGCATGGGCTCAACTGGGCACCACTGTTCGTCTCGCACAGACAATGGGGTTACATACAGAGAGAAGCATTGCATATCTGCCACTGTATATTCAGTCCAAGGCGAAAGCATTGTGGTATGCACTGGCCATGAATCCTTAATGGTACGTAGTACTAAAAATATTAGGTTTACTATAGTCGCGCAAGACTGTCTGCTGTCCCTTTGCTACGACCGCCCCCCTATTGTCTCTGTCAAAGGCTGGTCTCTGGAGGATACTGTATATACTAAACAAGGCCTGTCCTTTATGGAGGTCATGCACTGCTTATGTAGGCTGGGAATCGACGTGACCACAGCCGATCGTGACGCCCAGGAAACGGCATTCTACGTCAACATGTTGAATCATGTGGATGAGGTCTACCAACGTGCCCTGCCGCATCTCACGTCTCGTGCTAATTGTAAATCTATGCATGAGCACCTGGAACACCTGGCACTGAAGATGCATCTTTCCCTGCTCATTGGAGTTCTGACGCGCCCAGCACTGAAACAGCCCCAAACACAAGATTTGTCGTACGGCATCCTGAGGGAAAGAGCCAAGACTAGCATGATAGATGCCTCCAGGGCCTTTTTGGACTTTCAAGCGCTGAGTGTTATTCCTCTGCGCACCTGGTCTATGGTGCATACCGCACTCACCTCGACTTTGCTTCTGTCCACCTGGGAGGAAACACGAAATGATCCCGAGTCACGAGACCTTCAGCAAAGGGTGATTGAACTGTTCTCAGCCGTTAGTTCGGTGGGACAGCCGGGAGACTCGGCACCGGAATACGGGCCGTGGTTATCAAAACGACATATCCGGGCGTTGATCACATTGCGAAATACCGTCCGGTATACGCTAGATCAGGAAAGGGAAGTCGGGGTTTTTGAAGAGAATCCTACTCCTTCCGAGATACCGCTGCCTGCGTTCGAGTGCGTATCTACCATGTAGGCTGGTCTCTGCCGTGTATGCTGACAAGTATAGCCTGCCTCCGGGCTTCCCTGAGGCTGTGGACCAAGTCGGTGCATCGCCGGTGTCTTATCTCGACTCCATCATGAATGGTACGGTCTCTCCACGCCCATAGAAACAAGACACTGACGTATGTAGTCCCGCTGTTCGATTTTTCGCAAGAAAGTGGATTCCTATGATATCTGCCGAACCCCCCGATACCCGATGCTCAACGGCTGCTCGGAGCTCGGGATCGGGGCTCGGATGCTGAAAGCCAACGGTCCTCCACGTGGAGCAAGAAGAACATAAACGTGGGCAAAGACGGCATCTATGGGTAGGAATGTATTGCCACTTTTCCTTTAAATATCCAGGCGATACTACTACACCTCCAGTCTAACAGCAGCCCATCTAGCATCACTACCGAACAACTCTAGCCGCCATTCTGAAACGTACACTACGACCGCCGCAATGCTTGAATCTATCTTTCCCACTGTTACTACACCAACATCTGGTCGGACATCGACTCCTTCGAGCGTCGTGGCTGCAGATCATGATCGACCAGTCACTTCCACACAAACACGCCGCCGTCGCATCGTCGTTGCTATGACAGGGGCTACCGGAGCCATCCTGGGAATCAAAGTGCTTCTAGCGCTCCGCCGCCTGAACATTGAAACGCATCTCGTTATGAGTAAATGGGCCGAAGCCACCATCAAATACGAGACAGATTACCACCCTTCGAACGTCAAAGCACTAGCAGACCACGTCCACAACATCAACGACATGGCGGCCCCGATATCAAGCGGCTCCTTCCGAGCAGATGGAATGATCGTGGTACCGTGCAGCATGAAGACACTGGCGGCTATCCACTCGGGGTTTTGCGACGACTTGATCTCACGGACAGCGGACGTAATGCTGAAGGAACGGAGGCGACTAGTCCTTGTGGCGCGGGAAACACCGTTAAGCGAGATCCATCTGCGCAACATGCTCGAAGTCACGCGCGCAGGCGCGATCATCTTCCCACCGGTGCCAGCCTTCTACATCAAGGCGGCCGGGGTCGACGACCTGGTTGACCAAAGCGTCGGCCGGATGCTGGACCTGTTCGGACTGGACACAGAGGACTTCGACCGATGGAATGGATGGGAGAAATAAGGCACGGCGACGTGATTGGCGAACGATCACATAATGCCTCCGACATTACGAGAGAAATAATATTCGACGTGCTCGCCAAGCATAAGTGATGCATGGACTTTGCAGCAGAATGTCACCCTACCTCTACCCCTGTGCATGTCACCAGCAGTAGCTACTTCTTCCCCTGTCCCCAGGAAGATATCTAAGACATAGGAGGTGGGCTTACAACTTGCTGGCAATGGCTGTCCTTTCAATAGGCAGACACCAAGACCTGCCAAGGCAAATCCCGAAGTCATACCAAGGCCCTAGGCAAAGGCGGCCACCATAAAGCGCCGACCTCATCTTAATTGAGTTTGATCTCCGAGCAATGCCCTCCAAAAGTCGATATACGTCCGAAGAACGGCGGATCTGCAGGAGTTCCCCGCGCAAACCATCCCGCCTGCAGAATGCGGGGTGGAAGTATCTTCCTACTTCGCTCTCCTCCTCCAATGGGCAATCTCGCTCGTGATCTGCTGACCCTCAAGGAACTTATACCCATCCGATGTACCGATATTGCTTCTACCAACCTCGGCCCACATGTTGGCTTCGGGCAGGGAGTATACGATGCTCGTCGATGGAATCCCAACACCCCTGTCGGCGGGTCTGGTGACCGCTCCACAAGACAGAAGTATTGCAGTCATCACTGGATGTGCAATTTGAAGGTCACCATGTTATTTGGCTTTTCGTATACTGGAAGCCGTATACGACACGTACATCCTGCGGCCGAGGAACCACATGGCGACCTGGAAGAAGATCAAGGGCTTGGGAGACGTCTTGGCCCTCCGCTGGGATGGTCCGTACCCAACTGGAAATGTTATAGATCGACCACCACCCACCGGCCTTTGAGTGTCTGCAGCTCAGCAAGCCGGCAGGATGGTCTTGATGCGTGCCCTTTTCTCCCTCGTGGCCCTCCCTTGCGTGGCCCTGGCAGCTCCTGCCAAGAGGGACTCCCCATCTGTGACCATTTCGTCCCCCTCGGCGACCATCGTTGGTAGTTCGCTTTTTGGTGTCGATCGGTTCAACAATATCCCCTTTGCCCAACAGCCCACCGGCTCCTTGCGGCTGAAGCCTCCTCAGCCGCTGGAAGCACCCTTGGGTACAGTCGATGCCTCGGGAGGGTCACGCTCATGTCCGCAGTTCTTCTTTTCGACCAATAACCCTGAGTTCCCGGGCTCTATCATTGGCCAGCTTGCCAACATCCCGTTGTTCCAAGCTGTCACCAATGCCGGAGAGGACTGTCTCGGGCTGGACATCCGCCGTCCGGCCGGCACGACCCCAGATTCCAAGCTACCAGTACTGGTATGGATCTACGGAGGCGGGTTCGAGCTGGGATCGTCGTCAACGTATGAGGGAACGCCATTAGTGGCGAGCTCCGTGGACCTGGACATGCCGATTGTCTTCGTCGCCATCAACTACCGCGTTGGTGGATTCGGGTTCATGCCTGGGAAGGAGATCCTGGCCGACGGCTCGGCCAATCTGGGTTTGCTGGACCAGCGACTGGCCCTACAATGGGTCGCCGACAATATCGCAGCCTTCGGCGGCGACCCCGACAAGGTCACCATCTGGGGCGAGTCCGCCGGGTCCATCTCCGTGTACGACCAGATGATCTTGTACGACGGCGACTACACCTACAAGGGCAGACCGCTCTTCCACGGTGCCATCATGAACTCGGGCGGTGCCATCCCCGCTGACCCCGTCGACGGCGTGAAGGGTCAGGCCGTCTATGACCAGGTCGTCGCAACAGCCGGGTGCTCGTCCGCCTCCGACACGCTCGAGTGCCTCCGTGGACTGGACTACACCGACTTCCTCAACGCCGCGAACTCGGTGCCAGGCATCCTGAGCTACCACTCCGTCGCGCTGTCTTACCTGCCCCGTCCCGACGGCAAGGTGCTCACGCAGAGTCCCGACCTCGTCGGCAAGGCCGGCAAGTACGCGCCGGTCCCATTTATCATTGGCGACCAGGAAGACGAGGGGACGCTGTTCGCCCTGTTCCAGTCCAACATCACAACCACTACCGACATCGTCGATTACTTCAAGAAGTACTACTTCTTCTCGGCGTCGCGCGCGCAGCTCCAAGAGCTGGTCGGCACCTACCAGACCATCACCGAGGACGGCTCGCCGTTCCGCACAAGCATCTTTAACAACTGGTACCCGCAGTTCAAACGGCTGGCGGCCATACTGGGCGATCTAACATTCACGCTGACACGGCGCGCGCTGCTGAAGTACACGACAGAGGCTAAGCCCGACGTACCCTGCTGGTCGTACTTGGCGTCGTACGGCTATGGCACGCCTATCTTGGGCACCCTGCACGGCAGCGACATCCTGCAGGTGTTTTACGGCATCCTGCCTAACTACGCGTCGCGGTCGATCCACACGTACTATTTCAGCTTCGTTTACGACCAGGACCCGAACTCGCGGCGCGGCAGTTTCATGGAGTGGCCGCAGTGGAAGGACGACAACCAGCTGATGCATTTCATGGCCAATAAGGGGGCCCTCCTGAAGGACGACTTTCGGTCGGATACATATGAGTTTCTTTTGAAGAATGTGGACTCGTTCCATATTTAGGGTCACGGCTGACAATGGTATATAATGCGATTTACGATGTGGGTAGCATAGTATATAAGTATAATGGAATAAGCTATGAGTATCTAGATCCAAATCTTCATCCGTATCCCTAGGGGTCTGAGGCATGGAACGCGTTCTGCGGTGTGTGTGAAGCAGACGACGATGAGGGGACCTGCGGAGATGTCATTCGAATAGTCCTGGAGCATAGCTTCTACGCCTATTTATCATTTTGCGTGCAACCGCAGGACCGTAAGGCCCGTCGCTTGTATAGTCGCCGAAGCAGGCGTTCCCAGTCCCGTTGGTTCACCTCGAACTGCCTGATGCCGTTGGCGAATGGCCGGACTCGCGGGTCAGATTGCGCTGTCGTCTCTTGGAAGTTGAGAGTGTAAGATATCAAAGGACGAACGTCACCAGGAATATGGGCAATTGCGTCCGATTGGCATACCAGCGCTTCCATGCTATAGGCAGCGGTCCATCAGGAAAGGCGTCGGCGCGAGACGGGACGATTGGAATGGCGACAGGTTGTAGTGCAAAGCCGCACGTTATCAGAGACTGAAAACGAACTGAACGAGAGCTGCGCGCCTATTGTGATGCTTCCAGTAGGCTGTGAAATGGGCCACGCCTCTGAGAAGAGACCGGAGGGGCCAGCGAAGATAAACTAGTCTTCGAATAAAAGATAGAATATCTGCTTTGCGTCTCAATTCCAAATAGTAGGGGAGAGGGGACTCTATCGGCGCGAACAGTACCTCTTCTTATACAATGGAAGGGCCAGCGTCTGCCTCTCTCCGTTGCGCTAATTGACTCGAGTAGAATAATAATAATGGCCCATCCGTCGGATAGACGCGTATTACGAGGCGCGGGGTCGGTCAAGTCGGCCTGCAATGCCCATATCGTTTCCACTATAATCGTCGTGGTCGGACGTAGAAGCGGCTCTGTAGGCCGGACTTATCCCATAGCCTTTAGTGCTGATCATTCCTGGCTGGCAAGGGAAATAAGGTAAAGAAAACATTCCCTTAAGAGAAGTTTCCACTATAAAGGCTAGATTAATGTCGGCCATCTTGCAGGACATTATATGATGCTTAATTATGGGTAGATGCCATAATACCCATCAGCTCCTCTTCCTTGGATGTTTCTCCCGCCTCAGGAAGATTGTTTGCTTGTATGTCGTAAGAAATGTGCATGTAGCCAGCGACTTGACCAAGGAACTGCCTGGACAGTGCTGGATACTGGGTCTTGCGCTGCAACTTGATATGCTGCAGCCATGGAGATCCAACCAGCCAGCGAAGTTGTCCAGCTGGCTGAATGCGTTGATCAATGCCATTGCGATGGCACTCTCGGCGGGAGAGCGCAAGAAGGACAAGGCTGATGTCAGGGTTTTTCCTATATAGCAACCCTTGTAATCTCTGCCTGGGGACCTCAAGAGGGACGTCATAACTAGGCCAATCTTCTGGGCGAAGTCGAGACGACGGAAGCGTCTTTGCCGTATGACCGCTGTGGCTCCGGAATGTGAAATTTATGATTGTCGTCAGCGTTTTGCGTTGTTGGATCCTGAGTTGCAAGTGAAATTAAAAACAGAAGACACTCACTAAGCGAGACCTTTCCTCTATATCTCGTCAGGTGCATAGGCAAGGACATCATCATCCCATCGTATAGTTGGGAAAGCTTGCGGGTATTTGTCAACCCAGATAGGTCTATACAAAGTCCCATCAGTGTGTGCACACTGTTGGTAGCCTAGCGGTCATGTTTAATTGACAGTATGATGTATGATAGATTGATGGTTTGATTAGGAACTAGCGAGGTGGTGGGAACCATTTTGTAGGTGGTCCGACAGGGCTACTGTGAAGATAGTAGCTAATACTATTGTAACTAGTGTTCCATTCAATGCTCCTCGTCCATTACCTTGTATCGATGAATGGTGAACATAGGTAATTGTAGCACCTGATGATAGTGAGATGATTGTATTCAGTAAAGGTAGTTCAAGAGTATTTACACTTTGTTCACCTAGTAGTGGTCACTGTGACCCTAACTCAATACTTGGTGATATAGCACTGTGGAAGAATTCTCAGAACATAGCTAAGAAGAAGAGTATCTGAGATAATGAATAAACCCACTCCTCGTAAGTCGAGTCCTTTACGTACAGCACATGGATGATTACCTAGATACATTCCTTTTGAAGTAATCCCATTAAATAAGTTGAGGTGAAATAAAGCTGTTGCACAGAGCTCGCAACGGCATGATACTCATTCACATGTACCTCAAAAATGTCTTGGATAATGAGCTGTTTACCAGTAGGGCTAACGGTACCACCTTGGTTCTTCCTTGGAGGTATCCAGCCTCCTATTCAAAAGGAAGACGCTGAACGGAACGCTAGTCATATCGTAGACCCAACTTGACTTGGAACGTTCCGACCTGGAGATACATTGAAGCGCTGGGAAGAGATGATGAGACACTTTCTTCGATCCAGGCTTGCGCATATCAGAACCCCAGTTGGTATTTCTTACCAACGAGATCACACGAGTAGACAAAACAACCACCGAACAAAGACGAAACAGCCTCATATTTGAGTATAGTCGTTGTGAAGCCACGGATCCTGCAGTAACTCCTTCGCTGTGCTTCGCTCTTCGGGGTTCCATTTGATCATCGGGCTGACGAAGTTGATAAACATCTTCTTCTCTTCTCCATTGAACTTGGAGAGAGTGCTTTCGAAGCTGAAAGTACTAGGGACAAGGTCTGGGTTTTTGAGCGTTCCTGAAATGCAGTGTTAGCTGTATAAAATATTATCTCATTGAAAGACTCCTTACCCGCTGCCGTGTAGAACATCGATGTCCTCTTGCCGCGGCCAACCAAGTCCTTGGGTGCAGGACCTAAAAGCGATGTTATATACGCAAGATGTGTTTCGTCGTCATATTCTTCAACGACTCGTGGATCAACTGCTTCAAAGAGCGTTCGTCCTTCTAGAAAATCCCATAGCTTCATTCAATCGTTAGCTGTCTGTGCTCGTATGGGGGACATACTACGTACCATAACGCCTAGGCTCCATATATCGGCGCTATACGTATAACCCCGGTCAAGAATAACCTCCGGTGCACGATATACCTCGGCCAGGATACAGCCATCCTGTGGGGAGTCCCCGTGGACTGCTAGGTCAAAGTCGGTGATTTCAACCAGACCGAGGATGTCCTTCAGCGGCCCATAGGTGTTACGGGACAGGTAGATGATGCGGCCATCATCGCAATGCTTCTGAGGTAATGGGTTTTCAAACTCATCTCGGGCATACCGCGACAGGAGCTCGGGATCTTCCAATCGCACCATGATATTATCCGGCTTCAGATCTGTTGCTCGTAGATGAAAATGAAATCCTGACCATAACAACTAGGAATTCTTACCAGTATGGATGATGTGGCATTCAGTGTGGAGATAATCAAGCGCTTGGAGGATTTCTTGGAGGATGATTTTGAAAATCTCTGGAGGCATAACACCACCTTGCCATCGTTTGCAGTATTTTCCCAGTGACTCACGTAAAGGCTCAAAGACAAGACAAACATGACTCCCTGTGGCTCCCTGGACGGAAAACGAGTGGAGTAATTTTCGAACGAAATGCCAGCCGTGATGTTGCCGATTCGCTCTCATTACATGTCGCAGGATTTCCAGCTCCGCGTCACCAGGAGCTTTTCGTGTGTGAGAATTATTGGAGTTTATTTTAAGAGCTACATATCGCTCGTTCGACCAGCGCCATCTGAATTGTCAATATGTACCTTAGAATGTGAAGGGGCCAATACGAACTGGTGAAGGTCCCTCGCAAGCCACACAGTTGATCTGCTTCCGTGACCAAGCTTGGTCGCAATTTGGTACCGGTCATTCAGGAGTTCACCAATTCGAGCCGGGTAGAAATAGGCTGGTTCGTAGTAGGGAGAGTTCTCCTCTTCAACCAGCAATGACGGGTCAATCCGGGATGGAATGGCGGACGGAAGTGCCCAGGGCGACTGGCGAAACGCCTTGAAGGGATGCATAAAGATATTAGGAAGATGTCGTGTCATTGTTCTGCATGAGAGCAAAAAGAACGACGGTTGTTTCTTTGGACCTTGGTTTAAGGGGGAAGGGTGTAGTCCGAACTTCAAGCTGCAAATATGGCCTGTTTGGGATCCCGTAGGGACATGGCTGGGATGCCATCGACATCGAGAATTTATTTCATCTATAGAAATTTCGAAGTCAGTAGTTAGACAGACAAGACTGTTTAGCATTAGTTATATAGCACAAGAACTGTTCAAATGCAATTTCCGTCATGGGTAAGAGTACGTTAAACTTCAGCATTATATACAACCTCAATCACATAATCGTTTGATCGAAAAAAGTCCTTCTGGTGGAACTCAGCTCCGTATGTTGACCTGGCTCTCCTTGAAATCGCTGAAACATGACACTGTCCTCTGGTAGATGAGTCGTCCCGGTTGAAGGCCTCGAAGGCCCCGTAAGTCGTGTTCGATGCTGTGGCGTTGCGGTAGGGATGTTTCCTAAGTGACATTAGCAAGTATGGCCATCAAGACGTGCAGAGGGCGCAGGGTTTCTCAAAGTACCTTTAGGACGACTTGGAGGGGGCATTGCGGCCGCATCACTTCGTCTCCTCACCCCTTTGGAGCTCCCTGTGCCGCTTCTCTGATATCGATGGATCTGCTCCACCCCTTCTCGGTTGAAGGGGAAGACGTCCGGGGGCCGCGGTGGTGATATAGCGGAAGGTCCATTTAACGGTGTGGACTGCATTGGGGCAGCGTTTTGAGGCACTAGGGATTTCAGCGCCTGGGAAATAGAATCGGATGCAGCGTTCTGTATCTGATGTCTCATCGAGCGGGATTTAAGCAGGTTGTACAAGTTCGTGATCTGGGTGAATTTCTTGCTCTTTTCTCGGTACATGTCGACAAGCTCTTGGTTCTTCTTCTGGAGTTGATCGTGTTCTTTTTTCATATCTACTTCTGTTAGACTGGCCATATTTTAGTCGGCGGTAACCAAACCTGACAGCGTAGTTTGTAGAGTCGAGATTTCGGCGTTCGCATTATGGATGACTTTGTCCATTTGCGTGTTCAGATTGGCGTATTTATCGGTTAGGGTCTTGCCTAGGAACTCCTGGTAGAGGCTGGACGTAATCAGTACACGGTAGCTGGTGAGCGGGGAATGAGCTGTACATTTCTTGGTTGGTTTGGTAGCTCCAGAACAGCAATGCTCGTCCGGCGCATTCCATAATGGTGTTTGGATCCAGTCCGCTCAGGACGCTGGTTTTGTAGTCTTCGGTGGGATTCAGGATGGTCATTGCAGCGTCGTCCGGGTTGGAGAGGACTGTCTGACACGCCGGGCACTGACGTGGGTCGGGGGATGCACGGGAGAGGCCGAGATTGTCTGCGCACTGAAGACAGAAGATATGTCTAGAGAGTTAGTTGTTTGTCCTAGTTGATCTGTTTGCGCTCACGCATGAGATCGAACCAGGGCGCTGGGAGATGGAGACTTACGAGCAGGTCGTGACGACCGCCTTCTCTTGCAACTGAGCGCGACATTTAAGGACATTGCACCGGAGATAGAAATCCATGACGAACGTGGGCGAGGTCGATACGTTGGTAGAAGGAAGAAGTGGGAGCAGAGGAAAAGTGGTGGAGAAAAGGCTCGCGCCTACTCAACCCGCACAAGCAATACCATCATGCATAACTATATACCCAGAATCTTGTCTATCCAGTCTTATACATCTTGTTCGTAAATCAAAAGAAAAAAGAATTGCCCGACGCATCTCGTCGATTCGAGCGCATCTTTTCCTCAAACTCAGGCCCCGGCTCGTACTCGCGCCACAGACTGGCAGGAAAGATATGCTTGTTCCGCTCATACCACCGCCGGTCTACCACTTTGGTTGACGTGGGATCCTTGTCGCCACCTTCGAGTTGTTCATTATTTGGCCGGGAGAGGGGATCGTCCGTTGATGGCTGTGGAGGTGGTTTATTAGAGTAGTCGAAAAGGAGGCCCCCGGCCCGCGAAAAGTTGGGCACGCGGTTGGCGATAAAGTAATACAGCTCGTAGTGCTGGGATCGTCAGCTCTGAAGAATGGCCTCAAGAGTCATGCGCAACTTACATGAGGAACGATAATGTCGCCTTTCACCAGCATCAGGTCATCGACGCTGACTCGCGCCCATTCGCGCCGATTATCCTTCCGCCCCTTCGTCGCTCCGCTATTACCCCCCACGCCCAATTCCGCGCCGACTTTGCGACACCGGTCCAGAAACAACCAGACCGGGTCGCCCTTTTTGACCTTGACGGTCCCCGCCGGGATATTCGTTCCGTCGTAGAAGATGAACGGGATCAGGATCTCCGTGTTCTTCACGGCGTCCTGCATGGCTAAAAACTCTTTACGTAGCGCGTCGCGCGCTTCCGCTTCGGCCTTGATCGCGGCTTTGGTCAGGGCTTTAGGAGGTGGTGGTGCGTTCGGGTTGGGCGTGATCCGTCGCGATGGCGGGCCGGTGCCATCGTCGACGGGCGTTTTCGACGCTGATCGCGGGACGCTCAACTCGCGCGGCGTAGCTGCCGTGTCCTCTCCGGTGTTTTCCTCCTCCTCATCATCGCCGAAGGAGAGTTTACTCTTGGCGAGTGGCTTCTTCTTTTTCTTCTTGGGGGGTCCCTCGCTCCGCGGCGAATTACTGCTTGCGATCAGCCGGAGAAAGGCGCATGGGTCGAGAGGTTTCCTTCGCTTACCTGTCAGTCACATCGCCAGTGGAAGGAGTGGCGCTTCTGGAGTTACCCGATGTGAATCTCCCTAGGGACTTGTCATGGGCCTCGCGCTCTTTCTGCTCAAGCACCTCTGCGCGCCTTTTGCGAAAGTCGGAGAGGTGGACGAGACCGACGGTTTGCGATTTAAGGAGGTCCTCCGCGGAGGCCGTTTGGCTCGTGAACGACCTCGGCGTGGAGCTCTGGCTGGGCTGTTCTGACGGCGGCATGGTGGGGATTCAATGGAGGATGGTTGCGAAGGAGAACGAGCGCAAAGTGAAGCTTCCCACATGTCGCTGACGTAGAGGTCACGTGATATAACAGACAAAGGATATACAACCATTGATAGGTTTCAAGAACTGATATCAAGCATTCAAATACAATAAATTATATAGTATCGAGACTCCATACACTTCTAGAAGAATTAATGAGGGTGGTGCGGTGATAACATCCCTCCACCTCCAAAGCGTATCCAGACTGCAAGCAAACACGTCAAACTCTCTCCGCAGGATCGCCGTCAATAGACAAACCTCCAAGCCTCACTCCCTTCCTCTCGACTGACCCTACTTCTTCAATCAATCCACCATGGAAGACGACGACGACGATCTTTACGACCCGGCTGACGCCGTCCCCACGACGCAGCATCATCCTGCTCAAAATCCGCAGTCCAATGCCCCAACGCAAGGAACAGACGAGGGAGAGGAGGAAGAAATCGAGGTCGAGGAAGATGATGTACGTCCGCGATTCCACCGCCGCGAACACAATGCTAACAGACCCAGGACGATTTCAATATCATCACCGAAGCGCCACCCGACGCGCCTCTACCAGAAGTGTAAGACCAAGCATCCTCCCCCAACCGCCACGTCTAACACCACGCAGTCCTCATCCGCGCCGTGCGGACCTCCGAACAGAGTCCCAGCGCCCATCATCCGTCGACTCCCAGATCTCCAAATCCGTGACCCCCTCAGCAACCCCCAAAGTCGAAACCGCAACGCCCGTCCCAGCCAGCGCACGGCCAGCCGTGCCCCAAAAACCGGGCTCCTCATACCCCCCGGTGCACGCGTCCACCATCGACGTGAACGGCAACCCCGTCCACCCAGCGACAGGGAAACCGATCATGTCGACAGACCTCGACGCAGACTTCCCAGATGATGACAAGCCGTGGCGCCGGCCTGGATCCGACATTTCGGATTACTTCAACTACGGCTTCGACGAGTTCACCTGGGCCAGCTACGTGATCAAGCAACAGGAGCTGCGCAAGGAGATCGGCGACCAGAAGAAACAGCTCGAGGACATGCAAAACTTCCTGACCATGGGCTTCCCTATGCCTGGTGGTCCGCCACCGCCGCCGGCGGGGCCGGGCGCGGGCCCTGGCGGCGCGCCGCCTATGCCCGGCATGCCTGGCATGCCGGACATGAACCCGGAGATGATGCAGAACATGCTCGCCAGCATGATGGCGCAGGGCCTCGACCCGTCGTCTATGGACCCGATGTCGTTTATGAACCACGCCCAGGCGATGATGCCCAACCAATCCGGCGCAGGCGGCGGACAGCAAGGCCAGTTTGGTGGCCAAGGCGGGGGATATGGAGGTGGATATGGCGGTGGACGAGGACGCGGGCGACGATGGTAGTAGAGCCTGGGGGTGGGTTTCCGTCTGATGTTTCTTGTTCTAAGTCCGGGAATGGGTCTGGTCGGTCGTGGAGTTACTCTAGGAATACACATTATCTGTTCTCTTTGACTTTAGTAGTGTAGGTAGCTATGATCACAAGATATTGACTAGCTTCAATGGAGCAGTCAAACACTACTGGATAGGTGTGAACTTGATCGACATTCTTATTAACTGGCTGAGCCCGCCCTAAGCAAATCCGCTGCATCAAGTTCCAGGGTTAAGATTGTATAGTTGGCATGACCCTTTGCGTGCCACCCGTACTTGTCATATGAGGCTGTCTGATAGACAGAAATCTGTAACATCGGAAGCGATTCCATTATGCCAGTCCAAACTGGAGAACTAGAACAGACACGACTGGCTCATTGCGCTACACCTCATCCGTCCATCTACTACATCCTCTTTTGAGCATCTGAGTTAACTACTCTATGGATGGAGAACCGAGTAAGGTCAGAATCAAAGTCCCCGTTGAAATCATAAAACATGTCCAATTTATCTAGTCCATCACGAGGTAGGTTAGGCTAGAAAATCAAGTACGTGAGTACATATATATACAGAACGCTTTGCAAACCAAACAAATCATAACTAAATCTTCACTCCCTGGGCCTTCTTCGCCAACAGTTCCTCCACCTCCTTCGCATGCTTGGAGAAGTTGTCGACCAGATTGTCCCACATCTTCGGCTCATGCTCGTGCCTCTTGTTGCTGTTCCACGCGTAATCGGTGATGGTGAACGGCCGGGACGACTCGAACATGATCGCGATGGAGGCCTCGGATATCCGCATGACCGGCGGGGCACTGTCACTGGCGGCCTTGAACTCCTCATACGCCACACCATGCGGAACCATACCGCACTCAAACGAAATGCTACCAGGCTTGAAGGCGTCAGAGCGGCCGCCGTAGTCGCCGTAGATCAGGCCCATCAGCTCGGAGGCGGCGTTGCGGTGGTAGTACGGCGGGCGGTAGGTGTGCGAGGCGACGTCCCAGCGCGGCGAGAAGATGAGGAAGTCGGCCAGCGGCGCATTGAGGTCGCGCGACTTGGCCGTGAGCACACAGAAGATGGACGGGTCGATATGGTCGACAGAGATGGAGCCGACGTTGACGAATTTCGTCAGGTCGTACTTGTACGGAACGTAGTTGCCGTGCCAGGCGACGACGTCGAAGGGGCTGTGGTTTTGCGTGCTCTTGAAAAACTTGCCGCCGAGCTTGTACACAATCTCCCATGGCTCCTGCTTGATCTCGTACTGCGCCACAGGGGACAGGAAGTCCCGTGCGTTAGCGAGGCCGTTGGCGCCCAGGGGGCCCAGCTCCGGCAGCTCGAACTGAGTGCCCCAGACCTCGAGGATGTACCCGCGAGAAGGACCGTCGGGGAGTTCCACGCGGAAACGAAGGCCACGTTGGATGACGACGATCTCACCGGGCTGGACATACAGGGGACCGAACTCGGTCTGAATGTCCAGAGCTCCCTGCTGGGGGACGATGAGGAACTCGCCGTCGGAGTTGACGAACGCTCTCTTGGTCATGCTGACATTCGCCGTGTAGACATGAGTAGCCAGTCCCTCACGGAGGGTCGGATCGCCCGATCCCGCCACGGTCTTGAGGCCAGTGACGAAATCCACTTCCCCAGAGGTGGGGATATCAAAAGGGTGCCAGGCGAGCTGGGTAGGGGAGACGTGGACGCGAGGGTTTAGGGGGAGGAAGCTGGACTCTGTGTCTTTGTTATCAGGGAGCTCAGTCTATCCCTTTGTCAGCAAGTGTCATCGGCACGGGTCAATTCACATACGAAACCCTGGTGCGCAACAGCAGGACGAGCCCGATAGAGCCACGCCTTTTTGTTGGCATGTCGCGGGGCAACGAATGCCGTCGCCGTCACTTGCTCAGCATACAAGCCGAATCGCACACAGCGCGGACTGTTCTGGCCCTGTGGAATGGTACCAGGAACAGCCTCGGACGCGAAGCTGGAGAGCCTACATCAGCCAGTTGAATCGCTAGATGCAGGTGGTTGTTACATACGAATTGCCGAATCCGGCTTGGTACTGTGGCAGTTAGCTTGGAATTGTATAAAATCTCGAAAGAGACAGACGTACCTCATAAGGATCATTGCGTCGCGTGGCAAAGGACGGGATGGTACCGTCCTTCTGGGTTTCCGCCCAATGGAAGATCTTCTGATACTCCTGGGGGTCGGAGAGTTTGCCTACAGAGCCCATAATGAAGATAGCACGAGGATGTTGTGATGAATTATATGAAATGGGTTGAGTGCTAGGTGTCTCTGTACACCCGGGCAGAACAGGCCTCATATACTCCCTGTTGTGGGGTCAGACGATGCCCTGACGCCATTATCAAGAGATTATGAAGACGGTTGAATCGGCTCCTGGACGGATCCTAGACCCTTCCGGGTATCCCGCCAGCAGGTGTCGTAGCTGGTTACGTGTGAGAATCAGGCGAGTAGTATGAGGACCCTAGCGAGACGTACCTGGTTCGTATAGCTCGGCATCTCGGGGAGGAGGTGTTTTGCCGGGTGGATCCTGGAGAAGGTGATCCAACGTGGAGCATCATCCGCAGGGATAGAGGCGACCCCACATGAGTCAGATCTGAGTAACGGTGGGGTGTTCGGTGGCCGCGGAGTTGACGGGAATTGAGATGGGCGAAATTGCCGAAGAGGAGGGATTGTATAGGGGGAGGTGAAGGGGAAGTTGGAAGGGGAGAAAGAAGTTGGAGATGGTGAGACCTCTCGGAGCATGGTGCCTGACAGCCTCAGGCCTCCTATCGAAAGCAACTATGGGCTTGAAGAGCATCACCCGCATAGATCAATTTCATGCACAACCATTCAATTCTATAACACATACGACATCTAATTCAACAAACTGATCTTTCCAGCTGTCAAAGCAAACACAATCGGCATGTACACTCCCGGGCCAGCCTCTCGGAGAGCTTTCAAATGCTCAGTGCGCCGGCGTCCTGCGAATTGCGCTTCAGAGATCTCCTTACAATCCCCAACAGGTCCATATGCAAAGCGTCTCTCCCTGGACCAGGGTGCTTTTCCGTTTACAAACTGGACCCAACGGTTCCTCATCTCCTGTCCTACTGTCTCCGCTGCAGGATTAAATCCGAGGTCAATCCCCCCAAAGAGGAAGAGGAGATCAACCGCATGATGAGCCCGGCTCGAAGACTGCCACGGGTTGGGCTGGTCGACAACATATTTGTACACTTGCTTGTTGGCGGCCTGGAGCTTCTCACTGAGTACCTCCACCGGCAACGTGTAGCGCACGTCGTTGACCAGATCCAAAGCGCCTAGTTTGCAAGCCGTGGGACGATCTGCCACCACCTGGTACATCTTACGAAGCTTTGTTCCCCATTGCTTGTCTTGATCGAAAGCGGCCGCAATCGTTGGTCCGTCAAATGTCTCAATGCCGTTTCTCCAGATGACAGACTAGACTAGTTAGCAAATTACTCTACCATATAGGGAGTTTGAGCCTACCTCGTATTCTGTGTCGCCAATCATGAGTTCCTCAACTTGCTCTGGCTTTGTACTCCAGCCATCAAGCTCCTCTTCCTCTTGAATCCACATGGTGTTGACATTGCAGTCCTTCATCGCCTGGATCAACACGGAGACCGAGGATTCACGAAGAGATGGCTGTCCGAGCTCTTTTACCTTCGCCTCAAGCGCGCCTATAAGAGCGTCGCCCTTTTCCAGGGGTAGTGGTGACGAGAGGTAGAGAGATCCAGATGCCAGGACGGCCCTCTTAACGGAAGGGCCCGTGATCAGATGGGCATGGACATAGATTGCACCGGCGCTCTCACCAGAAAGAGTAATGTTGGTCTATACTTCGTTAGATGCGAAATCATCCTCAGTACGATCTGCTTGGCTTACAGGATCCCCTCCAAAGGCCGCAATGTTCTTGCGCACCCAGTCAATACCTAGCCGCTGGTCCTTCAGCGCGAGGTTCTTTTCTTTGCCATCACCGAAGCTGAAGATGTTCAGACGATAGTTGATGGAAACAAAAATGATCGGTTGACCCGCCTTGACGGAATCGGCCACAATTTTAGTAGGATCTTGGAGCACTTAATTTATCTTTGACGAGAAACAGCTTAACGGGGCTTCTTACCGCAAATTTTGGACGCAGCGGAACAAAATGTGACGATCTGGGAGCCGCCTGTAGAATCCGTTAGACAGATGCCTATAGTCTGCATGCGATTCCGTACCATGAATCCAGACTAGCACCGGAAGAGGTCCTTTGATGGACGCTCCTGATGGCCGAGTAATCTCCAAGTTGAGGCATTCGAATTCATCCTCGGGGTTCTTTGGGGAGCTCAAAATCCTCGGGAATGCGCAGCAAATGACGGACATCAACGTCAGCTTGAGGACATCTGGGGCTATTGTATGATCAGTATTCTAGACAGCACGAAGAGCTAAGATACGGACGACCACATACCCAAATTGCGAGGCATCCACGATGGCACCACCGAAACCTGTTACAGGCTGCGCCCTCTCAAACCGCGCAGGGATGTCGGCATATTTAATTCCGAGGAACTGATCAATCACAACTCCATCTACTGCCTTCTGAGTGCCGTTGAACGTGGCACTGAGGCCGTCATGCTGGACTTGAGCTGGCATGTTTCCTATGGTGTATGATATGAAGAGATTGGGTTGACACAAAAACAAAGGCCACAGGCAAATCTGTCAAATTGCTCCTTCCACTCTATCGGTGACCCATGTCGCATCGGCAAGTGTTCTAACCGTCGTCCTCCTTCTAGGTGCCAGTGGGGCTTGCGGGGAGGTCCACAGGGCCAAAATCAGGAAGGTCGACGCTCGGCTGGGAGGACCGGATGTGCCGTAAGAAGGGTGATTATGAGAGTTGTTTGCTATCTACTTCAAGCCTGTCACAAATTGCGACGCAAACTTGCATCACAGTCCAAGTTCTCTTTGGTGGAGAAGGGTCGTGAACCCGGGTATCCGGAAAAACGGTTGGGGGTGGCTGCATATTGTATAATACAACGATATCCGAGACCACAGGTTCTGTGTGTCCATTCCACAAGGTTCTATATCTCTCTACTCCGTAGATACCTGAATATCTAACCACTTACCTACCTACACAGTTTCACCAGGTAGTTCCAACGGTCCAATCACTGGCGAATGATCACATGATCTTACTAATATTGGACTAGACGGCTTGGCATCCGGGGAACTGCAAATGGAACAAACTCCTTTCCAGCTCAACCAGCCCTTTCCGTCTTCAAGAGTCTGCTAGTATGTCCAAAATACTTCCACTTCTTCGTGGATCGATCGATTTACAAACAGCGCTGGAGGAAGATGGTAATATCTTGCAACAACTGACTTATCCGAACAAGAGGGTAGAATTCTTTGTACACCATCAGCATCGCAGGAATATTGAAGCTCTCGTGGTCCACCACCTAGGGCTTTCTCGTCCTGCTGACTGCCAATTTTCCGAAGTGAGAGAATGGAGACTTCAAAGCTTCTTTCGCCGTCTTCTGAGACGCCCTTTGCCATGCCAGTATGCGATCCAGCGGGTCCCCTGGCACCTTGGCCTGGAGTACATTGTCCTGGACGGGGCATATGTTTTCCTCTTCTTGGTCTACCTTCCGCCATGACTCGACCCGTAGAGGAAACCTATTTCAGGATCTGTCAAAAATAATGCTTGCATTAGCCAGCCAGTCGTACTCCCGTATCTCATCACTTACAACAGACAACGAAGGATTCCTGCACGCCACAAACCGACCTCTCACTCTCCGACACCAACACATGGAGAACGAAGGAATCCCCACCGATATTCCCAGGGATCTGACATATTGCACATCAGAAGCCTACGTGCTGGACTTGCTGCGATGCCACGATAACCAAATAAGACACAAACCAAACGCGATCTCTGACCAATACGACAGCCGTGCTCAAATGGCGGCCTTGGCTGCAATGCGCACAATCCACCCTCATTACTTGCGACGAGACCTCAGACAGGGTCCTTTTGTTTTAACTCTCACAGATCTTCACCAGAGCAATATCTTCGTAGATGATGAGTGGCATATCCGCTGCCTGATCGACTTGGAGTGGGCCTGTGCACTCCCAGCCGACATGCTACAACTGCCGTGGTGGCTGGACGACCGCGGAATTGACGAGATGCCTGAAGGAGAGTACCTGGATTCATATGGCAAATTGCACGACGAATTCATACAGATATTCGAGACAGAGGAGAAACACTTTCGATCAACTGGGAAAACCCCTACAGTTCCCTATGCTGAGATCTTGCGTACCAACTGGGAAAATGGAAATTTCTGGTTTTCGGGGCCCTCGACAACCCCAAAGCTCTGTATCGCTTGTTTCTCGATCATATTCAACGTCGATTCTACCCGATGCAGGACTTGAAGTTCGACGATATCGTGTCACGTTTCTGGAGCGTGGATGCAGCTGAAGTCATAGAACGCAAACTGAAGGATAAGGAGAACTACGATGCTAGACTGCGGGATGTATTTGAGAGGACACGGTCGTAGACGGTCGTAGCGAAAAGTAGTACACTTTAGACTCGTTCGGTACCAAATGTTGATCCGGAGATCAAATCGACTCCACCGCTGACACGGTCCGACAGTCTCCTTATGCACTGTTAGGTGACCTTATTATCTCAGACATGAAGAGATCTCAGGCTACTCAATATGGAATATTTTTCTATTTCACTTGTTTCACAGGGGTTCCGTGCAGAATGGTGGCGTAACTATGGGATTGTTCGACATTACTATTACGGAATGCTGGAGCTCGCTTCGGAGTCCACGGGTTCCGAAGTCAACCAACCATGACATATCAGATCAGTAGGTAACTACCCTCCCCCTTCCACATCCCCATTCCACCAACACTTGTCACGGAGTCTGGGCCGACGTGACGATGTTGAGGTGGAAGGGTTCTGGCCAGGGGTCAACTCCTCTATTTCTCCAGGCCCGATCGTCCTCCGCCTTTATCGTCTTTGTCGCGAGCTTTGCAGTGTTCACAGTATGTTGATACTCCGACTTCCCAACTTTCCCTATTTTTTCGGTTCCAATCTAATTTTTCTAGGACCTGTTCCTTTATGGAATGGTATGGTTCTTCCTCTTCAAAAAGGGTAGTCCCTGACTTCATGCTTAGATTGTCCCTGTCGTGCCCACAGCTCTTCGCGAGCGCGTTGGGCTTCCCCGAGAAAGATGGTATGTCTCACAGTTTCCAGATTACTACTCTATCTGATTGGATTTAACGTGCAGTCCAACGATGGGTATCGATCCTGATGGCCCTGTTCGGCGCAACACAGGTAGCCGCCTCGCGTAAGTAGCTTGACCACCCCCTTGCCGTAGATGTAACTAAATGTTCGCAGCTGTTGCTGGCTATCTCGCGGACCGCATTGAGTCCCGGTGGTGGCCCTTGATGGCCGGTCTGGTCATGCTCGCCGTCTCGACATCACTCCTCTGTGTCGGGACAACGCTTGGTCTCTGGGTCGCCGGTCGTTTGTTTCAAGGCGCTTCCGGAGCCATCGTATGGTCTGTGGGGTGCGCGCTGGTTGTGGACAGCGTGGAGCCTGAGAGGATCGGCCAGGCCTTGGGTTATATCGCTCTTGGAATGACCCTGGGGGTGATGGCCGGTCCGCTCCTGGGAGGAGTCATATATGAGCACGGCGGATATTACGCTGTGTTTGGGTTGGCTTTTGCGCTCGTCGGTCTGGACATATGCTTTCGTCTGGTCATGATCGAGAAGAAGTATGCTGCCAGGTGGCTTCCTCCTCCTCGGGCTGATCCCTCTTCCACAGAGGATCAGGCCTCGCAGAACTCAGTTCCTCAACAATCAGAACAAGGACAGACTCAATCACAGGCGTCATACAGAGAAAAGACCCCAGACCAACCCGACCGAGCATACAACATCCGATAAGAAGCGGAAGCCCGCCGTCATAATCTTACTGTCTTCTGCTCGTTTGATAGTGGCATTGTGGGCATACTTCATCATGTCCATGATCGTCAGCTCCTTCGACACCGTCCTGCCGCTGTTCGTCCACGACACCTTCGGCTGGCAACAAACCGCGCAAGGATTGATTTTTATTCCGATTGCCGTCCCCAACTTTCTCGAACCAGTGACCGGGTACATAAACGACAAATTTGAGAGGGCGCGTCGGTTTCTCGCGGCTGGAGCTCTCCTCGGCACCGTGCCAGCGATCGTCTGCCTTCGCTTCGTCAGCGAGAATACGATCGCGCAAAAAGTGCTTCTGTGTGCACTGCTGGCTGTGATCGGCCTCTGCCTGGCCACCTATATCCCGCCTGTTCTCGCGGAGGTGAGCTATATTGTCCAGAAGAAGGAGCAAGAGAATCCCCACGTTTTCGGCACCAGGGGCGCTACAGCGCTGGCCTATGGACTCATGAACGGTGCATATGCTACGGGGCTCCTGGTTGCGCCGTTCCTGGCGGGCTTCATCCGGGACAGCGCAGGGTGGAATACGATGACCTGGGCGCTGGCGTTGTTCCCCGGCGTATCTAGTATTCCGGTGGTGTTGGTGCTGGGGGGGTTTCCTTTTAGCCCCAAATGAGCCCGCTGTTGACTTGTCTACTCATACAGACATGAATGTACATTGATATATAATTATGACATAATTGAGAACCACTCCATACCATCATCTTTATCTTCATCTATCGTCAGCTTTCGGATTTTCCCTCGATTCCATTCCTGATACCCTCTTCTCTTTAAGTACTTAAATGACTCCCTCAGCGCTTGACATTCATTTTCAAAACTTCGCGGCTACAACAGTACAATAACCCAAAGCTTTGATCCTAGAATCATGTGGTTTGACGATGATCAATGGATCGGCCGCGAGGTCACATTCGACGTGCCACAAGGCCTCTCCAAATGGAAAATTATTAAGACTTATGAACGCGCGATGTTATGCTCCGAATGGGCAATGAAGGAGCGTGGTGGCCTCAGCCAAGCGCGCGCAATCTTCACTTGTGTCAATGACCAGCATCATGTAGCTCTCCTCAAACTTCGGATGCAGTATGTTCTCTCCCTTTTTTATCATGCCCTACTGACCATGAAACAGGATCCCATTTCGCGACTCGGCGTTCAAATTTACGCAAGAGAGGGCCAAACAGGCTCGATCAGATATGTTCTTCGATGCAGAACGCGAAGTAGATGCACTGCAAACTCTCACGCAGGCAGGCTGTTCATCAAGCCCCAAACTGCTGGCCTGGAAGCATGAACCCCAGGGCGAGTCTGACTGGGTTCCGGGTGGAGTCATGGATTATATACTCATGGAGAAGCTTCCTGGAACCACCCCGCCGTTTTACATGAACCCAGACGTCACTGAGCAAGAATGGAATGAGCTGCGGGCTGCGTTCAAAGAGGCCTACATGTGAGTATTATCATATATGTTCCTCTTACGTCTCTCAGGCGCTAACTACTGTTCAGAGAATGCTACTTATGTGGAAGAATGACGCTTGACGCAGGGCCACGGAATATCCTCTGGGATCGCAAGGCGCAAAAATGGTACGCATACGTCCTTCTGACAGATACCCTTCTCCATTCAAAATGCTAATGTCGCTCTAGCTATATCGTCGATTGGGAAGGAGCCCATCATTCTTGTCCCGAATTCAAGTGGCGCGAAGCACAGTACTTCTTTTGGGGTCTGAAAGATGCTGAGAGTTGTAAGGCCGCTGAAAGAATGGAAAGCTCTGAGGCAGTTCACAGAAACAAAGACAATGCTCGTTAGTCATTGATGTCATTTCTTTGGGTTTTTAGCGTCTTCCAATATTCGTGGCGCGATGCAGCTACTGTCCTGTTCGGTTTATCTGTCCTGTACCTGTGAACTCGATTATACCCTTCATAAATATTGACTGAACTATTCTGCGTCCACTACATATTCTTGAAAATAGAAAACACGCGGGCGAGGTCATCAAACGAGACCTGGTCACGATAATCAAATAGAATCTGTCTCCGCTGAGTCTCTCCTCCGTACGGCTGGCTCGTCTCTTCCACACAGAGGTTGTCAGAGCTAGGACCATACACTCTTGCTCTGAAGCCCGTTTCCACATCGCCCCCTGAAACAGCAGGCCAAGGTGCGATGCCATGGCAGAACTTGAAGAAATCCTCCGCGAAGGCCGTAGCGACGGCCTGTTGGGCGGGCGTCAGGAACTCCCGAAAATTTTGGAAGAGATAGGCGAGGTCAAGGATGTGGCTAGCCCTGTTCTTCCAGGGTCCGTCCCACGGGTTGCCCTCGTTGAAGTAGTACACATAAGCGTTGCCTGTCCAGCCTTGGGCGAAGGTCAACACCGGGGCAAAGAAGCAGACGTCGTTGATATAGTCCAGTATTGCGGTGAAGGCCGTTTCATCATCGATATTTTCTGTCAGGCCGTATTTCTTCAGGATCTCCTGTGCTATCATGGGATGGGACTGCAGAGCCGTGTTCATCGCTGTGGTGAACTTCCTTGCACATCCGGCCTTTGCATTTGGCATCAGGAGGGCCATGATACTAGCCTAATAGAAAATTAGCAAGACTGTAGATGAACAATGGAATTCTTGGGACCTTACATCCATCTGTGCATCGCCAATCATCAGGTCTTTACACCATGGCTTCCCCTTGGGAACGCCGGAGCCTCGGTCAGCAGTCTGGGCAAATGAGCCCACTGACGATACCATATCTCCATCAATTGCAGGGGTAGCCAAAATAGTGGGAGGAAGTTTTCCAATCAGATCCTGTCCGGGAGTCTCGAGGAGAGCTCGAATCCTCTTGTCAGCGGAGGCCTCGGTCAATCCCAACGCGGCCATGGCTTGCTGGTAATTCTGCTCATGCACCTCATAGGAGAGACTTGGAGTAAGAAAGTACGAGCCACTCATCACGATGGCGCGGTTGAATAGGGCTTTTTCGGTGTTGAGGTGATACGTCACCGATGCTTCGGGTTCATTAGCGTCCGCTATGTGAATCGGTGAGATACGCACCTGCGCCAGCACTCATTCCAGCCAGGGTAACGTTCGCTGGATCGCCACCGAAATCTTCGATGTGTTTCTGTACCCATTCCATGGCCACTCGTTGATCGCGAAGGCCGTTGTTGGCTTTGTATCCCGCTTGACGGAGTTCATCTGAAGTCAAGAATCCAAACGCTCCAAGACGGTAGCTCGAATTAATTAGTAAAGAGAGATATCGATAGGAAACACGGCGCTTACTTCATGGACACCGCTACAATGGGCAGGCCCTTCTCCACTGAGAGCTGGACAAACCGGGTGTAGTCGAACTGCGGCCACGAGTTGGCTCCAAGCACCAATCCACCACCGTGGATGAAGAGGAACACCGGGAGCTTCGAGGATGCCGTTGTGCCCTGAGGGACGGAGATGTTCAAATTGAGGCACTCCAAATCAGACTGGGGGAGGTCTTTCTGGGGGAGAGTATGCTGGATCGCACTCAACTCCAAGTCGCATCCGAACAGCGGGGAGACAGTCGTAGGCCTAGAATGCTTATCGGTTTACGGTCCTTAGGGAATACTGAGATACGCCAGCAGATTCATGCTTACCCGTCTTTTGTTGCGTCCAGGACCTCGCCCTCGCGTCTCTCCACCAGCTCGGCGTCTGCGAGACGGTCTCTAAGAGTGGCATACTTGATCCCCAGATAATGGGTTACGCCGTCGACGGTCTTGCCACGAATCTGGCCGAGATGGTTTGTTTGAAGAACTGTCATCGTATTTGTTGATATGCCCAAGCGTAGATGTAACAGGTGGATGTGGGGGATGCTAGGTTTATAACGGCCATGTGGGGGGCTGTTTATCCCCTGGGGTTATTCCGAGATCAACAGCTCCCCATCCAGCCACGGGTTAATTCACGTACATATACCTCTGATCGAGTGTCAATCCGCTACAACATACATTGCGTATTGGTAAAGGAGCCTGGCCATATGTACAATGCACACGCGACTCAACTGTTTAAGACTGGAAATTCATGCTATATCCACCGGTCTTCGGGTCCTGCGTGAACTTGAAATTGTCCGTAGACAGTCCGAACGGTTTCAGAATGCCATTCCCCAGCTGTCCACTCGTTAGATTAGTCCAATAAAGACGAAACCGGGATCGCATCACTCACATCTTTCAATTTGCCCATCATCTCCCCCATCTCCTTCTCCCGCGCCTGGCCGATGCGCGCGGGAAGTTCCCGAAGCGCCTTCTGCACGATCCGTCTCTCATCAGCCGGCAGATTCTCCATCGCCGCAAGAACCTTGTAGTCCTCCTCCGCGCCTTGCAGATTCCCCCACCCGCCGAGCAGCGACTTCGCCCGCGCGCGACGCATGAGCGCCTTAGCCCGGATGCGCAGGATGTCCGCCTTCCTCTCGTCCTCCTTCTTCAGCCGCGTCAGTTCCTCTTGTTCCGTTGCCTCGTCGTCGCCTGTTATCTCCACCACGGCGTCGGTGGTCTCCGTGTCCGCCTTATTCGTCGTAGGCTCCTTCGGCTCCGACGGAAGCATCTTGTCCAACCGGTCCAGAGAAGCGGTAGCGGCATCCACGGCGGCTTTCCAATCTTCGAGTTTCAGGTAGCAGGCGGCCATGTTGCTTCGCAGCACGGCGACTTCGTAGTCGAGGTAGTTCGGACATGAGGCTAGGGCGCGGTCGTAGCACGAGATTGCTTGGTCGTATGAGGCGGCGGTGTAGAGCTTGTTCGCTTCTGCCTTTATGGAGTGGGACTCTTCGACGAGACGCTGTACGTCGTTAGTTGGGTCTGGCTGTGCATGTCTGGGAGTGTGTTTGGGTCACAGACGCTTTCTTCGTCGGGGGGAAACCGGGCATCATGGAAGACGTCCTCTTCTTCCGTATCGCTTGGAACGGGAGGGTCATGCCGTGTGTCTCCGGACGTATCTTTTGTCATTTCGACGTGTTGAGGTGAGGGTTTGGGACTTGAAGTCAGGTAGATACTTGATGTACGCGGAGACTCGATCCCGACCGCCGACAGCAGCCCACCATCGCAGCCTCAGGCACCAAAACCAGTGCGGAGTAGTCGATCATCTCGCTCAAGCTTCATCTACCTACGTCCTACTATCTCTTCCACTACGCTGTATCTCTGTCAATACCTCAGATACCCTCCGTCCACCGCAACCATGTCTCCATCCGCACAAGAGTTCGTCCTCAATCC